ACTGGGGGTGCTCACTGCTGTGTAAGGGATATCCCGTTCACGCATGAGGATCTGATCCTATCTATACATCAAATCCATGGGCGAAAAGATGGTACTCTTTGCCATACCATCTATGATGACATCCTTTCTTGGCATAGGCGTTTGAGCCGGTACCGTTGCAACATTCAATTTGCTAAACGCGTGCACTATCCGCCACCCTCCTGTGGCCTTTCGCACACAGAAGGTCGGAGACCTGTGTGGGGATGTTTATTCCCTCACATGACCAACCGCTAAACGATCGGCAAAGAATTTGTCGATCGCTGCTACCTGTTCACGAGGCAGTGGCCACTGCTTCATGACACAGTACTTCGAGCCTGGCTTCAGTTCGATCTCACGCCGAGTGCCTTTGTCCTTGGGCAGCTCGCACGGAACAGTTTCAGGGAATAAATCCTTGAATTCAATTAAATCTTCAGAGAGAGGATTTGTCTTGAGCGATTCCCACGATTGGGAGTCATATCGCTCAATTCGTGTCTTTTCATCTAGGACACTCTCGTCCATAGATGAACTACTGAGAACTCTCTCGTTCTCAGTAAACACTGTTGCTGACCTTATGTCGGTTACACACTCGTCGTCATCGACGAGTACGCAGATCTGCTTGACTTTGCCACTACGCAGATCACGCAAGAACCATTTTATGTTCGAGCGTTGGCAACTGAGTGATCTCCGAAGTCAACTTCGGAGGCGCAATCAGATCAAGCGTATAAGCGCCTACACTTGATCCGTTATTGACTATGACATTCAATGTCTCTGTCATTTCCTGGGTACTTATTCCCTCAGGCTTTGAAGGACTTATTCCTTCGGCTTCCCGGAGACTCATTCCCTCGGGTTTCGGGGAACTTGTTTCCACCGTATCTGTAATATCGGAACTTATTCCCTTAACTTCCTCTAGCTGGGGTTGCGCAACCACAGCGAGATCCTCTACAAAATACTCTCCAGTCGATCTAGGATTATCGTTTCGCTCAACCTGAGCTATCGATTGTTTCTCTTCTAGATGTTCCCTTCTAGAGATACATCTTTGTCCCAGTCCACCCGACTTATTCGAGTGGTGGACCTTCGGCTCAGCCTGTGTTTCCTCACAGCCGCCGGAACTTTGCTCCGAAGTGTAACCTTTTGGTACACTAAGGTTTTGTGCAGTCGTACTAACGACCGTACCACAAGTGAGGCCATCGCACTCACTCGTAGTACATCCACACCCTTGTGGACGCTCCAAAACGTTCATCAGATGGCCATCTGATGAACAGCGGCAGGCATCGTTACTGTTCTATGGTGCCAGTTTACTCGTGGTTCGTACCTTCTGAGCCACGGTAGTCCAAGGATGACATCAAATTTGTCATCCAAATCCAATACGATAAAGTCATCATCATATTTGGTATCTTCTAGCGTAAGTAGATTTTCACTATACGCTTCATGACGGTTACGGATGCGCCTGTCGCAAGACGTACCGTCATCCTCGTAGGAGGTGTGTCACATTCACTGAATTTAAAGTGACCATCTTCTAGAGATTGGCGTCGCACAAAATTGTTGGACGCCCCACATTCGACTAGAGCTCGAAGGGACAACTTATTCGTCACTTCGAGTTTCAAGGTAATGAGTGAGATCTCATTACCTAGAGCAGCAACGCACAACGTTTGTGTGTTGGGAGCAACCTTCATCAAGAGGCCTACAAATTCTCTTGACGTTGCTGGACCAGTAGGGTGCTCCGCACCTACTGATCCTGTCCGTTTTTTGACGGTCCATCCCGTTGTTGCGTCTTTGCACCAACAGCGGACCCGCGTCCCTGCCCCTTTCTCATGGGTGGACGGTCACTACGCCCAGTGTCGCGAGACACTGGACGAGGGGCACTACACTCGTAAGCGTAGTGTCCTGTCTTCTGACATCTGTTGCATTTCTGCAGCTACTTGTAGTCTGTAGAGCGAGCCTTCTCGCTCTCTGCATAATAGAGTTCCATCGGCTCTGGACCTCCGTTGTCATATCGTCTCGGTTGACGATACGATGTCGAGCTGGCGCGAGCCTGTCTCAGACTGAAGTCTTCCTGCTCCGCAATGGAAATGGCTTGTTCTAGTGAATCTAGTTCAAGCCGGAACAGTTGAGTCTTGACGGGACCATCCGCAAGACCCTGCATGAACACCGAAACCAACGTGTGTTCATCCACCAGATTGGAACTGATACAACTCGTAAGATGTCGTATATGTTGCGCGTAAGCGTGCACATCACGCTTACCCTGCTTAAACTTCAAGAGTTCAGTTCGAGCCCTGAACTCAGCTCTAGGCGGTTCAAACGTTTGTCTGAGCCGCGACTTGAAGACTTCCAACGACCCAAACGCATATGGGTCGTGCAACTCTAGCCCCAGTGCCCAAGTCTTGGCACGTCCTGCCAAATTTGACTGGGCAAATGCAACTTGCATTTCCCCGTCGTCGATGCGACGTGCCCTTATGGCGTCGTCTAATTCGACAAACCATCTCAAGAGGGAGTCCTCTTCGACTTCCCTGTACTTGGAGATGTCAATCTTCAAGGTCTCGGGTCGACGCGAGTGCATCGACCCACCAGCAGCAGCCTGCTGCTGTCTCAACAGTTCAAACTGTCGAGCACCTTGTTCTCTCAACAACTCTGCTTGTTGAGAACCTTGTTGGTGAAGCAAGACTACTTTCTCGCGTTCGGCGTCAAGTTCATTTTGAATGAACTTGGCGATAGTAGCATGTTGGGCATCTCTGTTGAGAGCCTCTAGCATGACGCTAACAGCATGGATGCCCATGGTCGAACCCATCCGTTCAACCGCATTCCATTCGATATCGCTCAAATAAAAGTAGCCGGCACGCGTAGCGTGAAAGCTTTGGTCATCTTCATCATCCAACATATTCATGTTAGATGTGAACGTGGTCCCTGGACGGACTACGAAGTGCTGCCAGGTGTAACGGGGCACCCTGAAGCTTGTACTGGTGACAGTGCAAGCTACTTATTCTGATGACAGAATAAGGCGGTGCCTCGGAACTTCACGTACACTCGTACGTGTAGAGGACGACGGTAAGAAGAAGCGAGTACTTAGCTCAAGTAAAAAGTAGAACTGTATTTAGTATAGTTAATGTCTGTTAATAAATCACTATTTATCCTCATCTAACTATGTCTGAATTCAAATGTGCATATCAAATATCTGCTCACCACTCGTTGCGTGCGTCTGTCGTGGCGCGTCTTCGTTGGTTGATATTATGGCCTATATCAACTAATGAGGAACTACTTGGGAGTGCTGCAGAATATTGTCCTTATGACAATATTATGAGAAAATAACTCTTATAGTTATATTCTATAAACAATTTCTAACAAATTGTTATGTAACGATTCACCCCGTTACAGTTGTAGCATCGTCATTTTCTGCACATGAACTCCTTCTGTCTCTCTCACGCACTACCTGTTTGCTACGACCCTACGTCATACTATAGCTTTCGACCTCTTGTCCTTCGAAAGCACAACTCTCGCCTTCCACGGCATCCGACAATGCCGCTTCTCAATGCATCGTCAACATCGCAGTATACTTCGTGATGAGACCCTGCACGTGGAAAGCTCACAGAACGACAGCATCTACATGATTTTTGCGGCCATGGCAACACTTCCGCTCATCGTTGCTTCATCGTACGAGGACCGTCGAGCGTTGAAATACGTCTTTGGTAGAGCACGCTGTTGTACCTCGAAACTGAGGCCTTGAGCGAGCTCTTAGTGGCACGGGTCGACCTGCTTGTGGTACACTCCTTCCTTGCAAGATGATCCATAGCGTTGACGAGAACACGGCGAAGATACAGCCGTGTCAAATGACCGGACGACCAGCACACTAAGGGAATCCACCCACTCACTGCATCGCCGCTCACCTTTACTTTATCACATCACCGTGAATTCAGAACACGAATAGCTGCTTTGCGTTCAGACATTTGTCGTATCGTGAACCTGGGTCTGATCGTGGTGCGTACGTCGCTGTAGAGATCGGCGGCCTTAAAAGAACTAGATTGTCTGAGCTGCTTCAAGTGACGAAACCCTAGGTTTGGGCTCATAGATCTAGATTGCGAGGAGTACATGCGACCTTCTTGTCCTGTTTTGCTGGCAACCAGTACGGCTTGTACTTCCTTCCGCGAGCACACACAGTGTGAGTATCAAGAAGCACTTCCCACGACAAGGAAAAGGCGCGCTCACCATTAAACTTTGTGCCGCTTGCACTGCCTTGAACCAGAGGCCCTTTTGTAGGCACAGCAGAAGTACATTGGTTCAAATCGTTGAGCCAAACACCACACCCGAGGTAAAGCTGCTCGGTCATGTGTCAGACCCAAAACCCAATACGTGCTTCCAACCGCGCAGTGTCATCACCGAGACAATTATCGACTGCTAATGGATACCCACAAGGCTTTGGCGATGTAGCGCAGCTTGTTTAGTATAGTCTCGAGGGTCGGTGGAAGCCCCAAAACCTATAACCAATTCTGAACTCGGGACGTTTACATTATAATTCAAGTGCATCGACGCTCGACAATACCGCAACACCTTTTCAACAAACTCGGTCGCTTGCCATCTCTATCCAATCGACGCACCTCGGTGTTATCTAGGCGAAGAAGAACCAGCAAGCTTACTAATCTCTCTCCACTGGACGCATGCACCAAGCACAATAATCCGAGCAACCTCGAGCTGGATACAAAGGAGACCGTCCATAGCTGCTACTTTCCACCGGGTTATTCTACCACCGTCAACACTGCAGAACGAATAGTAGTGTACAATACGAAACAGCATACACATGCTCGCCGCAAACCCTCTATTCGTGTCTTGTTCCCGCCACCGAGTACACACGCGCGTACAATCGCTCCATCTTCGTCTACTTAATATACAGAGTACCATTGCATTGATCGTCAAAAATGGGACTGCCACCGATTTGTGTCCGTCTGCACTGTCATGGGGGACTCGATCACGTTCCGAACAAAACGCACTTCTGCCTAGTATGGACGCGAAGACTTGCGGGCTTTTCGTATACCTGCATGGTCCAGACCCGTCGCTTTTCGACTGGAAGTAGTTGACGACAGATTTGGAAGAGAACCGGACCACGCACCAGCTACACCGGGTGCCGTCCATTTGCAAAGCCTTGTGTCTTCCCCTCCCGTGTACAGCGTCGTGCTTTCTCTGTCATAGTACATGCAGCGCACGCAAGCTTTGTGGCCACCATTAAGCGCCGCAACATGCTGTAGTTTTCCCTTCGAGGCAGCATCGACGCCAATCTTGATCGCGTTCAAGTTGCCGTCGTGGCTACCAGCCAGCAGAAAGAGCTCGTCCGAGCACTCGTCGTACACACAGTCAATGAGATAGTCCGTTGCCACGTTATTGCCGTTGCAATCGTCTCGAATCGTGTCGTAGTGATGCAGTCTTTCTGCTGTCCAGATATTCCAGAGATCAAGTGTCTCGGTGCCCGTGAGGCAGTAGATCTTCTCCTTCTGTAGACCAAAGAAACCCAAGGTCGCAACAGCGCTCTCGACATTCACGATGCTCTCGAGCGCATCGTCTTCGTCCGAGATGCGGCAGTCAAACAAACACACGACCCCATCTTCTGAAGCCGTGGCGACAAACGCCGACTGGGTTGGATGGAACCGCACTTGCGTGATGGCGTCGACGTGGCTCTCGCTGTACTCGACGAGTTTCAAGCCCGTGCGCACGTCGTACAACAGCACGCAATCATCCGTTCCCACTGCCAAGAGCGTCTCTTCGCACCCAATTGAGAGACTCCAGACTTCGCAACCCACTGGCACCTCCATGGCTGCCAGCGCCATGCGTGTGTCCCACAGCTTCACGCACTTGTCGCTCGAGCACGTGGCCAGTTGATGTGGTGAAACGCGTGACGTCCACACCTCATGGACCGTGCTCTTGTGCGCGCAAAACTCGTGGCACAACGCCAACGTCTCGAGGCTGCGCAGCTGCAGCGTGTGGGTGGACAATGCGAGTGCGAGACCGCTACGGTGGGCCAGAGGCTGGCAGTTTAACACGTAGTCATACTCACAGGTGGCACTTGGAGCTTGGGCGGCAGCTGCTGCAGAGGTACCTATGGCAGAGTGCGCGAGGGTGAAGCCGCCCTGAGCTATAGCTGAGCGCATGGACAAGTCCGGATGGATACAGAGCAAGAGATGTCTGACTAGTCAGTTGACAGACTAATTAGGTGACGGACTAATCAATTGACTGACTAGTTTGAAATGACTGGCTGTGGTGCATTTGCTATGGGGCTATCTTGTCCCGCGCGGGATGGGACACAGGATAGCATAATCCTGTCCCATTCTACGCGGGATGAGATATCCTGCGGGACGAGATCTTTGAACATGTACCCTACAAAACAATGGGAATTCCAGATCTGCATACGCATGAGCGCCTCCATATGCGCTAGGGAATATGAAAAATAGACTGCATCCAGCCTAGTACTTACGTGGTCCAGCGTCTGTAGAGGCAGAATGATCTGATTCACAATATTCACGTTGGCGCCAATGAGGGTGTACGTACGTGAGCAGGGCTTGTTTTAAACGTGACGGAAATGATTATACAAGGATTAACCGCACGCATTAATAGCAGTGCAGTTGAGTTCCAGCGCGTAGAAATTTTATGCGGCATCGTCTTGGTCATAACTTCGAATTATGTAATTGCTCGAAAGCGGTCCCGACGCTTGATAGAAACGTCGAATCTCCTAAACGAATCTGTAAAGCAATCAACAACAATTCCAGCTGAAAGCGCAACAGGTTGAGTCCAGAAACTCACACGCGGATACCTATTAAACAAGTTTACGGTATCTAGCGCTAGTGTCGCGATATCCAGTAAAGTTTCGATGTTTATCGGATCTTCGTTAGGGGCAACCAAATCATCTCTGCAGGTATATTCAAGTGTCTTAGTGCATGCCCAGGCAGAATGGTCAAATAATACTCCCAACAAAAGGGATTCGTCAGGTTTACCATTGATCTTTATTTTCTGTTCACTTGACCCCCGGAAGAATTAAATAAATCGAGCCGTTAATAAAATCTCAACGTTATGCATTTTTAAAGAATATTGAATGCGGAATGCGCGGATGGGACGCTGCGTGACGGAGCCCGAGTCCAATACTTTCGAGACATCAAATGCTTTCATACTTCTCGTTCATTGCTCAGGAGCGGCATCATATGCACTTCTCTATTGAGGTCCCAATTTGCCTCCAGGCAGCGTCATGTATTTCACTGCGCCCTGCACTGCGTCGATACCCTTTGCACCAGCGTCTTATTTTGTGTTCTAGATGGTTTCCAAATCAAGATCGAAGCTGCAGTCCGAGCCACTTCTCCGGTGCCGTTTCTTGGTGCGCGCGCTGAATCTAAGCGCTACCATAGACACCGCTGGATCGGCAGCAAGCAACAACGGCTGCATTATGTTGACCAGTCTAATGATCGCTACACTCTCAGGAACAGGATGTACCGCAAGAACCAAAATTTAACGTACTCACAAGATTTCTACAACGGATGCGGATACAGAACTATAAAATGAGATAATTTGCTGTGCTAGCTAGCTGATGCTGTAATATCGATCTCGAACAGTCAACAGCGATGTAGGCGAAGCATACCAACAGTGTTTAGCCCAAATGCCTTGTTGAATCTTTCGGAACGTCAACTTGCACATCATCTCCCTCGATCTCCTCCTTCTTTTTGATTGGTCCCAGAATGGCCACATCTTCTACATCTCCCTCAATCTCCTCCTCTTTCTTGAATGGGCCCAAAATGGCCACTTGTACATCATCTCCCTCAATCTCCTTTTCCTTTTTAAAAAGACCCAGAATGGCCACATCTCACACATCGCCCTCAATTTCATCCTCCATCTTGACAGGGACTAGTGTTTTCGCGTCAACTATGTTCAATCCCTTCTCGGGCTATTCCTTGGGTCGGTCGTCGGCTGGGCTCTCCTCATATTTTCTCCGTCCAATCCATCTTCCCTTTAACAGGACGGAATGACATATCGTAGCACTGAGAATCATGGGTTTGTCAACGGGAAATTCACCGAGTAGGGCTTTATCGGCTCTGGTTCTAGAGGCTTTACCTCGAGCCCTGTTGGCACGCACGGCTTCGGCTCTATTCTTTTCACCTGTCATAGCTTTTTGTTTGGCGATTTGAGCGCTTGTTTTAGCGACTTGAAGAGCGTTCCTGCTTCGTATGACTTGGATTCGTTTGACAGCACTATTGATAGCGTCGACAACGGCTTGAAATCGTTAAATGAAGCTGGCGAAAGCAACGTCAACGGCTGGATTCGCTCCACAATATAGAAGCCAAGTGTAACGGATCTACTTAGCGCTCCTTAACAGAGGAAGTCAAAGACTCAAAGAGGCTCTTAGGTGTAACAAACTAACAACGACGTACAGTCGTTTAAGCGTACGAGCTTAACAATCGCGGTTCCTAAGGGATTATGATTCACAGAACCACTCACTAACTAGTCACTACTAGTTAAACAAGAGTAAGCGCCTTGACAAGGCTAATGCTATTAACAACACACTACGCCTTTACTAGGCACTTGTGTCCAACGATTCACAAGGGAAATGAACTTTGTTCTTTTAGCTACGGTAATAAAACCGTAAACCCTTGTCTGGCTTCTACATAACAGGGTTTTACCCATTAATCCTAATGGTGTAAAGCACCTGGAGGGCTGGCTCTAATCACGATCCCATGACAGAAGTCTATTCCCTTATCCCTAACCGATAAGGTGCGGTATTACTGTAAGTACGTGGTACCAATACTGTACCACTCAGATCCACCTATCTTTACTTGGTGTGTGAACACACCAAAGCCTGTTCAAGAACCACCGTGTAACCCCGTTACACGCTATGACCTCGCTCGCCCACCAAACTATCGACAGCCTCGTGCCGCCAATTATCGTATTTCTCTTTGAGGTCTATCAATGTTCTGGTCTCGACCATCGTGTTCACAACACATCTCAAAATGACTGTTGTGAAGCCTTCTTCCAACATCGTTGAGGAACTCCTCGAAGAGGGTATGGTGGACTATGAGATTGACACCGTAGCGTCGAGTGTCTATGACCCGCCTCCAGCTATGCCACTTGTGCGTGATATTATGCACGTCGCGCCTTATCCATTCGTGGAACGCGAAGAGGTACCTTCACCCCTTGCACAGCTTGCAGTCTTCGATACTGCGTCGGGTGTGTTGCACAACACCCTCAATGAAGATCAAGCTCAATATCTTCAGTCGGTCGACGACCGCAGGCGTCAAGCACATCGTATGCTCACAGTGGTAACCGCTTCACACTACCGATTGGAGGAATGCACTCGTCATAATGCCGGGCAGTAACTTGCAACATGGGTCACGGGACCTAAGGCTGCCACAGCCACTACACTAGTGGAGAGGAAAGCCCTTAAAGTGAGATACCTGGTGGTCGAGCGTATGACTGTCCCAGATTACCTCGACAGGATATATCAGCAAACACGAAGTGCGTCAGTGTCCTCCATGCGGACGGTACCTGTCGTCCTCTTCCCTGGTGAGACGGAGGCGGAAAAGGATGCCGTCTTCACGCGTTTAGCTCGCAGAGCTCGTCATTTACCAAGCCTATGGAACATCCAAGAGTGCGCTTTAATTGATGACGTTCGGCTCAAATGAAAGCTGCGCATGATTTTGCACAACGAAAGGATAAATGCCAACTGCGATCGTTCTATCGCACCCGCTATACTGCGTCAGCTACGGACCCGCACATCAGTGCACCTGCTGCAGCTGCAGCCCCTTCCACTCCCGCATCGACTAGTGAGAAGAGGTATGGATCGACTGAACCTGCAGACGACGTTCAAAAACGTCAACGGCTTACGGACAATTTTGCCGCAATGGCACTTCGTACTCTCATGAGTTCTCCGACCCCGGGTACCCCGATCCTATTGCTAGGAAACGAAAGCAGGCGGTGATTGATGAATCTCGACGCGTCGTCGACGAGTTAGTGCACGAGGTGCATGGTTTTCGTAACCGCATGGCGCGTCTTGAAGGACAAATAAGTCTTCTATTTATAGTTCCTAGACTTGTGGCAGTGCCAACTCCTTTGGCGCAAGCGCCTGTGATCCACCAGCGACGGATCATGGTCAGGCCTAAGCAAGCCGATGTAAAACACTGGGTGCATTCGCATCTTGCGTGGAAGGTTGAGCTTGTACGGTAGGCCCTTCTTGACTACAACCGCAAACGGCCCAATGAAGCGAGGATGCAACTTAATCCTATAGACCGCTGGCACCACTTTGGTAGGTAGATTCTTAGCGTTATATAAGACTAGGTCTCAAACTTCACAACTCTCCATATACTTTCTGCCTTTAGCATCAGCTTGTCCCTTCTGTTTATACTGACTATCAGCCATTGCATCACGTACATGTCGTTAGACAACAATAGCGTAGCGAGAAACTCGCTCACCTTTTTCCGAACAGTATCAGAGCTGAAATCAGCAAGTTTATCGGCTATTACTCCCCCCACCAAGCCCAGACTCACAGAGTGGAAGCATTAACGAAAGGCTTGGGTGCGTGAGACCATATACGCAGAATGGAGTAAATCCCGTAGATGCATGAACAGCGCTGTTTAACGCAAACTCGACCACCGGGAGCATCGTGCTTCAACTCCTAGGCGTATCAGCGCAAACACTGCGCATAATGTCACCAGTGACAAGGTGACACGCTCAGCTTGACCATCGGTCTGCAGATGATCCGCTGTGGACATGTACAACCCGGTGTCTATCACCCTGAAAATGGAAGTCCAAACTTACCAGTGAAAAGTAGATCACGATCAGAGACAATTTTTACATGCTAACCGTGTTGACAAAACACACGGTCGATAAACATCTTCGCTGTACCTTCACCATCGATAACATCAGGCACAGCCACTAAATTATAAATATTGCTCAAACGATCAACAAAGACCACAATACCATCGTTGCCTTCCTAATCCTACGGAAGGCCAATCACAACTTCTAAACTGATGGACTCCCAACACTCAGTGGGTACAGGAAACTATCAAACGGTGCAACCGCATGTGCTGAGGGTTTGACCCGTTAACACGTTTTACACGTAGTCGCATATGTGCTCACCCATTTGTACAACTTGGGTCACCAATATGTCTGGCGAACTTATCTATAGGTCTTCTCACGACCGAGATGACCGCTTAAAGCAGTTTTATGTGTCTCAAAGAGAATACGTTACTTCAATTCCTCATCATGAGGAACAAAGATGCGAGGCACATCCTCAACACCCGTGCAACAGCACAACAACCCACTATCGATGACAAATAGATGTATGCTCGCACGTAAACGTGCCGACAATTTGATGTCCGAGTCTTGAACCTCCTCACTCCCAAGAGCATGTAGCAATTCTACACATTGCTCATCACGTGCATATACCGCACGAAAAAAAAAGTCTACTATGGATGACGACAGAGTCGTAACATGAGCAAGCTCATAATCAGGTCTGCGTGACAACTCATCAGCCAAAGCGTTTTGCTTACCCGGCTAGTACTTCACCTCAAGGTTGTATTCAGCAAAGAGTGAAAGCCACAGGGCCATTCGTTGTGAGAGGTGAGGCGACTGTGCGCAGTGCGTAACGACGCGTGTTCGGTGAAGATCACAAAAGGCTTTGAGCCAAGTAGGTGGACTCTGATCTTAACAAGTGCACATTTCATAGCGAGTAACTCTTTGTCGTGAGCTAGGATAGTTTTGTCCGCAGACTTAAGCTAACGAGACTCATACTCAATGACGCTTATATGTCCAACAACATCTGTTTGCAATAATGCACACCCAATAGCAAAATCGGACGCGTAATAGACGACACTGAAAGGCCACTCAAGTTCAGGCAAAGCCAAGATTAGCGCATGAAACTTACTGTCCTTATTAGCTTCAAAATATTGACCATGGACTGCGTCCCACCGCCAAACGGCATCTTTTTTAATGGGTTGGTTAATGGCCTTGCCATTTCAGCGTGATTGTACTGTACTTGCAAAAGTAACTAGCAAGGCAGAGAAATTTATGCAAGTCCTTTTGGTTCGAAGGAACTGGCAAGTCATAGAATGACTTTACATTTGATCTATGGTCACGCTTCCCAATAAAGCACCCTAGACGGTTAATTTTTTCCGTGCCAAAAATGTATTTTGATGCATTTGCATACCCCTCGTTCGTGCGCATGCACTAGAGTACAGCTCTAAACGGTAAATGTGATTATTTACATCAGATCGACCGTTTGATGCACGACTATGGACAGAGATGTCATCGAAATAGATTCGTGCATAGCCTCGATGAGGTCTGAACAATTGCGTCACAAGACGGTTAAATGTAGCTGGGGCATTGGACAGCCCATGAGGTATGACGAGCCACCCTCTCAAAGCATACTGCTTGAAGTACTAACCACTGGGAGCGGAATACCACTCGCTCGCATAAGCAATTGATAACACCCAGCGACCAAGACGAGTGCACTGATCACGGTACATCCTACTATTGCGTTCTAAAGAACGTCCTTTCTAGGAATAGGCGTCTGTGCCGGTATAATGGATGCATAAAGCTTTTGAAAGCATGCACACTACGCCACTTTACGTTTGGCTTCCTGACAGAAAATAATGGTGTCGAGTGCGGAGACTTGCTCTCACGCACCATGCCTTCCGAGTGCTTTGCACGAAAGAACTCTTCAATGACGTCACACTGCTCCTTTGGTAGGGTCCATTGGCTTGTAACGCAGTATTTGGTTCCAGGAATCAGGTCAATTCTATGACGTACGCCTCAATTAGGAGGCAGAGTGGAAGGAGACACCACTCTGACACACCACATCCTGGAACTGCTTGACCATAGGATGACACACCACATCCTGGAACTGCTTGACCATAGGATACAGCGGGTCTTTGGGATCTTTCAAGATCGATGACCCACTTCGAGCACTCAGCCCCGCCTTTATGTCTTACAAGACAGCCTCGTCAAGAAGGTACGACGAGTTTGACTCACTATCGGATCTAATGACCACCACTTCAGATAAGTCAACCCGACTTCAATATCAGGCGAAACTCATCGACAGACATTTCGTCTAGCTCTAACAAAGTATTCAGTGAGGGTAGAATCTGAAGACTCACTGACCCATCTACGTCACCAGTCACTCCGTTAATGAGTGTATACATCTTCTCGCTAGTATCACTCAGTGACGTAACAGAAGACATGCGTTGCATAGCAGCAATCTGGCATCTCTGTCGTCTCTGTGACGAGACTAAACGTCTAAAAGAGACTGAAACTTTCTAGCTCCCAAGGTTTATATCATCATCATCATCACCCTTAACTTGCTCTGTACAAGAGCCGGTGTCATACCCTACACTCGGATCATTAATGTCCCCAAGATTAACATGACCATCAACCTTAAGTTGCTCATCACCAGAGCCGATGTCATTACCAACATCTGGGACTATACCGCATCCAAGGTAGCGAACTACGTCAACCTTAAATTGCCCAAAATTAGGACCGATGTCACTACCGACGTCTAGAACTGCACTGTCCCCATGGTGACGAACTACGTCATCACTAGTTCGATCTATATCATGTCAGTGTCATTACCGACATCTGGTAATGAGTCATCTACAGTAATATCACCGCCCAGTGGGTACGTGCCACTCCACGCTCATCAAATGTGTGTCGCCCTTAATGACTTGGTGTTTTACCAACAATATCTTGACTGACATTCGGTGTGTCGCAACACGGCCAACATCATTTAGTGGGTACTTACGTGCCACTCCACTATCAGTCAACGAGCTTGGCTTGCAACTAACGTTTTTGATATCATTGTTTAACTCAATGAGTTCATCCATACCGATGTCCAGCACCCTGACTGTATCAGTCCGTGTTTTGAGCCAATAGCGCTTCTGTTTTCTGGCAGATGTAAGCTCATGACTCTTTAAATCTCCACTAGGAACAGTGCTCATTGTGCCTAAGGTTTTTAAAATCCAATAAATCCATGGCTCATGGCGTTCTAGCCAAGCCATACCAAAATTGAAGTCGTGCCTATCATCCAAGTCAAGGACTAGACAGCGTTCTACACTGTCAAAGTCCGCAAAATTGACGCCTAAGCTCACAGGAATTTTAGGAACATTGATCAATGCACCTGTCGCCAAGCGAACAGTGATAGTCTCCATCTTTCGCGCTTTCAGCGCCTCAGCATACAGCTGAATCCCTTTCAGGGAATAAAGTCGGACATAATTTTAAGACACTCCGCAGTCAATCAAAACCGACCATAGCTTATCAAAGCCCTTCACCTTTGCTTTCGCAACTAAAAAGCCTGGCTTGTACTTATGCTTCGTGACATTTCTCACGAATCCACTAGGGGCTAGGCTCCGTTCTCCATCACCTCCCAGAGGTATAACAGAGCCTAAATCCTCCCCAGCAGAGCGCCCCGCACCTACTGGTAATCAACGTTTTCCCGCGCCAACCAACTCGTTGGGTAGCTACGGCAGGTTGGCTCGTAGAGCCTGTACGACGTTCTTAATGAAAAATTGGGGCGAAGATGATTGATGATCCCACACGTTAAACATCTACGGATGTTCGAACGTTGTTCGACATCGTAAAGCTCAGCTTCTTTGTACCTCTCAGCGAGACTAAGATCCGTGGGCTCTGCCCTATCCGTGAGATGAGCAGTGCTCAACGAGTTCGGTTGGAACCCACGAGTCCTTTAACGAGCAGCTTTAAAGTTGAACTCTGCGTTCAACGCTATGTCCACTGTGCCCTCAAATGTCAAGAGTTTTGTACACAGCACTTCTGTTCTGGTAACGCCAGTGCGAATACCCTCCCGTAAAATGGTTACCAAAACCGTATCAGGTAAAGGGTCAAGCTGCATAGCAGCAATTAGAGTTCGCAAAATATGGACATAATCGTCTAAGTCCTGTTACCCTGGCGGGTTGACAGGAAGCGTGATCGCACGCGATGTGCCTGATTAGGCGAAGCATATACCGGGTGGTATAGTCTCGTCTATATAGGTACCAGAAGTGAAGGCCGTCTCTCTGGCTCACCCACCTAACTTCGATAAGGACAGGTTCACCTTTTGCTGCTCTACCGCAGCAGGGCCGAGCTGATGGCAAACTCCATCTATCGAACCCACAAAAGTAGATTTTCCCTCTTTTCCTTAAACGTATTGACGCTTTAGGCTAGCGGACGAGTCCTCGACTCAGTGTCCGGTATTGGAACATGCCGAGTGGGCATGGCAGATGCCAAATGGTCATGGACCTGTCCGATAAACGTGGACTTAATGTTCGAGAAGGGCTCGAGACGTGCACGAAGTGCGTCCAGTCCTTGCCATCATAAGAGCCACTTGCTCGTGCCCGATCAATGCCTTGAGATTCACAATCGTGATCTACTGGTCCTCAGAGAGGTTCATGGCCGTTTCCATCCTCTCAGAGGATCCAGTCGGTGAAGTCTCAGGTGCAGATTGACTACAAGTGCTACCAAGTGTAGCGGAGCTACTTAGAGCTTCTTAACAGAGGAAGTCAAAGACTCAAAGAGGCTATTAGGTGTAACAAACTAACAACGACGTACAGTCGTTCAAGCGTACAAACGTAACAATCCGGTTCTAAAGGGATTATAATTCACATAATCACACACTAACTTGATACTACTAGTTAAACAAGAGTAAGCGCCTTGACAAGGCTGATGCTCTTAACAACACACTACGCCTTTACTAGGCACTTGTGTCCAACGATTCACAAGGGAAATGAACTTTGTTCTTTTAGCTACGGTAATAAAACCGTAAACCCTTGTCTGGCTTCTACATAACAGGGTTTTACCCATTAATCCTAATGGTGTAAAGCACCTGGAGGGCTGGCTCTAATCACGATCCCATGACAGAAGTCTATTCCCTTATCCCTAACCGATAAGGTGCGGTATTACTGTAAGTACGTGGTACCAATACTGTACCACTCAGATCCACCTATCTTTACTTTTTGTGTGAACACACCAAAGCCGGTTCAAGAACCGCCGTGTGACCCCGTTACACGCTATGACCTCGCTCCTCGTCGGACAGCGTGAATGAGCCGTAATTTGTCGTGCTCGACGTTTATCCAAATGGATTAAACCCTCTGTTGGCTATGACCTCATCTCTGTGCGCAGGGAGAGCTTATTCAATAGCGAGAAGGAGTCGAAGTTGCATAATTGATGCTGGAGCTGATGGCTCGGGTACTACGAGACGAGACGCGATGTGAGAAATTGCGGAACGACTATCCTAGCCACCAACCAATAATTAGTTTGCACAGTAGAGTCTCCCATAGTAGTTCCTCCACTAGACTTAATTAAAGTTCAGTAAAGTCTGTGTAATGACCAATAAGGTATAAGCCATTGCTTTCAGTTATACTATATCAGTACCTGTGCCAGCGTGATTTTCTAAAACTAGTTCAGAATCGAGGAATTAGGTGGTCGAAGACACTTTTTCTTGCTGGTAAAAGCTGCACAAGTTAGACCCATAACGAGCGGTATGACGTCCACGCAGGAGCTATTTAGTTTGCTTGCTGCAGTATGTAGGTTTCTTAAAACCTCAACTGCCAATGAGAATATGTTTTGCTGGCGAAAAACGTGTATTAAAAACACGTCTAGGATAGTTTAGGTGCTACGTGCGCTGCATGTAATACGTAGATGGTCGCAAGAATCTATAAGTAAACCGACGTTCTAAGTTACATCGAGCAGGTAGCAGACAACATACCACATGGTAATCTTTTCGGTCCTGGTGACCCACTTGCAACGAACGCCACATTTAACTACCATTCCACGTCTTTCTTTTCATCTTCTGTAATGTAAAACTATACCCCAATCTTGTCTTTGGTCTGTTTGGCTGATCCTTCATATTGGATCCGTGACGTCCAGAATTACCTGCTTTCGAACGATCTTAGTTTCAATGTCCATGATAGCGTTTTAGTGGAACCAAACTCCGTTGTTGCTCATTCGGCCCATGTCGTCTGTGGTAATCCATGATATACAGTTTATGCTTTAAAGGTATACAGATCAGTAATGGTAAGGCATATTTGCTACATTTACAAATGTCCAGGTAATTAACAAACACGCTTAAATTGTCTATCCACGCATGCTCCCACTTAATGTTACACATCGAACATAGTAAGATGTGACTCAGGTCATGGAACTCGTTTGCACCTTTGTAAGAGAATGCAAATGCAGAGCTTTGTTAGCAGCCTGAAGATTAATAATTATGGGATTGGCTTCCTGTATTGTTGTGGCCGTTTGTGATGTGTTTGTGACCGTCAGATTTTTACCAATTCAATTGATTTAACAATACGTATGCTGAATAATCAGGTATACGATAAGTACCCACCTGGAAAGTTTAAATGCACCGATCGATAGTAGGTCATCGTGCCGGTGAGTTTGGGGTGGTCAACTAAAATATGACATTCTGATCTTAGTCTATTCTACCTAATCTAATTCTGATAATACTATCCTAATTTTGACACACCTATCCTATTCCGATTTTAATCGTATTTGTTGTAAAGGCGATTGCCGGTAGGTATGAGCTACAGGGGAAGGTTGATTGAGCACAGTGATTAAACGTACGTCCATAAGGCCAAATAGAGTAGACATTTGACGCGTTAAATCTCTTGAGAGACACGAGAGGCACACTACATGCGTTTTATGCGTACATATTCATGCCATATAACTAGCATGTCTCTTTCAAGCAGAAATGCCGATGTTAGCATTGAGGTGATTGCATTCCCGGTGGCAAGATCGAGAGAATTGATCATAAAGTGCCTACAACACGTTTTAGAACATCACGGTTTGTCAATGATGCGGATATAAAAATATCGTCGACAAGAACATACTTACATTGACGACGACAACGACGACGCCTGTACCATCAATGCAGCAAGCTTCAAGGCAACCAACGTCAAGTGACGACAAGTAACAGATATTTTTAGACGATGCTCCAATGGTGGTGGACTTTCACAGGCGTTCTTCTGAATGGATTCGCAAAAGATACACATACGTGTCATGTGGCATGCATGTGCACGTCTCAAACGTGCAGTGTGCTTCGCAAGAATATTACCACATCAACAGAGCCAAAATATGTAGGTTATTTACGGATGTATTAATCGCTGCTATCCGCGTCTCCTCCATAACCTAGGCCTCCGTAACTGATCGCCTTCCACCACGCCCATTTTCATTAGCTTGCTGAAACCTCATCCACTGTACGCTTAGTTTTCGGAGGAAACTATGTCTTGTTCCAGCCACGGGACAGAAAAACAAAATTTGATGGCGGCAGGTTGAATATCAAAGGCCTGAACGGTTCGTATTCGATCGAAACCTTGCGAGTTGCATTGGGTGGCTCCTGCCATATCTCGATCATCAAGGTCTGCTATTCATGCAATCACCATTTCCGATCAGCTAATAGTTCACAAAGACTCTATCCACGCATAAGTAAGTCTCCCCATTGTCAGAGATAAGCTGAAATAGATGGGGCATCACAAATAAGAGGTTTTTTCATGCAGGATGAGCTGTGCTGGGTCGAGTGAGGATTTTTCGTCTTTTACTCTGAGCGACGATTCTTCGCATCGTAGCGCGCGCTGTTGAATGCATCAAAATCCACGGGCATCTAGTTGTTCGCGCATGTCATTTTGATGCATATCTCTGCACATTGCCACATGCACACTGCATCTTTCACATGATTGTAGCTGAATACTCGACCCAGGTCAATTACTTGTGTCGGACTCTTCTTTGCTGCGCGTGAGAGTGGTCATTTCATGGAGGGCCCCACATGCGAGATTCGGTTCGCTTCATTTCTCATGCAACATAAATAAACCCTGTAGAGTCGAAGTATTGTAGGACAGAGCAAGATACGTTGGATCACATGTGATCTATATATATTTATGGTTTCATAGCCTCTGTCTACAGATCTGTCTACCATACTAACTTGATGTGTTCAGTATGCGGTAATGAGACACAGAAGCTACATTCCGGGCGTCATCTCGAATGAAAAAGTGCGTCCTTTGAGCCAGTACGCGCCCTATGTAGCAACCATCTGCTACAGTGAAAAGGTCGCCCCGGTGGTAATCCTTCATGTCGAAAGAGTCGTCAGAGATGCTATACTCGATGGTGCCTACCAGAGTGTTTATCACAATTCCCCCACTTCCAATTTCATCGCACACAGCTCAAGCTAGCTTCCTTCTTCGTCGAACTACAACATGAAACTCGCCTTCTTCGCCGCTTTTTCGATTGCTGTTTTTGCGCGCAGCGATGCTGTCGCAGCTGGTGCGGAGCCCAATCAATTCGAGCCATTGTCGAAGTCCACAACCTCTCTTCTTCCCGCACGACCCCTCACGTTCGGCGACCTGCCCGCGGAAGACGCACCTGGAGGAAAATTGCTTCGCCGCCCCAATTCCATAGTCGATGAAGCTCCCGTCTTGTCTGCTGATACCAACGAAGAGCGAGTGTTCATGAGCGATTTCGCGCCAACTGCGAGATTGGCATCCTATATCATAGCGAAGTGCTCGAAATTGGCTGACAAGTTTCGTAACCGCAGTCGCATAAACCCTTCCTTGACCTAGTCGACTGTCTGAGGTAGACACGCCCGCAGATACAGTAGGCGTGGAGCGTAGACACTAAAAAGGACTAAGAGGGAGCAGTCTAGACCGAAGCATAATCTATTTGAACATTGAATTCCTTGCGGTAGTCCGACTTCTGCGGTTCGCACCGGTTGGTGCAGCCCATCAGCCTCGCTCATTTTTGACTCGGCCCAACGTCAAACAAGAGCCATGGACCGGCGTGAAAAGCGGCTCTGGAGAGTAAAGCAACGGAGCTTTTGACCCGCGCCCTATACCTTGGCCTCGTCGTCTTACTTTGGACTCAGGATTTACGCTACAGCCTGAGCTCGAGCTCCTTTTCGGTATCGCTTCGTGGCGCGTGTACTCGTCTCAACGATTACACTGGACGACACGAGCAGTGTGCACCTTGTTATGCAAAAGCTACGAGTGAACGAGATAGAAAGTCTCGCAAGAGATGAAACAGCCACTTGGCAGGTGAGCAGATGCACGTCGATGGATTTGTGTAGTGCTGCAACCTCGAAGTCGTATGGGTGCAAGAAATATATCCAGCCAGATAACGAGCTGCCGCACAGTCGCGGATAAAGAGTGATTCTAGCCACACTCCATCAATGACGGGGCGAACGACTTCTTTTGATTTGACGGAGGCTGGACAATACCACACAATCGATCGCGTTGATTGCCTATTTTCATCCCGCTTGGCTCTTCGTTTTGTCGTTAATAGGTGATATGTAAGACCAAGTGCGGAAAGCATCTGGCCTCCGAGAACATTACGGTTGCCCTCTCGTTGTGTCGTTGTCCAGTCAACGAGTTCTTGCCGCTAGCGACTGGATCATGTGTACGTGTTGTGAATGGTTGAGTCTCTGGTGCTAATAGGGTCCGTCTTCGATACCAATGGGACGGAAATAGAGTCACTAGTGAGCAAGCTGTGTATGCATGCCCGCTTCACCTGGACAGTGCTCGAAAGTGCCCATCTGGTCTTTGTCCGAGTGTACAATCGGCTGCAGTATGCTCAGTGGTAGCGTTTTAGCAGCACACGTTCACGTATGGTTCCAGGCGACAACAATGAAGCGTCGATCGTACTCTATCTACTGAGCAAAAGAGTGCAGACAAAACGAAAGTGGATTCGGCATGCGAAAGTGAAGACCGTATTACCATGTGGCGATTGAATGAGGTTCCAAGCGTTCGAGCAAGTATAGATTGCAATACGACCCGATGGGGTATGACACGAATGATTCCAGATAAAGTATGTGGATGCTGGAGATCATCTGATGCAGCGAAACACGTGGTGGTTGTCAGAAGCACTTTGTTGCGTCCCGATGGGATTGCAATCAAGAATGTTGTGGCAGCCAGCATCAGCCCCGTCCTGCTGAGATTCGGTGCACTTAGAGCAAAGTGATCGGACCAATCACACTAGCCTCTAGAACCCCTCCGCCTATTCTTGGCCTTCATGTGATGTAGGTCTCAAAACAAAAAGACGGCATCGGTGTCCTACTTTTGGCGCAACTTGCACAGACGAAGTGCTCTTGATGAACTCGCCCTAAAGTGCTACCCACGATTACCTAATAACCGATAGCCCTGAGTTGCGCTCGTGATTCCACGACTTTTGTCTGCAAGTGCTGCGGATGCATTCGTAAGTCGAACCAACTGTAATGCTACCGACTAGATCATTCGATACGAGGGCACAGCAGCCTGTGCTCCGACTCATACCGAAACACTTGTATTCGAACCCATTACGCACCTCAAAAATTATCTTACAAAGACGGCCCGCTACCGACAGCACTAAAAGTACCACTCAAATCGCATCAGCTGATGTTTCATACAAATCAACCAGCTCCTTCCAACCCCAGTCGGAGGTCAATCAGAACGTCCATCGAAGCGATGGACCAGACAACATACACCTACCTGACCAATCACCTGGCTGACTTTAACTATTAAACTAAGTGCACCACACCATTTACCCATCCCTTTCCAATAAAACGACTCGAGTGGTCGCACAAGCACTCCATTGAACCCAGCACAGCCGGTACTTGTACCACGCGCTCCCTTGTTCACTCCTTTTCATGTACTCGCCTGCGCTCTCAGGAGCCGGGACGCATCGGAACGGCGTCCGTCGCACCCCTCGACGTGAGATTGGCAACGTCCAGCAGCAGCAGCAGCGCGATGGATCCACGCGTCGTCGTCGTCACCGCAGTTGGGTGGACCATGACGGCGGCTCGTCCTCGCCGTCTCGAGGCAGCGAATCAATCGCTTTATTGGTCGATAATGACCGTGGTGTGTCTGACACAAATCGGGGCAATCGCAGGAGCTGGGGTAATTGGTGTATACCACACCAGTTAGGCGACTTCACCAATGCACTAATGTACGGGATCATTAACTCGATCCTGACCATTCCGTGTATGTATGGCTATGCCGCTATTATCTTCAGTCACCCAGCTTTCACCACGTTTATGCCAGCGCTGTCCAAGCTCGTGATGCTGTCCAGTGTCGTGCACCAAGTCATGTTTACACTCTTGAGCTCGCTGCCGTTTGCCATTGGCCAAGTCCAGGACGCCGGGCTCATTTTCCTCAGTGCAATTGCCACGTCCATTTGCAACTCGCTGGGTCCAGAGGTGTCACTGGAAGCCAAGGTCACGACTACAGTGGTTACAATTGGCTTGGCCACGGCGTCGCTTGGCGCCGTGCTCGTGCTACTGGGGAAGTTTAGGCTTGCAGGGTTGGTGTCTTATCTGCCGATGCCCGTTGTGGGCGGCTACCTGGCATATATTGGCCTCTTCTGCTTGTATGCAGGCCTGTCATTGTGTACTGGACTAGTGATCAATGACTTTACGTCAATGATGCAGATCTGGGACATGCACTACATGATACTCTGTATCCCCGGTGCTTTGGGAGGAGTTGTCCTGCTGCTGGTGGCACAGCGGTGCGAAAACTCGTTTGCGCTGCCTGCGACGATTTTGTTGATGCCAGTGCTGTTCTTTGTAGTGCTGCCGCTGTGTGGGATCTCGCTGGAGGAAGCACGCGACTATGGCTGGGTCGCGCCCGTGTCTGCCCCTGCTGGTTTCGTGCAAATGCTCGATCTATTTGATTTCTCGCAAATGTACTGGGGCCAAGTCCCTGTGCAATTTACGACATGGCTCGGTATGACGTTTGTAGTGGCTTTCTCGTCTTGTCTGGATGTGGCAGCTATTGAGATGGACATGGGCAGTCAGCTGAATATCAATCATGAATTAAAATCTGTTGGCTGGGCCAATGTCGTCAGCGGATTGCTGGGCGGATACACTGGATCATACATCTTCTCGCAGACCATCTTCACATACCGCTCGAAGACTAATTCGCGAGTCGTGGGTGTATGCGTCATTATATCCGAGTTTGCCATCGTGCTTGTACCGTTATCCGTCATGAGCCTCGTACCGCGATTTTTCTTTGCAGCCGTCTTGATCTTCATCGCAGTTGACTTGATGACGGAGTGGCTTGTCCACGTGTACCACAAGATCTTGCCTCGGGAGTATATTGTGTTGTGGCTCTCCTTCATTGCTATCAACATGGTCTCGCTTGAGCTTGGGATGGTGCTCGGTATCGGATTTGCTATCCTGAACTTCATGATCGGTTACGCACAAGTCCGTGTTGTAGCTCGCCGATCACGTTCCTCTGCTGCTGTGCGAAAACTTGCTGCTCGCACTCTGCTTGGTCAGAAGCGCGACGCCATCGTCTACTTGGAGTTGTACGGGTACCTTTTCTTCGGGTCATCGGTCCAGGTTCTCGAAGATGTGCAAAAAGCTGTGTACATTCGCAAGCCCCGAACCGACAAGAAGCAAAAGTCAAGTAAAAAGTTGGGTGTAGAGCTGCCGGTGGTCGACGATTCGAGTATCCCGCTAACACCTGTATCCAAGCGAGACGTCCCAATTGTGCGTTTAGATGGCAGTCCTGCACCGCATCCCGATGGGCTGCCGACTGAATTTGTTGTCATGGATTTCAGCCGCGTGTCTGGTATGGATGCAACGGCTGCTCGTAGTGCGTTCATGACATTGCAGCAGCATTGTAAACGCCATGGGATTACTGTCCTATTTGCTGACGTGTTGCCCGACATCCGCAGCTTGCTTCTCAAAAATGAGATTGTGGATGAGGGGAGCTTCTTTTCCAATGCTGACGCAGCTTTGGAATTTAGTGAAAACCGGTTGTTGCTGCACACCGACCATGTCCGAGATTTCCACCATGCTCATGAGTCCATGAGTGTGCTGTTGCACCGCTTTATTGGCGAGCCGGACGAGTCGCCACTTTTTACTGGCATTGACCAGTTTTTTCGCAAGTATGAAGTGCCTGCAGACTACGAGTTTTACCGTGTAGCCTCGTACCCTGATCGGTTCTACTTCCTTGCCAGTGGTCGCGTGGCACTCTTTATGAACGATGACGGTAGCGTGGCCCCTGGAAAGCCATTGGTTCCATTAGAGAATGTAATGCCTGGTGCCATGTTTGGTGAAGTCGACTTTTTCGGCCGTCAGCACCGATACATGGCTGCAACGGCGATTGAACCTTGCACTGTATTCGAGATGACGCGCCAAAGCTACGAGTCGATGGATGGGGTCGTACCGAAGCTCTGGAATCGACTCCGTGACGTTGTGATGCAATCGATGGCGCTGTCAATTACCAACACCACATCCATCAACACTTTGAACAGTGTCAATGGCCATCGTCTTGGATGTAACTAATGGGAGGACAATTATTGCTGCATGCTCATTACTTGCAATGCAACGCTACGTTACGTTCACGTATTACCAAATTGCATTCTCTTTAAATTCTGTGCATTAAAGCATAAATAATGCTGATTAAAACCGTCTGTGCAACAAGTGTTCACTCAAGCTGAATTTTGATCGAATGTTATTTTTCAAAAACTTTGTGCCATGTTCGTGCAACATACGCAGCACATGCCGACGCGAGACTATCTCAGAGTTGCTAATTCTGAGTATAGTCCTCGACACAAACCATCCCACCCCACTTGGCTTGAGTACCCATTTCGTCGATATGAGCCCAAACGTTTGGACAGCAGCAAGTGACGGCGACTTGGCAAGTGTCAAGGCCTTTGTAGCCAATGGAGGAGATGTCAATGCCAAGGACGAGAATGGATACACGGCCTTGTACTGCAGATTTGATTTATATTAATAATATGGATGCATTCCGGTAGTAGGGTAAGAGCTAACGAGTGTCGATTGATAGGCAGGCAGCCGTGAGTTACAGCCACATCGAGCTCGTGGTATTTCTGTTGGCCAGCAGTGCAGACATCCACCTGGGTAGGTGAGCAGCTTTTTTGATAGACTCTGGCTCGTGTGGGGCTGAAAGGCGTCTCCGACCTGAAAACCAGGAGACAATGACCGGGACACTCCACTACATCTGTGCGAGACGGTGGAATGCGCTCGAGTGCTGCTGGAAGCTGGTGCAGATTTGAACGCACGCAATTCCGATGGGCGGACGGTAGGTTGATGTGGAGAGGTTTTTGGGTCGTGCCATTGTAACTGCTGCGTCATTGACTTGACTGTCGGGTGTACCTCAGCCCTATGATGTTGCTATTGAAGACGAGAACGATGAGCTCATGGCGATGTACGAGAACCTGGGCGCCGAGAAGTCTCGCGCGACGATCACGGAAGAAGAGAACGGCTTTTTGAATTGTGAAAGGCAATGAGCTGGGCTTGCAAGTCGGTAGTAGCTCTCAACTGTTTTTCTAACAACGTGAGGCTTTCATCACGAAGAACGTTGGACTACTTCGTAATCACTTGGGCTGACGAACTGCAGGCTCTTCGGAAGTGTGTCACAGTCCACTGGCGTCGTTGTCCAGGCGCTTTATTCTATACTCATGCTAGCTTCACACTGGGTCGTTGCCGGGCATTACTTGTGTAATGGTCACTGTCCAACAGTCTACAATAGCCGGCTGACTGGCTTCAACGCTATCAGACTACCATTGCTTACTTGTGTTCACTCAGCAAGAATTTATCGACACGACCCGCTGTCACGCGGTTCAGGCTCATTATATCATTTAATATCATTGTGAACTGACTGACTGTAACTGGATACAAATGCATGCACCGCTGCATCATTTCTTGCTCTCCTTATAGCTACCGAGTGTGTTCACGGCAAAATACCGAATGACAGTTTAGTGAGAGTCACATAACAAAAGTATTAGCTGCTCCTGTCCACCCATTTGTCTTCGGTCATTCAAGCCAGCATCAAGACATTAGTGTCAAACACACCACTAGTCGAGTCAAGGTCATGCACCTTCTGAATCAAGCAAGCTTGACGCACCACGGACATTGCTGCACTTTCAGTCAGCTCCGACTCGCATAGATCGATGAACGCTCCAGCATACTTGAGACTGTAGCTAGTGAGCCCGCCCATAAAGGCACAGTGCATCTCAAAAGTGCGCGCGACTTTCTCATGGCACTCAACATTCTCGGTCACTTCAACTTGCACCAAACGCCCTTTCGTCTGCTGCTCGTACAGAGCGTGAATCGTCTCAAACACTCTGTCAGCTGCTTCTCGAGATTCGATCGCTGCAGTAAGCTCAGCTGCAAGTTCTTGGCGGTTGTTTCCTGGTGCAGCGCGTAGATAGCGGTAGAACCTCATGACCAGATCTACGTCCCGTGCATCCACTGCACTCGCATGGACCGGTACCGTACCAGTCACTCCAGCAGTCGATAGCATGTCTGCGTCCTCACTGCTAGCACCAGCCTCATTTGCGCTCTTATCGTACGTGGACTGATAGTTGCCAACAATCTCGTGGCTAAGTTTCGACGATCCAAACGCTTTCACGTGGCTCTTCGTTGTCTCGCTCTTTACTTTGTGAAACTGCGTCGTCAACGACTCTCCTGACAGATCTGTGAGGTCGCTGTCCTCCATCCAATTGACCGAGTACATGTCGCCAAGGCATGAACCAATAGGTTTGCCATTCACTTCATCAAGAGGAGGGCAGTACGTTGCCCACGAGGACTCAAATCCGTTTGCAGCCGTCGTCACGAACGCGTTGATACTCTTCAAGAACCTGTCCGAGAACATGGACCCGGACTCACAGGCTTCCATGTACACCACGAGCTCTTTGTACATGCTTGTATCGTACATTGTCTGCATTGCCTGCTTCAACCGCGAAGCTGAGAGCGGCTTCATATGGGGAAAGTAGACGTTACCACGTGACCCATGGTCAATAAAGTTGACAAATACCCGGTCGTCTGCTTGGCTAGCAAGAACCTTCTTGTTCAAGGCACCAGAGCTGTTACCCGTCAGGACGTTCAGGAACATTTCAGGCGTCACGTCCTCACCACGAAAGTCAATATGGCAGCCCTTGTACACGTCAACCACAGACTCCTCAGCAACGTGTGACACGGGCTTGGACGTGGGTCGATTGAAGAGCTGGCCAGGATACGGATTGCTGTCGTGCCAGGCCACGTCGTCGTACATCATGAGCACAACGTTCTCGGCTGGGATGCCGTGCCGTCGCACGACGTGGTAAGCGTGACAGGCATCCGACTGGTGCCGGTAGTTGCTGTAGCCACTGGATCCAGCTACGATGACTGCCCAGTGCTCAGCTGAGACGGTATCGCTGATGCTGCTGCTGATGATCCAGAGCAAACTGAGAAGCGTAGGGATCATGACGACGGTCTCCTGTAAGTTCCTGAAAGGTAAACAGTCACGAACACAGCCACAGAGAGAGAGAGAGCGTTAATGTCGTGTCGAAGGCTCTCCAATTTCTTCTTTCGGCGAACTCGATTGGTGATTTGAAGGGTATGCGAGTAGTTAGTGGTACCGCAATTGAGAAGTCGTGTCGCATTTGCACGGCAAAAGACCAGACGCTGATGAACGTTACGGTGCACCTGTCCCAGACTGCACGGGAATCGTCGTACTTTGGTGCGTGACAACGCCATTGATGTCGCTGCGTTCACACAGCATCTTCATATTGCATCAAGATCGACACTTGCCTGCCAAGCCTGCAGTCAAGCGCTTCTCTCTCTCTCTCAATCCTGTAATTCTGGTTCAAGCGCGATGTGTTTTCAGTCAATGCCGAGTTTCAGTAGTGTGCGAAACAAGCGCTTGTAGGACACTCGTTACAGCAAGGAATTGCACATGCAAGTGTTCGTTGAAGATACCTTCAAGCAGTGAACACATGCAGCACAAAGTCCCACCTGACGGTTTGCAAGCAAATGACAACCGAGACACTTACCCAGCCAGAAACCCGTGTCAATGGAGTCGGTTACTGGCTCTGAACGGATTCAGTTACTGAGATCCTGTGGGAACACATATATCGACATATCCAACAGCTTCACCGCTCACCGATCGAGCGTATCGACATCTTCAAATCGGATATCCGTCGGAAATGCTTCTATTGACACCGAGCCCGTCTCTGCGCGCTCGGTAGAAACAAACGATCGACCCGGCTATGACCACTCGCGTCACGACGGGACCTGTTCGAAATATAGAGCTAGCCAGTATACTAAAAGCCAGTGACCAGCCGGTATTTTAGAAATTCGACAAACGAGAGGAGGAGCTGCTTGTCGACGACCGACGACAGGCATCAGCACTTCCTCGACGCTACCGCTATCAGCCTTTTGTCAGGCGAGAGCGCGGTCCAGCAGCACGAGCGAGCGCCGGTTAGCGCCGGATTATCACACAAAGGGCTTCAACTGGTTGGTTGGCGGGTAGAGACCCGCACGACGTTTCTAACTCTATTATCTCTATCACTACAATACAAGCACGAGTGGCGATGCGAAGAAGACGGAGACCACAGGAACTGCTGGCAGTTTTGACGTTGACGGCAGTTCTAATGGACCGGATACAGGGACAGGGAAATGGTGAAGCTTTGACGTCGATGGCCAATGCAGTGGCACGGGATACGACGTTAGCAGATGACTGCTCGGCTTGCTGCGTGACCGGCACGTCGCCCGCGTCTACTCCAAGTGCGATCTTAGCTGGAGGAGACCCGGACTTGTCACTGGTCTGTTGCAACGAGCAACAGCCACGAGACCTCTTTGGCACGGCACACGGCGAGTGCAGTGGCTTGCCGTGCTGTGAGTATAGTGGTCGGAAGGCACAGAACCGCCAGGCGTGGTACCCGTGCGTAGCCTTCCCTACCTGTCAGCGCGATGCGACGAAACAGCCTTTTTGCACGGGCCAGGACCTCTGGGACTATACAACGGGGTACAATTGGACTTGTATGGATGAATGCTGCAATGGACTAGTGCTGGACTCGAATGTCTGGCGCGGCATTGAAAACAATTTCCCAGGACAAACGAACGCTACATTCGGTGTCAGTGTGGCACCCACCGACTTTTTAGATGTGTTTTACCCTACAGGCATGGACGGACAGATCTACACGGTACACCAAATTATGCTGGCCAGTCCCCCTGGCTTTGCGTTTACAAATGGATGCTCGTGTCACTTGGCACGACCACCGAACTCATCGGCGCAGGCTGAGAGACAGAGCACAACATGCGAGGTGTCGGCTTTTTTGAACGAAAACCGGACATACTTGACGGTTGACATTACAGAAGAATTTCGGACGAATGAGACGTTTGTGTTTATTTTTGATGGCGTCGTGACGCCAACGGGAATTTTTGATACCACCGCAACGAACGTGACGTACTCGACGAACTCGAACCTCACGCCGGTGTTCTTTATTTTCAATGACACGGAAAATACAGTGTTTGACACCTATGTTCGCGTCACAGACTTGACGAGTGCAACGCTGTCAAGTGGTTCTTTTTACCCGGAAAATATCTACCCGGGAAACTCTGGCAACGCTAGTCTCACCTTCTACACGGAAGCCAATATCCCGCAGGGCAGCTTCATTACGATAAAATTCGGATCCAAGTGGGGATTTACTGCTGATGCCGTATGGTACTGGGAGGCTCATCATCCAGTGTCATCGATTAACAGCGATTTTCCAGCATTAGTGGCTCTCAGTATGGATCCAGCAGACAGCAGGGTCAATAACTTTGCGTCAGCGTCGTACTCGTCTTCAGATAACTCCTGGATACTGGTCGCGGACGAACCTTTTCCGATCGGCTGGGTTAGTCTCGGTGTGGATACAGTGAAAAATCCGTCTGTAGCTTATTCAGGGTTGGACGCCATCACTATAAACGTCCGCAGTCCCCAAGACCTTTTAATTATCGATGGGACAATATCGGCCATTTCAGTCTACTTGTCATCGGGTGCTACTGCCAGCCCATACAACTACGTAACAATGGTTGTACTCGTGGGATCCCTCGCATTTTGCTCGGTGGCGATTCGGAAGAACGGGCTGTCATTTTCGCTGGGCTCCATTTGGACCGATATCACTGCTATCTGTACTGTGCTGGCGTTGGCCACATCCATTTTGAACAACTGTATGTGGTTTTTCAGTCACAGCAGCGCTTACTTCTACATCATGCACGTGTATTTGTGCTTCACGTTTACGATGCTTACAGCGGTGTGCTTTCACTGGGGAACAGTGCTGAGTTTACGTCTACGAAAATTGCCGAAGTTCACTACGTCAGTGGCGTTCGTTCTGCTAAACATGCTCTTTTACGCGCTCCAGATTTGCTACTTACTCACTTACAAGACATTGATTTCGCGTGTGTACGACTCGGAGAACGATGTCACGACACTCGCATATCAACAGTGCAATGAAGACGCCGACACGCCTGCTACCGTCTTTTCCGAAATCCAAGGCTATTTGTGGGCATGCTACGCTGAAGATGACCACAGCTTTTTCCTGGCGTCCACTTCAGTCACTTACGGCATCTTTCTTGTGCTGACGTTTGTAGTCATGGCATTGGGTGTGATGGTCATGCGTCGCGGCAAGCTGTTGCTTGGTAATGCATCGGGTCCACATGAAGTTGTGCTGATCAAGGCGTTGCGTCTATACTATACGCTTATAGGTATCGTCACGCTCGTGTATCTTCTGTCATGGATTGTTCAGATTATTTCGCGAACCACGCACGGGATTGGGTACCCGTGGTTTTACATCTTTACGGTCTGGTTGCCGTGCTCCATTCCTCCGTGTTGTCTAATCTTCTTGCAATGGAACGCTACCGCACAGTCTCTACGTGACGCCAGCCACGAGATGCCTAGCGACTGCAGTCCTATGTCGGAGTCGGCCTACGCGGAGATCCGAACGCCGAGCTTCACTTTCAGTACGACGGATCGGTGGACGGAAGCTTCATTGGAAAAGATTGAAGAGATTGTGGCAAGAGGAGAAACTACGGTCGATGAGTTGTCGAGCACGCTTTTCCAGAAGGATTCGTCGATTTCGCCAGCTGGCGACTATATCGGTCTCTCCATGTCGCTGGAAATGAACGAGGATTTTCCTCACGGCTGCTTCATTGCCATTCAGCGATTGGAAGATGAGGATGGACGAGACAGCACGCCGTCTGCATGGCGGCAAATCAGCAATACTGATACGGTAATGGCAAACGTGAAGGATATAGCTCCGAGTGTACTGCCCTACCAACAACGATACGTGTACACGTTCCTGTCAGTGCCACGCATCCCTGTCGGTGCTTGTGCCGAAAAGATTCGCATGGTGGTGTACGCGCTGAATTCGGCTCCTGTTTCAGTGACCCACGAGCACCATTCTGAAATGACAGCTGCTATGGTGTTGGCTGCTATTGAGCGCACGCAAAGCACTCGCGGCTACGACGACGAAGACGGTGATAGCCAATATACACTGGACTCGTCGCTGGTCGAGACAGAGGCGTTTAACGGTTTCCAAAGCTCACGGGTTATCGACGAACTTTTTGAGATGGAATCACCGGAATCTATCGGGGATGGCGACTCTGGAAGAAGCATGTCTGACTTCAACTCGGGGTCTTCACTGGTGCCTAATAGTCTTAAAGTGGTCGCAGAGTTTACGGTGTCCACGAGCACTTTAGCGACAGCAGGCGTGCGGACGGAGCAAACAGCTCTTACTGCCACAGAGGATTCTTACAAACACTTTGGTCCAAATGCAGCACCGCCAAAGCTGTTGGTGAATACTGTGATTCCCAAGTCGGCGGGTGCCAAATACGGCTTCAACGGTGTCGAGGGTGGCCTCCATGCAGCAGCACCGGCAGTCAGCAAGCAGTATCACATTCGTGAACAAGGCTTGTTGGTTGTAGAAGATCTCACTGAAAGCCGCTTTAGCAACTGGATACCACGACAGATTCTGGAGATTATTATTCGGTACCGCACGAAAGAGCTCCTCATTGCCGAAAACGATCTTGCGCGTCTTGAAGCGTACGACCGTCTGCGACTGAAAGGATCAGACCGTGGCATCTATGAAAATTTGATCCAGCAAATTCAGGATGATGGTGATTTAAATCGGTGTCGAGAGTGGATGCTTCACCGGTGTCACGAGCGTAAGGAATACGTCGATCTTCTTCGTCAACTCCGACGCGTGTACGTGCTCCGTGATCAAAGTAAAAAGTACTTCAAGGCCAGCACAGAGAAGAAGAGTGCACAGCTGCGGTTTCTCCCGATCAACTTGCATCTGCAAGAGATGTGGGTTGGCAATGCGGACGCAGTGGCACGAACGAGTATGAGAAGCAACAACCTGTGCGATACCAATGCGAATGCGGCCGTGTACGATATCGTGACAGTAGGTGCCATGGCAGCACACGTGTACAAGTTCAAAAACGGCGGTATTTTTGGTCTGGAAGAGGCGCATGCAAAGCTGAAGCCTCGAATACGAGCACCACAGGGCTCGACTGCTGCTCATCAGCAACTCCCACTCTGGACAGAAGATGAGCAGAAAGCTGATGACATGGAGTGGGTACTTGGTAAGCGAATGGATGTGTGCTTTCCCCAAGCCGTGGCAGCGTTGGTCACTGCGTTCACCCGCAAAATCGATTTGGCCTTGCAGCATGCACGGCCGGAGCAGGGTCAAGCCATGCTGAAGCAGCTCAGCAAATTGGGCTTCTTATTTAATGTGGAGAGTTTGGTCTCGACGCACGGTAACGAGGCGGGGATGCTCGAGGATATGGCTGGTGCAGTGAATGAGCTGCGGAACGTTCGTTTCATCTTGGTGACCGAGCAGGAGGAACTCGGCGAGACGGATGAGGAGGCCAGTAGTAATAAGTCACATCGGTCTGTGTCGTATCATCTCGAGGAGGAATTTAAGCATAGTCCATCGTCATCTGATCCTTCCGAAGCAAGTGGCAGTTTCCGAAACGACACAAGCGGTGGTGATGAAGGAAAAGGGGACTTGAAGGGGAAGCATTGTCCGCCCATGCAGTTGAAGTCGTCCGAGTCTGTCGCGTCGTCCAGTTCGACAAATGTGACGGCTTCGACCGGCATCAGCGGTGTGATTGACGTGGATGTCTTTACCAGTATCGATGATGCTCTCTCTGAAACGTGCTCTGCGGACGCAGTGAATTTCGAGAGTACCGACCGAAGCTCGGCGGCAAGGGACCACGTGGCATCGTCCCGCTCATCGTCATTTAGCGGTGTTGGTCAGCGGCTATTGAGTACGTTCATTAAGGCGCGCAACCATCGACTGCTCGGTGGACCTGGTGGGAATCGGGTCAACGTGCAGTCGCTCGCTCCAGCATCCGTCGATCGACTGTTCCCGTTCACGCATTTGGTCATTCGGATCAAAGTGCGCCTTGGAAAGGGCAAGCTGACGAAAGCGCTTCGTCACGGTCGGCCTATCAAGGTATGTCCCGTGTTGTTTACACAAGGGATCAACGAAAAGCAGACACTGGCCAACAACACGGGATCGTCCGTGACCCGCCTGCAGGATGTGATCAATGCCAATAGTCTCAAGTCCCTGCGCAGTTACTGCGACCGCTACTGCAATTACACCTCTGCACGTCAAGTCCACGCACCACCTCCAAAGCAGGGACGCCAGCGGAATAATTCCACTAGTCGTGTTCCCTCGACGCCACATGGTTTCGGGTCTCCATCTGCTATGTCTCGGGACGAAATCTTCCGCATCCTGGGCGAGCTGGAGAAGCTCATTGGTACAGCTGGAAGACAGGCTCGAAAGAAGCGTCCAGAGATTCTGCAGCTGAGCTCGGACTTGTGTCGCCGCATCTCGGGTGGACGCGTAACAGTCTGCAAATCAGCGAAAGACCGAACCGGCATGTCCGTCACGCTGGAACAGGGACGCATTCTTGTCCAGAACCACGGTCTTCGCGAGCAGAAGAAGGCGGGCATTGTCTCCGTCATGCGTTCCGAGGGCGTGCGGATAGAGAACGCGCTCAAAAATACTGGCCGACGTGTGTTTGCCTTTAACGCCTTGCAGCGATCACTGCTGCCTGAGGAATACCGATGTCCGCCGCAGACGAGTGGCCGCAACGTGTCGTAAACGACGAGTCCGTCGATTGGATCTTCTTCTTCCTCTCTCTCTCTCTGCTCACTAGAGATGATGGGCCAAACGAGAGCAGAGCCCGTCCATTTATTGCCATTATGAAAGCGAGCGATGGCGCGTGGTCGTGCCACAACGGAGTGTATAAGTTGCAGCTCGATGGGGAACGGGATCGCGCTTGGGGTTTCTTCAACGATGAAGGAAAAAGACAGCGATGCTCTCGTCGTGTGTGTCGGGCATCGGGAACCTCGTCGTGTGTGTCGGGCATCGGGAACCTCGTCGTGTGCTCCGTTGCTTCTTCTACTGTTGTCTCGTGTAAACAATAAGTATAACACTTCCTACCATCGCATTATAGCACGTTACGTCAGTCGCTCATAACTTGCTCACTCCATTGTTTCCACCTAATGACATTCTTGTGACCGACTAGTGACCGACCGACCGACCTACCAACCGACCGACCAACCGACCAACAGTTATCTACCTGACGAATTGACCGACCAACCGACGCAACTATCGAAGCGATTGGCAACGAATTTGACGGACCGAACATCAACACGACCGACCAAACATCCGTCCAATGGACCGTTATTATCGGACCAATAATCCTACCGTCGGACCATTCGACCGACCGACCGATCGATCGACCGATCGATCGACCGACCGACTACTGGTTGAAGCTTGAGACAAACGACGACGTCTCGACCGCTTGTTTGATGGGCAGCAGCCACGTCCAGTCGGCGCTCGTGGTCGGCAGCAGACCCATGTTGGAGCATTTGTACACGCCCATTGCAGCGCCCACCAGACTGCCAGCCATGTAGATGGCCTTGGGCTGCGTCAAGTCGATGACGCCGTCGGTTACCGAGGCGAACGCTGGCCAATCAGAACGAGATAGACGAGCACAGCGCGGTTAGGTCTGGGGGGGGCGGCAAAAGGAAACAAGCACCTCTTGTCACATGGCGCACCGCTGTTCATTGTAAAGAGGGACTTGGTCGTGTTCATGACGATCATGGCTGTGATCATGATGCTAAAGATGTTTATCGAGTTGCCGCTCATCCACATCATAAAGCCCGTCTGCAGCAGACTCTTGAACGGCGCCATGCCGATCTCCATGGCTCGCTGGCTCGCAGAATATCATCAGATCATAGACCACGGTCAGTTTTGTCATCTGACCATCACTCTTGTTCCGGTTGATTGCGTCACCTTCTTTTTGAGCTCCGATGTATTGGTTGCGGCTTTAGCGACGGTTCCGGTCGAGCCCTGGGGTTAGGTCACAACAACACCAGAGAGAGAGGGGGGGAAGGGAAAGCAAGAAAAGGAAAGGAAAGGTGAGAGAGAGAGAGAGAGGGGGTCAGGATAGAAAAGGAAACGAAAGAGGAAAGGAGGCGACGTCGATGTGACCGTCTCGTACCTTTTCAGCTGTGACACCTTTCACATACCCCACAGGCTCGAGATTGGACGCAAGAGCGCTCTCGCGGCCCTCGTGAAGCTGCATGTGCCACTTGCTTTGCTCCATGGTCGCTAGTGAGTGGCGAACAGTTGCGGATATGGCGTATGTTGCTCGTTCTATTGCTACCCATAGAATGTTGCTCGTCGAAAATGTGTCGCTTGAGCGTCAGCGATTTGTCTGTTGAACTTCTCTGACACTTGTAACTTACGTGAGATTCGCGTGAAAATCATAGACAGTATTGTGTAGAAATTGATGGACTTGCTTCGAAACTTTTCAAGTTGAATCTTACGAAAATCTTGCTTGAAGAATTATAATCATGGACGAGGTATTGTGTGACAGAAGAAGAGCACGAGTCCAAGCGATGACGATTTCACCAGTTCTTTACTTACTGATTCCAGGTTTGTGGGTAATGTTCACTCATTAACAGTAATACCTTGGTCCCGACTATACATTGCGTGTGTTTACTGTGATGCAGAATCATCGCTGTCCTCACCCATTACCAGAGCCACGCAGATAATGTAACATTATGGTATCCAGGACTAAATTGACTGTTAAATATGTCAAGCGCGTGTTGTAGAGAACGGTCCGTTTCGTTTATCGTCCCTCTGCAAACATTCGGCCACTTCTTTGTCCCCAGAAGAATTCAAGTGTACAAGCTTGCGATCCAATACTGACAGCTTATCTCTGACGAGCGTAGTATGCTGCGCGTGTAGAGGTCGTTCAGGTAAGGAAGAATAACGTGATCGTCAATTGACAATGCCCGCATGTTCAAAGAAAAACGCCGCTGTCAAGCAGGACCTGGCTCCGTGTGTTCCTTTTCTCGTCCCTAAATAAACATCATTTTCCACTGACAAAAACAATCTTCAAGTTAATTTTAGCACCGATGCAGCAGCTGCCAAGCCAGCTTTGACGAACAGAACCCAAAGCTTTTGACAAACGGATCACGAGCTGCATGTGCAGCCGTCCTCGTCAGTACATTTACCCCTTTCCCGCAAAAATTCACCCACGATTAACAGACGGGATCAGCACCAGTCCGAATTCATCTGGCGGACGGGCCCTAGACATAGACGACTGCTAAATCGCTAAGCAATAGAGAGGTCTGCTATGCAAGCAGCTAAGAAGCGATCTTGCTCACGACTTTTTCCCGCATCTAACTCAGTCGCGGTTGCCAATATTCTTGCTTTCTAAAGAGACCCTTGTAAAAAACCCGCGAACGAAGACTGCAAGCGAGTGGCCTAGGGCTAGGGGAAATCAGCAGAGACAGCACGACTCGTGCGGAAACGGGTGGGTAGAGCCGAGCCATTGCGCCGCATCTATTTAAAGCTGCCCACTTTTAAATCCGTCGACTGCAACGCACGTCGTTGATTCACCGACTCGTTCCACGTCTTTGTTTCCTTTTCCGCCACTTGCAAAGAACCACCTGTTGACGCTTTGAAACCAAAGAAACAAAGGCGAAAAACATAAAAAAGCCCTCATGGTCCTCCAGCAAAAGACGTCGTCGTCGAGACATGCGACGTCTTGTCCTTCAGCCGCCGCGCCGTCCGTCATGGCCGGGTTCGTGCGCGTCGAGATGGACGGCGAGAAGCAGCGCAAGCGCTCGCTCTCGGCCTCGTCGCCGTGCTCCGTCGCCACGTCCGAAGGCCGCGCGAGCGCCAACCCCAAGGTGTTTTCGCGCTGGCTCTACGGCGTGCTGCGCGGCGACACGCTGGTGCTGTACTGGCGACGCACCGACTACAAGCGCAAGACGCCGCCGTTGGACACGCTCCAGCTGCAGATGCAAGCGGCGGCGGCCAACGAGAGTGTCTTTGGCTTTGACCACGAGTGTCTCTACGTGCGCGTGAAAGCGTCGGGCCGAGTCGTTGCGCTGCGCATCCACGAGCGCAAAGAGATTGTGCGGTGGGTGACGGCGCTCTATTACCAGAGTATTGATAGTCGTGACGTCCAGGAGGACGGAAGGACAGAAGAGGCACGAAAGTGGTCGCAGCAACATGCACGACACACGGTTGTTTCGACGCGTCGGAAGCGCGTGTCGTTCCAGGAGGAGCCAAAGGTGCATGTGTTGCCCCAAGAGGTTTACGACCCTGCGGATTTGTTTTATTCGGAGAATGACTACGAGCAGTTTCTGCTCGAGAGACCGTCGCAACTCTCGAGTCTTATGAGTACTATTTATGCCAAGACAGCGGCCAAGCTGCGGGTCTCGAGGAAGCGATGAAAGCTGACGATGAGGAGTAGTGCGTAAATGTGTCTTCGAGTCGAAAAAGGTGCGACAAAAGCAGGGTGTTGTGCTGGAGCTGGGAAGGACGGAAGGACGGAAGGATGATGTCTGTGTGCATTTCGAGTACAGTGTAAATAAACGGACGATGGATGTGCGACTAAAAGGCAAGTTGCTCAGCTTTCTCTGGTTGAAGCACGTGTATAAATGTGGAAAAACCGCTTTGGATCGGTATGCCGACTACGTTATTAGTCGCCTTTGTCGACGGATCTTGCCTTATGGTACACTCACTACACAGAGCTGGTGGCTACTAGGTTGCTGCGGCATCTCGGCTTTCCTCTTGTGATAGTTCAGAATGAACCGGTGATGCTGAAACACAGGCACAGCTTACGGACATGTGGAGCTCGACAAAGTGTACAGCAACCAGCTTTTGTCGATAGGAACGCGCCGGCGAGGTAGAAATAAGGTGAGGGTAGTGTATACTGCTACGTGTCAATCAGTCACAGCTCAAGGCCACTTTTACGCTACAGGAAGTGTTAGTGAAACACTGGTAGGTCTGTGTCTTCAAAAGAGTTCTCGGTTTTCGTCGCTTGCGCCGTGCCTCTGGACTCCATCAGGCACCTTTCGAAAGCAGGTTTATCACTGTCATTAAGCAAGATTGATAGATAGACTTGAGTAAGTCGGCATGGATGAAATAAAATGCCCTTGTCGATGGTCCACTAGTTTGTGTGTCATTCTTCTCCTCGCACGCTCGGTAATGTATGAAAAACAAGGAGAATAAAATTACAAAAGACTGGATGAGTGAGGGTAAGCAGTCGCCAAGCAACCCTTCACACAATGATTCTTGGTTTGATCTTGTAGCGCCCCCAAAACCGTAAGAAAACTTGCCACGTCAAGTGTCATGTCACTCGGAGCACAGGTGACAAATAGTTGCGGCTTTAACGCACGCCTCGAACAACGACGAATACGTTCCCAGGTTATAGCAAAAACTTAAAGTTATTGGATAAACAATTTTCCCAGACCATAGCTACAAACTGCTTTTGTGACATTATCTAGGTCTGGGGTTGACTTATAGGAAACATACCATTTGCGTCACAAATTTTGTGAAAGTGCCGGACACAAATTTCGGCATCTGCATGTACAATGCGATTTGTACCCACATGATCTCACAAGAGTGCATCGCTTAGTGCTATGATTGTTGGAAGTCACATGACGTCCTGTGTCGAAGTTGTGTGGTGCGTCTCAGTGGAAGAGGCATATGCAATGAACCGTTTCGCGACCAATAGGACTGTTTATTGAAGAAGCAGTAGACGCTGCAAAAACGTGGCAGTCGGCCGACCACTTCAGTTGAATGGCAGTTTCTATCCTGGGATGGTGTAGTAAAATCAGGGCGAAAATGGTTGGTGTCGAAGAGATGGAAGCATGGTAGAAACTTGGTAACGACAATAACACTTCTACATTTTGCATTGGCATCTTCCTATTCTAACAGGTTATGAGCCCAAACGGTGATACTGATGCCGCTGGTGCAACTGGCGCGCAACCTAGGGCACTGACTGGTCGCGAAAGGGCCAGCAGCCTACAAGGCGAAAATTTAGAAGTCAAGGCAGAGGCGGTGCCAGGGAACACGGAGCAAAGGATGTTGGACCTACTGACGGGACTAGCGGAGCGGATGGCTAAGCTAGAGGCGTCACAAGGGACCAAGGACCAGCCGATGGACAAGGAGTCCAGTGTGTTCGGGTCAGCAATAGGCCTGGGGCAACCGATGAATCGGCGTGCTCTCGACGTGACACCGCCGAGGGCTCCTTCTCCACATATGTCGCCGGGGACGTACTTCGGAATGAACCAACCGGGGTATGCAAGGGCGGCTGAGAACGTCAGCCACGATGTCCTCTGCTCAAGATTCCGCCACCAAGATCTCTATCGATAGATTCGATGGAGACAACTACGCGACGTGGAGCCGCTACATGCGTGGCGTGTTCCTGACCAAGTCGACGTGGCACGTGGTCAACCGGGAGACCACCCCCACCTTAGCCGATCCTCGCGCCAGTGATGAGTACGTCAAGACGAACAACATTGCGTTCGGCTTGATGTTACTTCACATGAGCGCGGACTATCATCACGTGGTTGATGACTGCGACGAGGCATGGGTTGCGTGGACACGGTTGAAGACTCTCTACGGCGGATCGCAGAAGGCGGGACGGATCTTCTTGAAGCGTATTGTGGGTTGCCACCTCCAGTGTGCCAGCAGGCGCAGATACCGCAGCACGTCCCGTCGTATGCGAGAGTGCCGGACGCTAGACAGCGCAAGCTGAACATCCGTCATTTCGATGGAAAAGAGCTTTACCAGGGGCTAGGGAGCGGTTTTCTATCCTGGGGGAAGAAGTTTGTACGGGAAGTCTCTTTTGCTGAGCGTGCGAGCGGATTTCCGTGGAGTGAGGATGTCAAGATAGACGTCCTTGGACACAATCTCACGGGAATGGCTGAGCGGTACTATAATCGCCAAGTTGAAGGGTGGTGGCAAGAAGAGCCAACATTGGAACACGCCATGCAAAGGCTGCTTCATACATTCGCAACTAAGATAACGCCAGCGCAAAGTATGAAGCTATTTACTGCTGCCAAGAGCCCCAAGCGCAGCTGGACAGAACACTATTTGTATTTGGTCGCAGTAAGCGAGGCATGCGGTGGAGCAGACAACTTGGTCCAAGACAACATAGTCCACTACGCTGATCCGGCAATGAGAGTTTAAATGCTGGCGCGTTTGAATCTAACAAGATTTGATTACTTGCGCCAAGCGGAGGAGCTGGCTCACTTCGCGCAGTCGACGGAGATCGAGCTGCGCGGAAAGCACATTGGAAAGGACGTCGTCAACAACGTTCGACATGTGCGCGAAAAGACACGAAACGGGCGTAAGGACAATCGCAAGTGCTACAGCTGTGGGAAATCTGGACACATAAAAGCTGCGTGCCCGGGGAACAAGGTCTCAAGAGAAACAAGCGTCGACGTGGACTTTGTGCTCGCAGTGGGCAACCCGAGCGCTAACCACGGCTATTGGATACTGGACAGTGGCTCGAGTCGTCACCTGGTAAACGATGTGAGCATGCTCGAGAACCCAGAGGACTGCCAAAGCGAGTGTATCGCAGCTGACGGAGGGCCCTTGCGCATAACGAAGCGAGGAAGCGTCACAATCACGACCACTGTAATGGGCAAGGTCACTAAAGTGCGACTCCTGGACGTGCAATATGCCGAGAACCTCGAAAGGAACATTATATCCTACGGTATATTGGAGGCTAAAGGGTTTGGGATAGCCTACATGGGTGATCGCAGGGTCGTCGGCAACATTGACAGTGGGGTGGTTGTCTTTGACGTGGAGAAGAAGAACAACGTGCTAATAGTGCGGGACCACGATCGCGGAAGTGTTCAGCTACCATCGGACATACTAATGATGGCTTTAGCGCAAGGAGAATTCGAAGTGAGTCAAGACGTGCAACGGGGCACGCTTATGCACTTTCACAGAAGGTTGGCTCACCTGAATTATGACACGATCCTTCGCATGGCAAAGGATCCAGCCTCAGGGATACAGCTGACCGATGAAACGCGTGAGAACTGTCTAGCTTGCGCTCAAGGTAAACAGACCAAGAACCAGCAGTCGAGAAACGACACTGGCACGAATGCGCCGATTGATGTTATCGGAGGAGTCATCTGCTCTGACCTGAAGGGTCCCATGACTCCTCGCGACAGATTGGGAAATCGTTACATGGTTAATTTTGTGGATCATCGCACGAACTACTGCAGAGTTTTCCTGGCGAAGAGCAAAGACGTGGCGGCCCAAAAGTTTAAACACTTCATGGCATTTTTCGAGAGGCAATTTAATTGTCGCATTCACGTGCTGCGAACGGACGGCGAAGGAGAATATCGTACTCTGGACCTCTTTTGCAAGGAAACAGGAATTGCGAGGCAAATTAGTGAGCCAAGCAACCAAGCCAGCAATGGGAAGGCCGAGAGGATGCATCGCACCATTATGAATATGGTGCGTAGCATGGTGTTTGCGTGCGGACTGCCGCTGAGCTTCTGGGGGGACGCGGCGGAGTATGCGGCCTACATACTGAATCGAAGCCCAAGTAAAGCCAACGCTGGTCGCCTATCACCTCTACAGATGTTGACCAAGAAGGTACCTGTTTTAAGTGATATTGTGGTTTTTGGGTCACCGTGCACTGTGCACCAGGACGCGAAGAACAAGTCACTAGGAGCTCGTGGCAAGCAAGGCGTGATCATAGGCAAGAGCGATGAAGTGAAAGGGTACCGTGTGTACATTCCAAGGGACAAGGTCGTGGTCGTAACTCAACATGTTAAGAACGTTGAAACCCTTACGAAGGAACAAAACGATCAACTACGGCGTGTGCATCTGAAGGAGATTGATGAAGTTGCGTGCGATGGCTCGACGCAGAAAGAGAAGACGCAAGCGACTGTTCATGATGCGATGAGAAGAAACCACTCGAAAGTTGGTGTCTGGACGCGAGAGGCGCATGTGACGAGGGCGACTTCGAGAAAGTCACGCGAAGACAATGCAGAACAAAAAGAGGAGGAGGTTTCGGATGTGGTGAATGTCATTCGTGAGAGCGACCCAAAATCCTACGGTCAGGCCATGAAGAGCGGCTTAAAAGATAAGTGGGTGGCAGCAATGGATGAGGAGCTGCGAGCTTTGGAAGACAACGATGTGTGGAAGGTGGAAGTGCCGCCCAAGGGAAGCCATGTCCTACACACCAAATGGGTGTTCAAAACCAAGTTGAACGCAGAGGGAGAGATCGATCGTTTCAAAGCGAGGCTTGTGGCATGCGGGAACGAGCAGGTCTACGGTGTCGACTACGGGTTGACGTTTGCTGCGGTGATGGAATTGAGCACGGTGAAGGTCATACTGGTACTTGCCCTACGTTGGGGAGTACCAGCAAGACATGGTGACATACCTAACGCCTACGTGAAGGCGAACAAAGAGGAACATTTGGAGATTTTTCTTGCCATACCTCAAGGCATGACTGTACCTGATGTGATTTTGAAGCAATTTGGAACACAAGGCAGCGACAAACTGGCGCTCAGGCTTAAAAAGTCGCTTTACGGCCTTAAACAGGCGGGTCGTCTTTGGAGCAAATTGCTGGACACGAAACTGGTCGAGGCTGGTTTTAGTCGATGCGTGTCTGACGCATGTCTGTATTTCAGACACGACGGAGGCGAGCTGACAATTGTCGGGGTATATGTTGATGATTTGTTGGTGACAGCGACAAGTCAGGACAAGGTGGAAGAATTCTTTAAAGCGATGAGTGTCCTCTCTATTAAGGATTTGGGTCAAGTTAACAAGTTCCTGGGCATGAGGATGGCTCTAAAGGACTCGAAGACTTACACTGTCGATCAGACTACGGCGATCGATGAGATGCTAAATCAACATGGTCTGGATGCAGCAAACGGCGTGAGGGCGCCCATCGGTGACGACAGCAACGACGATGTGTCAGAAGGTGTGTACCTGTCGGCAAATCGGGGCAAGAAAGGCGAGCCTACTGTCCGAAACTTTCAGTCTTTAGTGGGTAGCCTTCTATGGATTGCCCGGTGTTCAAGGCCTGACATTAGCTTCGCGGTTCACAGAGCCACAAGACGTACGCACCAGCCCACTGTCAGCGACTGGAAGCTGGCAAAACGCGTCGCGAGATACCTGAAGACAACAAAAGACATGAAACTCAAGATGAGCCTCGAAGATGAGAAAGATGTTATCACGGTGACATGTTGGAGTGACTCAGACTTCGCGGCAGATAAGTCCGACCGCAAGTCAATAACCGGTGGAGTACTTACGGTGAGTGGAGTCATCGTGCATTGGATCTGCAAAAAGCAGACCGGAGTATCCTTGTCTACCATGGAGGCCGAGTTTACCTCGGCGTCGCACGTTGGACGAGAGCTGCTGGGATTGCGAGAATTGCTGAAGGAGATTGGACTTCCTGTGACGGAGCCAATGAGCATGCTAATGGACAATCAAGCAGCAATCAAGATGTTAGAGTCTGAAGGAAGCATGGCGAGTGCGAAGCACGTGGATGTGCGGATGAAATTCATCTGCGATTATGCTAAAAAGGGTATCGTCAAACCTGAATTCGTCGAGTCGAAGTTGATGAAAGCAGACCTGTTGACGAAGACACTGCCGGCGCCAAGGGTCGCGGAGCTACGCGAATTGTTTAACCTTGTTTGAATGTTGCAGGTGGACCGGATGAAGCGCGTCGTCCGAGGAGGAGTATTGAAGAAGCAGTAGACGCTGCAAAAACGTGGCAGTCGGCCGACCACTTCAGTTGAATGGCAGTTTCTATCCTGGGATGGTGTAGTAAAATCAGGGCGAAAATGGTTGGTGTCGAAGAGATGGAAGCATGGTAGAAACTTGGTAACGACAATAACACTTCTACATTTTGCATTGGCATCTTCCTATTCTAACACTGTTTGGGATACATGCAAAGATCTAAGAGATACAAGAACGACTCTTCGATGACCATGTAAAGATCTTCAATAAGTAGGTATTTACCAGACTAACAACGGTGATATATAACTTCACTATTTCAATTCCTCCTTGCGTTGCAGATCTCTTTCCTACAGTGATGGCAGTTCACATGTCTAACCAATATCATTGTATGGCTAGCAGCTAGACGATCTGGACAACGTGCCAAGACTGAACATCATTTGCTTAATGACATCGAGGGGACTTGATTGAGCCATGAGCATGGTCGCAGTTGGTGACAAGGCAAAACTACATGTGCTAGCTTCCTTGAATCCGACGATTGTAACGGGGTAGCCCGTTACATGATATTGACACCAAATGGTGTCAATACAGAGATTGTCTAGCGTGACAAATCCCTACCAATATTATCCGAGATGGATAAAATTGAAGGAACATTATCTCCTTTGTAGGATAATATTCATGCGCTGCTCAAAGATTGGTTGATAAAGACATACTAACCAAAGTTACCACCAATCGCTGCTAGACGTGCGTAATGAGTGGTGATCAGGTTGTCGTCATTCGACAATGTAGATTATATAGTTAGATAAAGACTGAAGTTATGTTGATAGCTTGACTATATTAAATACAGTTCTCCTATTACCCTTTATTCAAGCTAGCTGTTTAAGTAGATTAGCTTCCTCTGCACGTACTAGTGTACGTGAAGTTTCGCGGCATCCCAAACAAAGGGTGCCTCGTTACACCTGGTAGCACTTGGTAGTCCGCCCAACGACTACTTAGCGTCCGTCCAAAATGAACATGTTGGACGTAGAAGACGACAGCTTTCACGTCACACGTGAAGGCTACTCCCATCCGAGTGACTCGGAATGGGAGGTAGTCGGCCGCATGAGTGTGCTTATGGGCGAACCAGCCAATAGTTGTATATTGGAGTCTCTAAATAGAGACCAGCAAAATGCCGCTTTCAACAAGTTCCTACAAGGGGAACTTGCCGTCGAAAGACAGAAGATAGCCTTGCTAGAACAGCAAGGCTCTCATCAGTCGACGAGCGGGACGACGCACACGAGTCGGCCAGAAATATTTTAGATAGACATCTCAAGGTGCAAGGGAACCGATGAAGATTCCCTTTTGTGATGGTTTGTCGAGATAGACGATGCCATCAGGGCCCGTCACATCGAGGGTGATGAGATGCAAGTCACCTTCGCCCTGTCAAATTTGACAGGTGGAGCAAAGACTTGGGCCTTAAGGCTCAAGCTTCACGACCCATAACGTGTTTGAGTTGTTAGAGATCTTGAAGTCTCGGCTCAAAGAGACGTTTGAGCCGCCGAGAGCCGAGTTCAGAGCACGTTCTGCACTCTTGAGACTAAAGCAAGGTAAGCGTGACGTGCACGCTTACGCACAACACTTACGCTACCTTGCGAGTAGCGTCACGGAAAACCCTGTTGATGAGCACATGCTCATCAACGTGTTCATCTACGGCCTTGTAGATGGACCGGTGAAGACTTACTTGTTCCGAGAGGACTTCCATACGCTGGAAAAGGCGATAGCGTATGCGAAACAAGATGACTTCAGCCTAAGACAGTCTCAGGCTAACTCGTCCAACTATCGTTCGACGAGGCGACAGATAACAGGAGGTCCCGAAACTATGGACCTCTGTTACACCGAGAGCGAGAACTCTCGCTCTCTGAGTTACAAGTGAACGTCTGATGCCATCGCTGTCAGAAGATCGGACACTACGCTCATGATTGTAGTGCCCCGAGCACTGCATCACGTCTAAAGACAGGACGTGATGACCGCTTTTGGCCGAGGGAAAGTCCAATGCGCGGATCCGACCATGTCGCTAAACCGCGACTGCAAATCGGACCGCCAAAAAACGGTCAGGTTCAGTAGGGGTGGGTCACCCTGCTGATACAGCAACGTCAAGATAATTTGCTGGACTCTTGACGAAGATTGCTCCCGCCACAAAGTCGCTGTGTGTTTCTGCCCCTAGTGATGAGATATCCCTCATCACTTTGAAAATCGAAGTGACAAGTGGAATGTCACTTCGCCCCCTATTTGACTGTGGGGCGTCGAACAGTTTTATTCGACACCAGTCGCTAAGAGATAGTAGCCTCAACTATATTGAGCGAGAGTTCCCTCAAATGAGGATGACGGTGTGCCTTGCTACAGGCGTATCCGTAATAGTATAAAAACGGGTAGTGGGAATCCACTGCACGCTAGAAGGAAAGCAGTAGGATGATGACTTTATCGTACTGTATCTGGATGACAAATTTGATGTCATCATTGGTCTGCCATGGCTTAGAAAGTACCAGCCATGGAATAGCTGGCAGCATCGATCTGTGAAGATGCCTGCCGTTTGTTGATCGGATGGCCATCTGATGAACGTCTTGGAGTGTCTACAAGCGTGTGGATGTACTACGAGTGAGTGCGATGGCCCACTTGTGGTACGTTCGTCAGTACGACTGCACAAGATCACAGTGTAGAAGGTCACTACACTGTGGAACCAGCTTCCGGCACCTGTGTAGAGACACAGGCTGCGCCTAAGGTTCACCACTCGAAGAGATCGAGTGGACTGGAACACGGATGCACACCAAGAATGGTGCATCCAAGAAGATATATGAGTGTTTTTCAGAGTTAAAAAACACGTTAAATCCCGGTAGACTGAAAGAATTTAATTAAAGAGGACGTGACTGTGGTAGTTTAGTACACGTATTGGAAGAAAATTATAGCGTTCCTGAGAGTGATAACTCCCGAGAGAGTTATGTTGAGGGTGTGTTTCCCCAACCACCTGCGGATGTGTTTTCCCAGGTATTGACCGAGACATTGAATGTCTTGGTGAATGACGGATCAAGTTCAGGCGCTTATGCACTTGATCTGTTTACGCCCCCGAAAATAGCTTCGTAGGTGATCAAGTTGCCAATGCTAGAATCTAAAGATTCTTACGAGATCTGCGTAGTGACAAGATCAAGCAGATCTACGTACTCGTCACAGAGGACGAGTACGTCGCCAATATTTGGTCGGCACAAGTGTTTGCTGAGAACGAACAGGTTTTCATTAGCTCGTCGATGGACGAGAGTTTCCTCGATGAGAAGACTCGGATTGAGCGATACACGTCTTAATCTTAGGAGTCTTCAAAGACATATCCTTTGTATAAGGATTTGGTTGAATCTAGGTATGTTTTTCCTGAATCCGTGCCATGCGAGCTGCCTATATACAAAGGCACTCGGCATGAGATCGAACTGAAACCCAGTTCAAAAAACTGTGTCATGAAGCAGTGGCCATTGCATCGTGAATAGGTAACAGCGATCGAGAATTTTTTTTGACGATCGCTTAGTTGCTGATCATGTGAGGGAATCAACATCTTCACACAGCTCTTCGATCTTCTGTGTGCGAAAGGCCACTGGAAAGTGGCAGATATTGCACGCGTTCAACAAATTGAACACTGCAACGGTACCGGCTTTAACGTCGATACTAAGGAAGGACGTCATCATTGATGGGATGGCAAAAGTATCATCTTTTCGTCTATGAATCTGATGGAAGGACTCTGTCAGATCCTCATGTGTGAACGGGGTATCCCTTACACAGCGTGAGCACCCCCCCCCTCCGTGGTTTGCTCTGCGAGTGGCTAGTGAAACCAAAGGGGTTAAGTAACGCCCCCACAACGTTCAAGATATGTGTTACGAATCTGTTGCGATCGGTGCGCGATTTCGCACCGAGTTACTTCAACGATGTGTTTGTCCATAGCCGGGCTATGGATAGAAAGACGGACATAAAGGTTCATTGAATCCACGTCCGGAAGGTTCTTACACTAATGCGAGAGCAAAAGTTGCTCGCGAACCTCAAAAGTGTATATTCGCAGCGCACGAAATACCACTTCTCGGCTGCATCGTGGGTAAAAACTGTGTACGCCCTGATATGGAAATAATCAAGGCGATTAGCGACTGGCCTGTGCCAGTCGACGTCAAGGGACTTTACAAGTTCCTTGGCTTGGCGGCGTACTTGCACAAGTACTCGCGCAATTACACCGAGATTACCGTACATCTATCTCGTTCGTTAAAGAAAAACGAGAGGTGGTCATGGAGCGCTGAGTGTTAGCACTCCTTTGGAAGTATAAGAAGCTTTATAAAATCGCCTCTGTTCGCAATTGAAGACCACGACAGACCATTCCACGTGGTCTGTGACGCCAGCGATTTTGCGGTCGGCTGAGCTTTAATGCAGTACGACTCAGACGGCGTTGAGCGCGTCGTCTGTTATCAATCGCGTCAGCTGCAAGCAGCTGCGAGCAATTAATCGGTGCATGAAAAGGAGTTCCTTGCCATGAAATATGCACTGGCTAAGTTTCGGGTATATCTCTTAGGAGATAGGCCCTTCATCGTTTATACCGACCACGCTTCGTTACGCACGGCCGTAAACAGTCCAAACCTCTTGCAACGAATGACGAGGTGGCTGTCTTTCTTCGCGGAGTACAACTTTTCCGTCGAGTGTAAACCAGGACGACTTAATGTCGTCGCTGATGCTCTTTCGCGTCGGCCAGATTTCGACCCGGCTGCTCAACCCAACAATCGGGGTGATCTCACTGTAGTAACACTAACTGTAACGGGGTTGCACGAAATCATGGTACTTTGTACCAGAGGTGTTTCAAACCTGAGGGTTCGCTTCTGTGAAGGTGATATAGAATATCTTATCGGTTTGTAGGGGCTGACAAGTGTCAGCCATTAGATACGAAAGATCTTTGAGTAGGATTAAGATATTCTATAGGCTTTAACAAAAATAAAATCAGTTCCCATTTTGATCTGAAAGACACGTGGCTTGCGAGCCGCCTTGATCGTTGATCTCTGATCACTAAAAGTTAGCGACACCTCCTTGAGGTAGCTACTCTTGAGCACTAAGTGCTGTCGATTCACTGAATCGTTAGGTCCCCTGGAACAGGGATCTGAAGCTATAAAGCTTGTTGACTCGTAAAGTCGTTAGTTCTTTAGAACTAAGCTGCTCGTATAGCGTTAAGTCTTCCTCTGACTTAAGGAGCTGTGTAGCTCCGCTACACTTGGTAGCACTTGTAGTCAATCTACGCCTGATTCTCATAGACTGATCCTCTGTGAGGATGGAAAACATCACTCCCCTATCTGAGGCCCAAAAGGTCGCGCTTGATAAGCTGACCGCATCTTTGGGTCCAGAGTACGTGGAGTTCCTTGTTTCACAAGGTCCTGAAGTGCTTAATGCACGTGTTGAAAGCTTCATGCAGTATGAATCGACCCTTTTAGAGCAGGTCCAAGACCAAATAGCGTCGGCTATGCCTACACGCTACGTGTCTGTACCAGACGAAGAGGCTAAGCCTCGTCCACTTAGAGTGGAAGTAAAAAACTACTCCGGTAAGGAGGGCGAGAACCTCATCCTCTGGATCCGTGAGATCGAGATGGCCATGAGATCAGGCCTGATCACGCTTGACCATCAACAGGTCTCGCTGGCTATCTCGAAGCTCGATGGAAGAGCTAGAGAATGGGCCTTGATGTGTAGCACGTCGGTGGACATAGCGTTTCCCACATGGGAGTCGCTCAAGTTACAATTGGTACAGGTGTTTTCTCCACCTAACCAGGCTTACCGCGTGCGCTCACGCTTTCTTTCTACCCGCCAGGGTAAGAATGAATTATCGGACTATGTCCAAGAGCTGCGAACGCTCATGGCTGCAATGCAGTCTGACCCTTTGCCTGAAGCAGTCCATGTGACTATCTTCATGGAAGGTCTACGTACTGGCATTGCCAGAACCGAAGTTTTTCGGGTTCACCCCTCTACGTTTGAAGAGGCTGTGAGAATTGCTCTTAATGCTGAGAAAAACTTAAAGTCGGCCAGACTTGGTTGGAACGGATACAATCCTCGCTCTGTGAGAGCAAACTATTCGGGTACCACTGCCTATAATAGGCCGGAACCGATGGATCTCAGCTATGCTGAAGATGGAGGTGAAGCTGAGCTTCAAGCTGCTGAGCAGAAACACGTTGTAAGACGATGCTTTACGTGCGGAAGCACTAAACACTTGCGGCCTGGTTGCCCTTTGCGTAAGCAACGCCAGACTACGAGCCAACACTCGAGCCCGAGTCAGAAGTCTGGCATGGCACGGGGAAATGCCGACACCCAGTAGGCGCGGGGCGCCCTACTGGGGAAGAACTATGTTCTGTTACACCTTTAGAAGGTAAAGGAATGCAGGGCTTAGCCCCAAAGAGTACCATACCTACGGGTATGGTGCGTGGATACAAGTCTGGCTTGTTGGTCGCCGAGGCGAAAATTAAGGGCTTCGAGAAGCCTTGGTCGATATTGATCGATTCTGGAGCGTCTTGCAATTATGCTCGACGCCGTTCCCTTGAGGGAAGTCAGCGTTATGCTGAGGCGCTTACAGCGCATGCGGGTGATTCTATCACGGTTCGTTTAGCGACTGGAAGTCGCGTAACGGTGCCTAAAGTTCCATTGAACTTAGGTATAAAGTTTTTAGACTTTGACAGTATTGAGCGCTGTCTTGTCCTAGATTTGGACTCGAGATATGATCTCATCCTAGGTATGGCTTGGCTTGAGCGCCATGAGCCATGGATTGATTGGAGGTCTAAGACCTTAGGCGCTACGCGCAATGTTCCTAGCGAAGCTTTGGAGAGTCATGAACCCACCTTTGCTAGGCAGCAGAAGCGCTATTGGCGCGAGCCTTTGACAGAAGATGTCAATGTGCTGGATATTGGAATGTCCGAGTTATTTAACTCCAATGTTAAAAACATAAGTTTCGAGCCTAGCTCGTCTAAAACTAGTGAAACGGCACGTACTCCGTTGAGTGGTACTTGTTGTGATAACGAGTCACTGCATGCTGAAAGCATGGTTGGCCTAGGGCCGAGTGATCAAGGACGTGATTCCTTTGATGTGTGTATGGTGGCACGTGAAATTACACCGAGTGCGGTCGGCCGTGAGAGCACCGCACTGAATGTCGGTAATGACATTTTTGGCCATATGCCATTTAGTGTGGGCGGCCGTGAGGGCACCACGCTTAACGCCGGTAATGGCGTTGTTGGCGATTCGCCATATGGTGTGGGCGGCCGTGAGGGCACCACACCTAATGTCAGTAATGATATTGTTGGCGATACGCCGTATAGAGTGGACGGCCGTGAGGGCACCACGCTTAACGCCGGTAATGGCGTTGTTGGCGATACGCCGTATAGTGTGGGCGGCCGTAAGGGCACCACACCTAATGTCAGTAATGACACTGTTGGCGATACGCCGTATAGTGTGGACGGCCGTGAGGGCACCACACCTAATGTCGGTCAAGACAAAAGCTCTCGTGTAGAGCGTACTATGGTTGGTAGTAACCATGGGGACAATATTGTCCCGACCCCTAAGGGGAGTAAGGTCTCGAAGAGACAATCGAGACGCCGAGTAGCAGCTGTAAAGCGCCAGGCGTCCTCACAGTCACATAGTGAGATTAGCAATACACTATATACACTTGTTAATGGAGTGACTGGTCAGGTTAATGGCAACGTGAGCCTCGAAACCCTTCCATCTGTGGACGCTCTGTGTGAGCTAGACGAAATGTCTGATGGCGAGTTTAGCCAGGCCTTGAAGGCAGGAGAGTTATCCGAGTTAGCAATTATTAGACCTGATACTGACTTAAATTCTTCCTCGTTAATGGATGAGTCTGTCCTAGAGGATACAAAGGCGGCACTTAGTGCACGAAGTGGATCTTCGATCCTTAAAGATCCTTTGGATCCGTTCTTTTCTTTAGTCAAGGAATTTCAAGATGTGGTGTGTCACAACCCACCTTCTGCCTTACCTCCAGATAGAGGTGTACGTCATGAGATTGACTTGGTTCCTGAACCTAAATACTGTGTAACACGGCAGTGGCCTTTGCCTAAAGAACAGTGCGACGTCATTGACGATTTCTTTCGTGCTAAGCACGCGGCTGGAATGGTTCGTGAGAGTAAATCTCCCTATTCAACACCGACATTTTGTGTCAAAAAGCCAAATGGCAAGTGGCGTATTGTGCATGCTTACAATAAGCTTAATGCAGCCACTATACCGGCGCAGACGCCTATTCCTAGAAAGGTTGTTCTTCAGAACAATATGGCGGGATGTACACTGTACAGTGCACTCGACTTAGTCGATGGTTATTACCAACTGCTCATGCGAGCAAGCGATATTCCGCTAACAGCGGTGAGTACTCCGAGCGGTATGCTTTGGGAGTGGCTCGTTATGCCGCAAGGGCTATCTAACGCCCCGGCTACATTTAACCGGTTGGTAACGCAACTATTCAGACCTCATCGAGGCTATGCACAAACGTACTTTGATGACATTTTTGTCCATAGTCGTGCAATGAATGGGCGATCAGATGTGGATAACCACATTGATCATTTACGAGCGGTGCTCGAGTGCATGCGAACGAATAAGCTGTATGCGAACGCATCGAAGTGCATCTTTGGTGCAGAAGAGATTCCCTTTCTAGGGTGCTTCATTGGGAAGCGAGGCCTTCGAGCGGATCCCGCTAAGGTAAAAGCCATAGTCGATTGGCCAGTCCCCAAGAACCAAAAGGACTTGCGTAAGTGGCTTGGCCTTGCCAATTACTTACATAAGTACAGTGCAAATTACGCAGATATGGCTCGGCCATTGTCCAATCTCCTTAAAAAGGATGTGGGTTGGTGTTGGGGTAACACCGAACATAATGATTTTGAAGCAGTTAAGGAGAGTCTCCTTCATGCGCCAATATTGGCTTTGCCCGATTCTGGTCGGCCTTTCAGTGTCGTCTGTGACGCATCTGACTTTGCCATAGGCAGTGCTCTGTTACAAACAGATGTCGACGGACGCGAACGCGTCATCGCATTTGAATCTCGACAGCTGAAAGCTGCTGATAAGAACTATCCTGTTCATGACAAAGAGCTACTTGCTATGAAGTACGCTCTTGTCAAATTCAGAGTCCATCTGCTTGGCTCGAAGCCATTTGTGATCTATACCGATCATGCGTCATTGCGCACTGCGACACAGTCGTCTCACCTCTCACAGAGAATGGCTCGTTGGCTTTCTTTCTTTGCCGAATATAACTTCGAGGTGAAGTACAAGCCAGGTAAGCAAAACGCTTTGGCTGATGCGCTATCGCGTCGACCTGACTATGAGCTTGCTCATGTTACGACCCTGTCGTCGTCAGTCCCTGACTTAATTCGTGCGGCATATGCCAAGGACGATCAGTGTGTAGCTTTGCTACGTGCTCTTGGGAGCAATGAGTTTAAAGACTCGGACATAGAATTGTCGGCACGTTTACGTGCGAGGCTACATCGATATTCCATTGATAATGGCCTGTTGTGCTATCGCACGGATATTGAGGACAACCCTCGTATTGCTGTGCCTCATGATGAGGAGTTAATGTATCGAATCCTCTATGAGGCACATGATACTGCTTTAAGTGGTCATCTCGGTCGTGAGAAGACTTATAGCTCGGTGAGCCAAAGTTATTGGTGGCCCAAACTTTATAAGTGGGTGCGCACCTATGTGCGTACGTGCGAAACGTGTCAACGGGTAAAACCCTCGGCATATGCGGCGGCGCCGCTGGCTAGTTTGCCGGTACCCAGTGGTTGTTGGGAGTCCATGAGCATGGATTTTGTGTTTGGCCTACCGAAAGATTCGGAAGGCAACACTGGTATTGTGGTCTTTGTTGACCGATTGAGCAAGATGGCTCACTTAGCGGCTGTGCCGGATAGCATTGATGCTGAAGGTACAGCAAAGCTGTTTATCGACCGTGTCTTTCGCCAACATGGCTTGCCGGTGGCAATTATCTCTGATAGAGACCCCCGCTTCACTGGGAAGTTTTGGAAGTCTATCTTCAAGGTGCTTGGCACTCAGTTGGACATGTCCACAGCGAATCATCCGCAGACCGACGGTCAAACTGAGCGTGTAAACCGCGTCATCAACGACATTTTGCGCAGTTTTTGCGCTGATACACCTAGGCGTTGGAGCTCAATGCTCCCTGTTGTTGAGTTTGCGTTGAATAACGCTGTTCATGCCTCAACAGGCTTTACTCCGTTCTATATAAACGGTCTCACTCACCCTCGCGTTCCGTTAACGCTATCACTACATGAATCAGGGCTTGGTGGGGGAGAGGTTGCCGATCGGCTTGCTGATATCAGTCCTGCTACTGTTCAAAAACAGGTAAGCGAGTTTCTCGCAACGCGATTAAATGTCTTAAGACATGTGCGTGACGCAATGGCTGACAGCCAAAATAACCAAAAACAACAAGCTGATGCCAAAGGCAGAAATTGTATTGAACGTTATGAGGTCGGAGACCAAGTACTACTCAATGCTAAAAATCTACCTACAAATGTAGTGTCTGCTGTCTTTAAGACAAAGTTGCGTCCACGCTTTATTGAACCGTTTACGGTCACGGCCAAGAAGGGACTTGCGTATACGCTAAACCTCCCGCGCAAATTGCGCACACATCCAGTGTTCTACGTAGGCTTACTTAAGCCGTACCGGGATCCTTCCCATGTGAACTTGGAGGCGCTTGCGCCGACGACAAGGGCACTGCCCCGGATTGCTGTAGACGAATCAGCAAGTCCAACTTAGCCTCGCTCCGAGTTTAGGCTTGCTCCATCGCCTGAAGGCGGCTTTGCATCGCATCCAGCATGCACTGGGACTTACCCAAGGCCTCTTGAAGACCCTTCACTTCGAGAACCAATTTCTCGTGGGCCTCCACCGGTACACCGGCCGCCACCGACTTTGCTCGATGAGCATGGGTGTCGTCAATTCCATGTCGAGAGACTACTGAAACGACGTCGTCGTCAGGGCCAATACCAGTATCTGGTAAAGTGGCGTGGGTACCCTGAGTCTGAAAACTCATGGGAATTTGAGGTACCCCTTCGGCAAGACTGCCCATATGCTTTGGAGGCTTTTGAGCATCGTGGCCATGGTCATCTCGAGGCCGAGGCCGTTCACCACCACTAGTGGTGCGGGTTGGCGGGTTGTTGGTCACAGACTGACCAGCACTCGCGGCGACCTTAGTAGCCGAAGCATAGCGCGTGCGCTTGCGCAATTGGCCTCTGGCCTTAAGCTTGGCATAATCATACCGAAGCTTGCGTTCGAGACGCACATCCGCCGCATGGGCACTAGCCCTTAGAGCAAAAGTGTTGCTGAGGCGACGCACATAGTGCAACCAGTGAATAAAGGCATCGTCTTCTTCACTCGCTGTTTCGCCTGCGAGCAGGAGAATGGGTATACCCTTCATCGGTGGAACTGGTGCACCACGTGCTTGCATGTCAAGGCGTGCCTTGTATTGACTTTGAGTCGTTAGGTGCGGCTCCAGGTACCTCTCACGAAGTGCCTGGCAGCTCACCACCTCCTCAGGAGTCTTAGGCCCATGGCCAATGACCCACGTTGCCAATGTTTGGCCGGCCGCTTGACGCAGACGTTCCTCCACACTGGGTGGGGTGAACACATAATCACGCTGGCGTTCAAGGGTTGTAGTCATCTGTGCATAACGCTGAGCGTTTTCTTCTCTTTGAACAAGCAGTTGTTGTTGCTCATCGAGCGGGTTCGCGATGATAGTCTCATCAGAACCAGATGCTGCATGCTGCGCTGGCGGCGCGCTCGCACCTCCACGTTCAGCAAACGGATTTGGGGTGTTCGAAAGTTGTGCCTCAGGCATCAGTGAGCCGGACGTTGTCCCTGTGTCACCGCGGACACTGGTATCGCTACCATAGTCCACCTCTTCCTCTATTCCAAGGTAGTCACACAGAGCCTTTGACTCGTTTGGTGATGAGGACATCGTGCTGGAGCGTACGTTACCGTGAGGTTCACCGTACGCGCACTGTTCTCGCTGAGAACACGAGTTCGATTGACGTTTTGGCAAACGTCAGTCTGGTGGGGGAGGGTGTAACGGGGTTGCACGAAATCATGGTACTTTGTACCAGAGGTGTTACACACCTGAGGGTTCGCTTCTGTGAAGGTGATATAGAATATCTTATCGGTTTGTAGGGGCTGACAAGTGTCAGCCATTAGATACGAAAGATCTTTGAGTAGGATTAAGATATTCTATAGGCTTTAACAAAAATAAAATCAGTTCCCATTTTGATCTGAAAGACACGTGGCTTGCGAGCCGCCTTGATCGTTGATCTCTGATCACTAAGAGTTAGCGACACCTCCTTGAGGTAGCTACTCTTGAGCACTAAGTGCTGTCGATTCACTGAATCGTTAGGTCCCCTGGAACAGGGATCTGAAGCTATAAAGCTTGTTGACTCGTAAAGTCGTTAGTTCTTTAGAGCTAAGTTGCTCGTATAGCGTTAAGTCTTCCTCTGACTTAAGGAGCAGTGTAGCTCCGCTACACTAACAGTGAGTGTTCCGTCGTCGAATCTGCTCGATGGCGTGCGAAAAGCATATACAGAAGATGAGTCTCTTCTGCGGTTGACAATTTACGTATCCAATCCGTGCAATCAAGCTTTGAAAATCTTGTCGTCTTAATACTGCTCTTCAACCGAACGGTATTCGGTTCGATATGGACTGCTGTACTATACAGCCTTCAACTGCGACACACCTCGTGTCGTTGTTCCGGCTCATGATTATTTGCGATTGCGCATCATGTATGAGTGTCACGATGACCCAACAAGTGGGCATCGCGGTAGAGAAAAGACTAACCTCATGGTGAGTCGTGACTTCTACTGGCCCCGCCAGTATGCGTTTATGCGCAAATGCATTCTCGCTTGCAAAGTTTGTCAAGGGGTGAAGCCTAGTCCTTCATCCCGCGCACCTTTGCAGACTCTACCGATTCCGGCAGAGTGCTGGCAGTCCGTATCGATAGACTTCGTCTTTGAGTTTCCCAAAGACGTTCACAAGAATACTGGTATTCTTGTGATTGTTGATTGGTTCAGCAAGATGGTACATCTTGTTGCTGTACCGGATTCAATCACAGCCCAGGATCGTGCGCGTGTCTTCATTGATACTATTTTGCGACTTCACGGGTTACCCCGTGAACTCGTGTCTGATAGTGAGTCTCGATTCACTGCAATGTTCTGGCAATCCGTGTTCCGTTCACCTGGAACACGGTTGAAGATGTAGACTTCTGACCATCCTGAAACAGATGGTCAAACTGAACGCTTCAAACTCGTCCTCGAAGAGATACTTCGAGGGTATGTCCACTCGTTTAATAGTCAAAGTGAATTCTTGCCGATGGCATAATTCGCCATCAACAAGTCGGTGCATGTGTCGATAACGCATACACCATTCTTCGTGAATGGCCTACGCCATCCACGTTTACCCGCCTTCTTAGAGTGTGACTCTAGTTTAAGGAGGGGTGGACTTGCTCGAACAAAAACCGATCTGGTTCTTGATCATCACACGTCGACAATTGTGTTGACATGATGGATGACGATGTCGGTCGATCGACACCGATGATGATGACGACGACGATGCTTGCATATTCAGCATCGCCAATGACTGCCACATTGAGGACGATGACGCACTCACTAGTGAAGACAACGTTCTTTCATCAGTGCACACGATGCGAACTGCTGGTAACAAGGATGAGTCAGCAGAGGAATTTCTGCTGACTCGCGAAGCAGTTGTCCGCTTCGTTCAAGACTCTGTTGCAGATGCAATAGACAGACAGAAAAGAGACGCAGACAAACATGGAAGAGCAAATGTTCTTTCATTTGATGTAGGGGAATTAGTTTGACTGTCTACAGTAAATCTACCGAAACACGCAGTGACAATCGTGGGCAGCAGTAAATTACTGCCCAAGTGTATCGTTCCATTTCGTGTGTCGCGCCGAATGAGCAACGCATACAGGATCGAAGTACCTCGTAAGATGCGTACGCATTCTTAGTTTTACGTTGGACGCCTCCGCCCGTACTATCAGTACGAGCCAGTTCCGAGAGGCGAAGAACTCCTCCGCGGTCAAGGGCCGCGACCACCTTCGAGTGGTCTTGTTTTATTGAGCCAGTCTGGTCGACTAGCGAAGCGACCTGCTCACGCAGTTGAGCGATGTCCTGACGAACTGCATTTCGTCCGTCACGAAGAGAACGAATCGATCGTTCGTTTTCAAGTTGCGCGAGCGCAAACGCGGCACGATAATACAAACGATCGCGCGCTAAGGAGTTGTAATTATTTTTTATAAAGTCATGGAGCTCATAACACCGAGTCTGTTCATAAGCCAATACATTGTGTAACTGATCCGTTACGCGGTCCAGTTCCTGAACATCAAGATGATCCGACCCTCGAGCCGTATCAGATGTTTTCGCCTCCACCACATCCTTTGGTGGATTCTCGCGGTGGTCAACGCTTTTTGTGGGAGCGTGTCTTGAACCACTGCAACGTGAATGGCATCCGGACGAGTTACCTCGTTCGCTGGCGTGGCTACCCACCAGCCTGGGACAGCTGGGAGCCTCGTGCCCAGCTGATTGTTGATGTTCTGGGTCTCGACGAGCAATATGACGAGACCCACCCGTTGCGTTAGAAGAAGGGTCGTCGAAAAACGACCTCCCCGAACGCGAGTACAGGGAATGCAGAGTGTCAACCTCTTCGGTCATCTAAGAAAAGCTACGCGCCCTCCAGTAGGAAACAATAGAAAGATAGACCTCCCTAGGGGCACGATTAGCATTTTCCCCAGGCACCCTAGACAATGATCGCCCCACAAGAGACAGGGTAATCCTGCCTCTCCTGACAGTCGGTGCAAGATGTATTGCACCCCGACTGGGTCGCGCTTCTCAAACCTGATGCGAGCTGCGTCAAGTTTACCGAGCCAGGCCTCACGGCCAATACACTCGATGTTATGGATGAAGTCGTTCCATCCTTGCACTAAGGCCTTGCCGTCTGGACCTTAGTTGCCACTGTACCACCGATGTTTAAAAACGCATCAAAAAAGAACTCTTCCTCAGCACGGATAGTTGTCGTGCTGATATTAGTAGGACAAATCCTCCTACAGTCGAACAACTGTATTTAATCCCGATCAATGGTCACACCGGACACTCGATCCAACTCTTCGGATGACGGAATCCAAGGAGACTCCACTTGAGGAGCCTGGCGCAGGACATTTCAGTCCCTGGCCTCTTGAGTGGTGTCAGCATGAACACTGACACCAGAAACAGCTCGATGCCTCGAGTTGTTTCTCTCGTAGTGACGCTTAGGTGCGTCACCACCATCACCACGCGTCCTAGTGTCCGACGGACTTGATTGAGACGAGGATTTGTCAGACAAACCTCTCGGTTCAAAGATCTCGGACATGATAGCGCCATGTCCCCCAGCGCCAATTAACCTGGAAATTGCAGTGTCCGCCCCGGATGACCCGGAGGCGTGAGGTGTCGCCTTCGAGTCATATGCATTATCCGACTCGCCAGAATAGATGAGCTCTATTTTAGGCCCATCCGCTTTTCGAGTCGTAGCACGCGCTGCAGACGCAGTGAATGTATCTATCGCACGTGGTGACTCACCACGTGGACTGTTCACCACAGGTACCACCTGTTGCTGAATCGAACAGCACGCTAAGGATCACATGCTGCTGAACCAATTGAAGAACTCTCTTCGGCTGCATGCATGCGTGCAACCGCCTTCTGTGCTGTTTCGGCAGCACGTCGCGTGAGCTTTGACACAATCTGATGTATTGGAAAATGAGTTGGAATTAGACCAACAAGTGCTCCCCTTCCCAGAGTGATCCAACGGTGGTCACCCTGTCCCAATCAGCAAAATTTAATTAACGGGTGATTGATGGTTAATGGGAGGTGATGTAATGGGGTAGCCCGTTACATGATATTGACACCAAACGGTGTCAATATCATTGTCTAGCGTGACAAATCCCTACCAATATTATCCGAGATGGATAATATTGAAGGAACATTATCTCCTTTGTAGGATAATATTCATGCGCTGCTCAAAGATTGGTTGATAAAGACATACTAACCAAAGTTACCACCAATCGCTGCTAGACGTGCGTAATGAGTGGTGAGCAGGTTGTCGTCATTCGAAAATGTAGATTATATAGTTAGATAAAGACTGAAGTTATGTTGATAGCTTGACTATATTAAATACAGTTCTCCTATTACCCTTTACTCAAGCTAGCTGTTTAAGTAGATTAGCTTCCTCTACACGTACTATTGTACGTGAAGTTTGGTGGCACCCCGAACAAAGGGTGCCTTGTTACAATGTGTCATTCTTCAACGTGCAATTTTACACGGCACGGAGAATTTTTTTCAAATTAATTGTTGTACCACGTTGAAATTGATCTGGATAATTAAATTTACGACCAACTTTCTTATCGACTTGCAATTTGGGTAGGGGCGACTATTGTGGCGCTGACAGCAGTGTGAATTCTTCAGATAATCAGCACCTAGAAAATCATGACTATCTAGAAATTCTAATGAGTTCGGTACATGAATACGGATCTGGTACGGCCACAGAATCACGTTTCAATCGGACCGTGTATGCGTCACTGTAAAATGGACATCAGTGAAGGTTGCAAAAGGCTGCTTTGCTAATTTCCCGCGAGTCCAAATTTCTTAAAGTCGTTCAAAATTGTCACTTTAAAAACCAATCTGTTCTATTTGTTCTTCATACGTTTCTCCACTACTGGTAGTAGCGACCAACATCAGAATGACATGATCATTATTCAGCTTGACGACACCATACGAGTGGATTTCATATTTAAGATCATTCATTGCGGTGCTACTCCCATTAAAGGTTAAGAACAATTTAAAAAGGAATGCTTAGAAATACACAACTAAGTAGATAAGTACTAGTCGACCAGCAGTGTATCGTTGGCAACATTAAGACAGCGCCCATTTGGTTCTACGAGTCCACCAGGCATCAACCTATGAAGGTCCTCCCAGTATTAGTCGGGCAAAGCTAAACGTAAAAAAACGCGGTGCCACACCATTTTCGCTAAATATTGCTTCCGATTTGTGATGTCAATTCGATACTGGTAAGCATCGGATCCAGTGATATCTCTAATGTGAAGTAAGCCATGTTCATCAAGTTCTCGCATGTGTTGTCGTGCATCATTTGCTGTACATAGCTTATTGTTAAAGGTGCGTCTTGAAAGTGTCTGTAGATAAATGTAAGATTGTGGTAGCGTTCTAAAAAGTCTTATTCTGTCGCTCATCCGGAATTTAAATCGATGCTCCGCAAAAAAGCAATTAAAATTTTAAGTTAGCGAATATTCTCTGGCAAAATGAATTAGATGAGAAGTTGCATCAGTTTCCGATACAGCAAACTGCTGAATGGGTTAGGTAAGGTCTGCGAACCCAAGAGGATTTTTACACAAGTCATCACGGTTATTTTGGGTGTTTCGATGTGTTTGATTGGCTAAGTTTCAGCATCAGACGATGCAAAAGCGCGATGCAAACGATCGACCTCCAGAGGTTCGTTGCCAGAATCACGAACGAAGCAGTGATATGGTGCTTCTTCTTCATCATAATTATCGATGAAACTAAGGCCTTGATCAGCTTCCACGATAGCACCATCGTAGACAATAATTTCGGAAAATATTGTGAAACTTCATTTTCAGGTAGCAAGCTGCAATTTTCCTGGCTTAAGGTAATTTTCCTCTTCACGAATTATGATTGGTGTTTTACTAAATATCTACAATCCGCTAGTACCCGTGCTCGAATGGCTTTGTACTATACAGATTTGTTGTCCTGGGTATCACGTTTCATGATAATATAGGGGGTTTCATCAGCTAGACGAGGTATTAACAAATGTCACAAATTCTTGTTGTAAGTGGACAACAAATTTCCGATGTATAATCTGACCAGTCTTGAGATTTAAAACATTATTTACAGGGAGAAAGGGCAACAACGGCTTTTCTTTAACCATTTTCAGTTTCTCAGTAAGCCTTTTATGTGATCAGGTAGCAATAAAACATTATCAGGTAAAACGTATTCTCAGCAGAAGCTAAACTTTTTGAGATGTGAGGTTGTAAATAATGGATGCGACTTAATAAAAACCGCAGTATATCAAACCTCTCTTGCAGCGTATGCTAACATAATATAGGGATGCTTAGTTCACGTCGGTAGACAGACAATTGAAATAATGACCTTGGTTGTACTTGGACGTTTTCAATTAAACTTTTTTATGATCTCATGGGACCTAACTTGCTATGTAGGTAGCCATCTCGACCGCATCAAACTAGTTCAAATTTCATTCTAAGAAAACATATCGATAAATGGTGGGATTGCATGTTTTTACCTAATAATATTCGTGCCTTTCTTTCTTGGAGACATGTAAAACGTTGCTTATCTTCCGACCTTGTAGTGTGAAGAGTATTGCAAGCTTTGGACTGAAAGTCTAGTCAGTTGTTAGCACAAAGTGTACTAAAAAATACAATAGGCTTGAAACCGTGGACATTATATAAGCATTATTGTACCTCGACTATCATAAGCACGCCTGGCCTATATTTATCTTCTGTTGCAGTATTGCGGCGTGCAGTGATTGCTAAACGAATTATACATAAAAATTATACAAAATTACAAATTTTCGCGGATACGTCTGGCTTAAATTTTTTTTTAAATGTTCCGATCATGCCTAGCCAAAGAATCAGCTTCTGTTTCAGACGACAAGCAGCATTTCTTGGATGTCACTGGAATATGGTGCTGAGAGTAAGTACAATTACATCAAATATTTACAAACCTCGACTATTTCGAGTATGTCTAGCTTTAGACTCAGCTTCTGTTTTCAATTTGATGGCGCGCGGCAATTCCTAAATGGTAATCAGTAGACTTAGATAATGCGTTAAAATACATCTAAAAATATCAAGTAAATGCAAATCTTGAATGTACTGAGCGTGTCTGGCGAGAGAATCAGCTTTGTTTCAGTTTGGCGACGAGTATCGGTTCTTTATTGATAAAAAAAGATTGAGCTCATATTCAATAACATTTATTATGAGTCAAAATATAACAATTTTGTTTTAAATTAGTTTTATCTATTATAATGTCATAATATTTTTCGAATTATTTGATTGCTTAAATAAGAGCAAAACCTAAAATAGCAGCCCTCATTTATTCTTGCTGAAAAGAAGGATTTCTTGATAAGTGATTAAGGAACCAAAAACATTTCCGATACAAATACATTGAGCATATACCAACCTTGACTGTTTCGAGCATGTCTAGCTTGATATTCAGCTTCTTTTACAGATTGACGGCTTGCGACATCTGCTTGATGATGTCGAGGAAAAGGTACAACAATCAGGCATAAAACGGGATTTATCATTGTATTATTCGCAATGATTTAAGTATATTACCGTGTACCTCGATTGTTGTGTGAGAGGCGAGCTTGCCTTTCGGATTTTGTTTCCGCTGCGCTCCCAGCTCTCATAGCTACAATTTGTATGATATTTAGAGATAGCTAGGTTCTCTTGTTTTTCGTAACTCTAACAAATCTGCACACATTTTTAAAATGTTTTGTATACTTCCGACACGATTAAAAATATGATAATCTATTTATATAATCAAATCATGCAATTGTAAAAAACCACAATATGGGCAAACACCATAAATGCAAACACAAATACAGGGTATGTATGATGGTGGGACAATAATCACCTGCCCAAGTCAATTGCCCGCTGCTGCCTGTTTCCGATGAGCAATTGTGGCGGTGTCACTCGATGAAGCGGCATGTAACGGGGTTACATGCTGTCATTGGACCGGTAATGTTAGTGACCACATTAAGTAAAGATCGGTGGATCTGAGTGGTACAGTTTTGTTACCACGTACCTATAGTAAATACCGCACCTTATCGGTTAAGGATAAGGGATCGGAATTCTGTCATAGGATAGCAATGTAGAAGCCAGTCAGACAAGATTTTAAAGTTTTATTACCGTAGCTAAAGAATTCAGTTTCCCTTTCGAATCGTTGGACGCTAGTGCCTAGTCAAGGCATAGCGTGTTGTAAGAGTGTTAGTCTTGTATAGGCGTTTACTCTTGTTAAACTAGTAGTTACTGATTAATATGATATTCTGTGAACCGTGATTGCTTTGAGACCGGTATTGTTAAGATTGCACGCTTGGACGAACGTACATCGTTGTTAATTTGCTATAATTAAAGGACTCTTTGAGTCTAATACTTCCTCTTTTAAGGAGCGCTAAGTGTCTCCGCTACAAGACACGTCTGTCGCATAATGTTTGGACGCGTCGCCTTTAAGAAGTCGTCGCGTTCTCCTCGGCGACTCTGGAGACTCCGGCATATCTACAAGAAGAAGCTTTCTTCTTAGACTTAGTCATTGTGGATGGGCAACCTGCTTGCTGCACTACAACTGGTAGCATATATGCTCGTAGAGATGCTCATTTGGTTGTGTCAGATAGGAAAATACTTCTGAGTTCTGAACGGCCGTGCGTTAACGTTTTATTTTTTGTTGGTATTTTTTGGTGTCGTACGACCTTCGAGCTAACCCCACATGCGTACTTTAGTGCGACTTTAACTATCGGTGCTACCGCAATTATTGAAATACCCAAAGAGTGACACCTTCCATACTTATCGACCCATGGTGGGGACAGGCTAGATCGCACTTAATATGCGTACGTACACCTGGTCGTTTTATTTACAGACACACACAGGTAAGTACGATTTAAAAGTTGGGCATTCACCCTACGCAAAGGCACTAATAGCTCCACCTTTCAGGCTCGCAAGTTTACCCATGTATGTGTTGAAAAGGCACTTGGGTTGTAGAAAGCAAAATGCAAAATGAATATATTTAGGTCCTTAGTTCGCAATCGCTTTTGCTAGTCTAAGCCTACTGGATTCTTTCAACAACACAATCGTAATCGCTGTATCGCGCATTACTAATCGTGTAGTCGCGTATTAGTAATCGCTATGTCACGCATTACTAATCGTTTAGTCGCGTATTAGTAATCGCTATGTCGCGCATTACTAATCGCTACGTCGCGCACTACTAATTGTCTGCACGTACATTCTTGTGGTCGCCGTTTGCATGCCGAGTCGCTTCTTTTACAACACTCCCACTCGACTCGGTAGCGACACCGACAGTGATGCCGAGTTCAGTACGGAGGATGGTAAACTGTGGCGCTGCGATTGCCTTGGTCATGATGTCAGCGAGCATATCTTGCGTCGGATAGTACTGTAGCACGACTTGATTCTTTTCGACCTTTTCTCGCACGAAGTGGTAGCGAATGTCGATGTGCTTGGTGCGTTTGTGGAACTCTGGGTTCTTGGCCAACGCAATAGCACCTTGATTGTCTTCATAGATAGTTAGAGCGTCATCGCCTGCTTCTTCGCCGAGCTTACTCATGAACGTCTTGAGCCACGTCGCTTCTTGGGTCACCTCCGACAGTGCCATGTACTCTGCTTCGGTAGACGAGAGTGCCACGCTGCGCTGTTTCTTGCTACGCCAGCTGATGCAGCCGTTGTTAAGCACAAATACTTAGCCGCTGGTACTTTGTCTAGTATCGATATCTCCAGCCCAGTCGGCATCGGAATAGCCAAGCAACTTGCCATTGCCAGCGCCAATAAAACTAATACCAAGTGTAGGAGTCGCTTGCAGGTACCGTAGCACGCGCTTGAGTGCTTGCCAGTGTGTCGGACACGGGTCAGCAGCAAACTGGCTGAGCACTCCCACTGAAGCTGTGAGGTCTGGACGCGTGCCTACCATGAGGTACATCAAGGCTTCGACGGCACTTCTGTAGGAAAGCAAGGGATTTGTTACCTTGGTGGATTGGAGATTCGGCGCGATGTGTCGATTAGCGTCATTCGTTTAGATAGGAAGGCAGAGCGGCTGCGTAGCAAAATGGGTGGTGTGGATGGCTTTGGAAAAGTGTCAGGTAGAAGAGAAGACATAAAATGTGAATACAGAATCTAATCGTCTTTCTACTGCGCATACTACTTCCCACAGGTTATGAGCCCAATGGCTAGAGAAACTGAAGCGACCCCCAAGACACCAGGAGGTGTCGCGCGAGCTGCGCCAGGGCGTGTCTCGCCAGCGCGTGTGCCCTCATCGGGGGACACGCCGGGAGTCGTCGAAGTACCGCCCGCTCGCGAAAGGAGCGAGGCAACCGACGACAAGATCCTCGCGGCCCTCGCCGCAGTGACCGACCGCCTGTCGAAGCTCGAGTCTTCGCAGCGCGTCCGGGACGAAGATGAGAGGATGCTTGGAGCTGTCGAGAGCGGCATGTTTGCATCCAAGCTTGGAGCGAACATGCGTGGACGCCCCATGACCATCGACGCGCTTAAGTCGCTGGAGGAAAAACCAGCAGAACATCGCGCGCGGGAGCGCTGGCCAGAAAACGGTGAGTCGATGTTCGCCTCTCTCGCACCGCCGCGTGGACAGCCGTCAGCCCAGCATCGCATGCCGGAACGATCGGCCGAGCCCATGGTCGCGCCGCGTCAAGAAGCTATGCCACCAGCGATCGGACACTACGGAATGCCGAGCGCTAGTCAGAGAAAGCTCAACATTCGCAAGTTCGATGGGACGGAGCTTTACAAAGGGCTTGGGAGCGGGTTCTTTGACTGGGGACGCACCTTCATGCGCGCTGTGAGCCTCGCTGAGGCGTCTTGCGGTTTCTCCTGGACGGAGGACGTGAAGGTGGACCTACTCGGGCATTTCTTGGCTGGTACGGCGGAGCGCTACTACCACAAACAGGTCGACACTTGGTGGGTGCAGCAGCCAAGACTCGAGCACGTCATGGAGCAGCTGCACCTAACGTTCAAGACGACCATCACGGCGAGTCAGGCCATGAAGCTATTCATGACAAGGAAAGAAGCGAGACGCACCTGGGCTGAGCACTTTCTTTACATGGTGGCTGTCAGCGACGCGTGCGGTGGCGCCGACTCGCTTGTGCTCGACAACATCGTCCATCATGCGTCGCCAGACCTGATGAATGTCATGCGCGCTAAGTACGATCCAACGCGGTCCGACTACCTGCGCCACGCTGAGGAGTTGGCGCACTTTGCGCAGTCTATCGAGCTCGGCAGTGGCGCGGTTGGTCGCGAGGTCGTTGCGGCGCATGTTGAGACGAAGCGTCAAGACACGCGAACGTGTTTCCGATGCGGGAGGACGGGGCACGTCGTTTCCGAATGCAAGGCAAGAGTTGTGTTTGATGATGAAACGACAAACACGAGTGTCAGCGTCGATATGGTACTTGCGCTCATGGAGAAAGGGTCAGCGGCTCGCACGAAAGAAGCCAAAAGCAAGAAGAAAAAGAAATCGCGAGGCAAAGCGGTTCGTGCGAATAAAGTGCGAGCTGCGAACAACGCGGGCGGATTCGTGCTAGCTGCAAATGATGCGATTGGCATCGATCGAGGCGACTGGATACTTGACAGTGGCGCGAGCAGGCACCTCGTGAACGATGAGTCGCTGCTGATCGACTCGACCGCCTGCGTCTACGAGATCGTCATGGCAGATGGGGAGTCACTGCGGCTGACGCGTGTCGGGAGTGTGCGCCTTGAGGTCCTCGCGCGCGGTGTGAAGGTGACTGTGACTCTGACAGAAGTCTATCTTGCTCCACGTCTGGCGAAGAACATCGTCTCGTACGGGAAGCTGGAGAGCAAAGGGTTTGCCCTCGTGTACGATGGCAACAAACGAGCGCTAGCGCGGCGCAGCGACGGTACAGTCGTGTTCGACGTAGCGATTGACAGTAACGTGTTATACGTTAAGACGACAGCGACACGCGAGAGGCACAGAGCTGGAGATGCGATCGTGGCTGCGCTCGAAGCGCGCGCGATGGATGGTGATGCGGATGACATGCACGAAGCCTCGCTGCTGCACTGGCACCAGAGACTTGGCCACCTCGCGTTCGATACGATCGAGCGTATGGCGCGAGATCCGTCATCGGGTATTCGATTGACCAGCAACAAGCGCATGGCATGCGTATCATGCCTCGAGGGCAAACAGACGCGCAACACGCAGTCACAACAAGACAGCGGCACCAACTCGCCAATCGACAGGATCGGCGGCGTCATCTGCTCGGACCTTAAGGGTCCCATGACGCCGCAGGATCGCCTTGGCAATCGATATATGGTGAACTTTATCGACCATAAATCGAACTATTGTCGAGTATTCCTTGCGCGCACGAAAGACGCGGCGGCGAAGCAGTTTGAAGCCTTCCTCGTCCACTTTGAGAAGCTCTTCGGCTTCAAGGTCCACGTTCTGCGGACGGACGGAGGAGGCGAGTATGCAAACGTCGACTTGTTCTGTAAACGCAGGGGTGTCGCACGCCAAGTGTCGGAAGCTCGCAACCAGGCATCGAATGGCAAGGCAGAGAGGATGCACCGCACGGTGCTAAACCTCGCACGCAGCATGATGTTCGCGAGCGCGCTACCGTTGCAGTTCTGGGGCGACGCGGTGCAGTACGCCGTCCACATCTTGAACCGCAGCCCGACGCGAGCCAATGCAAAGAGAGCGTCGCCTATCGAGGTGCTGACGGGTAAGTCGCCGGATCTGCGCTGCATCGTCGTCTTTGGGTCGTCGTGTAGCGTCTACCGGGACCCGCGCAAGAGATCGCTACAGCGGCGCTCTCAGACTGGCATCATCGTGGGCGTCAGCGAGGAGACAAAGGGGTACAAGGTTCTTCTCCAGCGAGAGAACAAGGTGGTTGTAACACAACATGTGAAGAATATCTCCACGCTCTCGGATGCGCAGAACGCACAACTGCAGCGTGCGCTGGAAGTTGGCGATCGAGCCGATGGAGAGGCTGTAGTGGCGACCCGTGATGACAATATACGAGTGCGAGATTATCGCGGTGCTCACGAGAAGAGTAAGAAGCCGTGGTCACGACAAGCGCACGGTACACGAAGCGCATCAAAGCGCAAGCAAGCAGTTACGCGCCAGGAGGAGAGATCTGCAAGCGACGAGGTGGTCAACGCAGCCTTCGAGCGCGACCCATGCAACTATGGCGAGGCCATGCGGAGCTCTAAGCGTGCGGAGTGGCAGACGGCGATGCAAGAAGAGATCGCCGCTATGGAGAGCAACGATGTGTGGCGCGTGACGAAGCGTAGCCCGGGCGTGAACGCTCTTCACTCCAAGTGGGTCTTCAAGACCAAGACAGGGGCCGATGGAGAGCTCGAGCGATATAAGGCGAGGCTTGTCGCATGTGGCAATGAGCAAGTGCTCGGCGTCGATTACAACCTGACCTTTGCCGCAGTGATGGACATCTCGACGGCAAAGGTAGTGCTGGCGCTCGCAGCAACCTGGGGCGTGCCGGCCAAGCATGGAGACATCCCGAACGCTTACGTGCGTGCCGAGAAGGAAGCACATCTCGACATCTGCTTGCAGGTGCCACGCGGTATGACTGTGTCAGAGAGGACTCTGCGCAATGTTGGCGCTATGCATCCAGGCGAGGTCGTCTTGGAGCTGCGGAGAAGCCTTTACGGGCTGAAGCAAGCCGGGCGCCTCTGGAGCCAGTTGCTCCATGCGCGACTCAGCGATGCGGGGTACGTGCGCTGGGTGTCAGACATGTGTCTGTACCACAAGCGCGACGGCGAAGAGCTGGTCGTAGTTGGCGTCTACGTCGATGATTTGCTGGCGACGGGAACGAGCGTCGCGGCAGTCGAGAGCTTCTTCGCGAGCCTGGCGTCGCTGTCAATCAAGGATCTTGGCCATGTCCACAAGTTCCTGGGAATGCGAGTGGAACTCGGGAGCGACGGCGCGTACCGCATCGACCAGGAGGAGGCCATCAAGGAGCTACTGCGTGCTCATGGGATGTGCGATGCGAATCCGACGAAGACGCCGATTGGAGGTGACTGCTACGAGGTCGTAGGCGACGACGCCGCGCTTCTTGGAACAACGAGCACGGGCGGTGGTGCAACCATCAACGCGTTCCAGTCCCTCGTCGGGAGCCTGCTGTGGGTCGCACGGTGCTCAAGGCCTGACATTGCCTTTGCAGTGCATAAAGCAACTAGGCAGACACATGCGCCGCGGGTACTCGACTGGAAGCTCGCCAAGCGTGTTGCTCGGTACCTAAAGGGGACAGCGATGCTCAAGCTCGAGATGGCGCCAGAGCGAACGAGCCGAGACGCGCTGCGTCTCGAAGCCTATAGCGATGCCGACTTCGCGGCTGACAAAGCGGACCGGAAGTCACTAACTGGAGGCGTCGTGCTTCTAAATGGGATGGCGGTGTCATGGACCGCGAAGAAACAGGGCGGAGTGAGTCTCTCGACGATGGAGGCCGAATTCGTCGCGGCGTCGGAGGTTGCGCGCGAGCTCATTGGCTTGCACCAGATGCTCGGAGAAGTGGGCATGGCGCCGGTTGTCCCTATGCTGATGCACGTGGACAACCAGGCAGCCATCAGTCAGATCGAAGGCGAAGCCTCGTCGATCAAGGCCAAGCACATCGACGTGCGGCACAAGTATCTGCGCGACCTCGCTCGTCGTGGGATCATCACGGCGCAGCACGTTCGATCCGAACTGATGATAGCGGATCTGATGACGAAGGACGTCGATGCAAACAAGCTGGCGGCGCTGCGTAGCCTGATGCGGCTCGAGTAAGAGCGTGATGCGTATGAAGAGCTGGATGCGCGAGATGGCTGTGTCAGGGTATGGGTGTGGTGGAGGCACGCGTGAGGATCTTCAGGATGAAGGAGATCGAGTATGGAGGAGATGAAGGACAAGGGCGTCTGCAACGTCCAAAAGGGATCGGAGAGGAAGAGAGAGGAAGAGAAGAGAGGAAGAGAGAAAAGAAGGAAGAGACGAAAACATAAAACGCACTCGAGGAGGAGTGTAGGAAAGCAAGGGATTTGTTACCTTGGTGGATTGGAGATTCGGCGCGATGTGTCGATTAGCGTCATTCGTTTAGATAGGAAGGCAGAGCGGCTGCGTAGCAAAATGGGTGGTGTGGATGGCTTTGGAAAAGTGTCAGGTAGAAGAGAAGACATAAAATGTGAATACAGAATCTAATCGTCTTTCTACTGCGCATACTACTTCCCACAACTTCGGTATGGCACTATTTGCATAACGTAGTTGTGCTTGCATCCATCTTTGCACATGCGCTTAGGCAACTTCAGTCCGGAATCTTGCGGTGTCTTAACAGGCTTAGAGTCTTGCATGCCGACTTGGTCAGAATCGATCGCAAGAACTTAAGCTGTTTCATCGATACATCGCCTGACTTGTCATCGCGCTCGACTTCTATTCCGAGGCAGTACTTAAGCTCACCGAGATCGGACATATCGAATCGCTCGCTCAATGCACGTTTGGTGGCTGCGAGGATGTCCATGTTGTTGCACGCAAGGATGAGGTCGTCGACGTATATGACAACAAACATCATGACTATGTCGTCACGCTTGGCGTAGACACGATGATCCATCTCGCACTTGAAGAAGCCAATCTTGCGCATGAATTCATCAATAGTATGGTTCCACATACGAGGGGATTGCTTGAGTCCGTACAACGCACGCTTGAGCTTGCACACATGGTGAGGATGATTGGCATCAACGAATCCGTCAGGCTGCTCCATGTAGATCTCTTCTTCAAGCATACCGTTAAGAAACGCCGTTTTGACGTCCATCTGGTGAAGTACGAGGTTGTGCTGCGCGGCGAGGCTCACAATGATCCGGATCGACGCGAGCTTGGCCACTGGTGCGAACGTCTCCTCGAAGCCCACACCGTACTTTTGCAAAAATCCTTTTGCCACGAGGCGCGCTTTGTATCGCTCGATGAGTCCATCAACAGTCCCCTTCACCTTAAACACCCACTTGATGCTGATCGCCTTGCGATCACTTGGTAACGGCACGAGTTCCCACGTGTTGTTCTTGCACAATGACTGAAACTCTGATTCGCACGCTTCTCGCCACTTTCTTGCGTCGCTGGATTCCATAGCCGATGAGAGTGTCATCGGCACTTCTCCCACTGGATCCACGACTTTAGCACAGTCTTCTTCATGTTCTTCTTCTTCTTCTTCTTCATCAATAGATGCGAGAAGCGCCGACATGGCTTCGAGTGGTGACGCAGTACCTTGCACTGACCATGTGTGCACACCACTTGTACTAGCCCCGCGTCCATAGCGTTTTTCCACAGGTGTCATGCATAGTTTAAAGAGACCTTTGCCCGCACGCTCGCCGATCCTCCACTTCTGGTTTTTAAAATTTGCATAACAGGTGCTCGTATTAAACGTCACTGTCGCGACATCCTTGGTGAATCGACCGACTGAGAACAGATTGCGTGAAAACTTTGGAATGTGCCACACATTCGTAAGCACACCCTTCTTGGCACCACTTGGTGTCTTCATCATCATCACTACGTTGCCGGTCCCAATTGCCTGCACGACCCCGTCGTCTGCGAGATGAACGCTAACTGGATCGATGGTCTTGTAGTTTGTCATAAACCGCTTTGAGAATGACATGTGCTGCGTCGCACCAGAGTCTATGAGCCATGCTGGATCCTTGACGCTGTCGTCGTCGTTGCTCTCCAATCCAGCTGCAAACAGGAAATCGTTCAAGTTTTCATCTTGGTTGTGCGCCACATTCGCACGCTGCGGACGCTGCCGGTCCACGTTGTCATGGATCTGCGACGTACATTCCGCGATCCAATGACCCATCTTACCGCAGTAGTTGCACGCGCCAGTCTTCTTGAATGGCCGTCCACTACGCTTCTTCTCACCTGTCATGAACGCTTGACCTGCAGCGACCCCGTCACTGCCTTGCTCTTTGCGCTTCATGTCTTCATGTAGCTGCCTGGATGTCACCAGTTCCCACGACAGCGAGTCGGCCCTTGACTCCAAAGCAGTAATGAGAAATGCAAACGACTCACTACAGCTTCCAAGAAGCGTGATCACCAGGTCGTCTTCGCTGACCGGAGCACCCACCGCGTCGAGTTGTTCCGCCAGTGTCTTTATCTTGTTAATGTGCGAAAGCACATCATCGCCTTCCTTCATCTTGACCGTGAAGAAACGGCGACGAAGAAAGAGCTTGTTAGCTAAGCTCTTCTTCTCAAAGTGGCCTTCCAGCCGCGACCATGCATCGTACGCTCCACTTGCCGACCGAACCAGGGGCAGCTGCGAGTCCTCCATCGCAAGACAGATTATCGCGAGCGCCTTCCGTGACTTGCGCTTGAACGTTGACTGATCCAGCGTAGTGGCAAGGTGTTCCAGCTTGATCTCCCCGCTTGTCACTTCCCAAAGGTCCCGCTCCTCCAGCACCATCTGAATTTTGAACTTCCAAGTGTGGAAGTTCGTACCAACAAACTTGTTGATGCGAGCGTTGGTGGCGGTGGCAGCGTCCATGTTGAAAGCAAAGTCGGCGTCGGGGGCAGAGTCAGCAGAGCTTGGGCTCATAACCTGTTGAAAAAGCACTTGGGTTGTAGAAAGCAAAATGCAAAATGCAAAATGAATATATTTAGGTCCTTAGTTCGCAATCTCTTTTGCTAGTCTAAGCCTACTGGATTCTTTCAACAACACAATCGTAATCGCTGTATCGCGCATTACTAATCGTGTAGTCGCGTATTAGTAATCGCTATGTCGCGCATTACTAATCGTTTAGTCGCGTATTAGTAATCGCTATGTCGCGCATTACTAATCGTAGAGTCGCGTATTAGTAATCGCTATGTCGCGCATTACTAATCGCTACGTCGCGCACTACTAATTGTCTGCACGTACATTCTTGTGGTTGCCGTTTGCATGCCGAGTCGCTTCTTTTACAACAGTATGTAGCTCAAAGACGCATAGAAATCTCATCAGAGAAACTAAAAATAGCGGAAATTATAGTCAACGCCAAATAATTGTGTCGAAATTAAAGATGCAGAAAAGTAAAAGGCACTACTTACTTTTCACTAAAAAAGCATTTTGACCATAGGTTTACGACTTTCGCATTGATCTATAGTGTTTCGGCTGAGCAAAACTACTAAAAGAGCTGAAAATACAAGGTGCAATTTAGCATTGAACCGAATAGAAGTTGACTTTCAAACTTCGTTTTAAAAGTGTGTAGAACCACCAGCACGTCATTACTTTACAAACTCGTAACTTGAATCACTTAGCGAGTAGCACGTAGATAAACTCCTGCAGGTTTAAGCCGTACAGCACGCCTGCACGAAACAATCGGCAGAACACACACGCGACATGAGATCCGAACGTGCCGGGCTACATGTTCGTCTACCATCACAACATTGCAAGAATGTTGTGATATCAGTAATCAATGCCACTGCCCTAAGTCTCACTTATGCATTCCTCACCTGAGATTGGAAAACACCTGCTTCCATCGTCAATGTTGAGGAAGAATTGTCACGTAGAGCACGTCTACGTTGTGGTCTCTTTTGTCATGTTGCGTAGGTAGTTAAGCACGTGAAGACTCCCTTGCTTGTCCAGCACATGATTGTACTCGGAGCATCGAGGTGAGTGAATGCAAGATGGGCAGCCTTCCGAGCACCCACATTCACTTATGATTGTCCATGACTTCTTGATCAGCTGCTTTCCGATCCAGCATAAACAGCCATGAGTGATTGGACGAACAAATTAAAGAAACAACGCAGCACTCGTACCTCCGGAAGCACCTTCACGATCTCAGCAACTAACCCACATCCTCCTTCGCGCCTCTCATAGATAGTGACCCGATTTGGTCTGCCAAGAGAGATTTACAAGATGTTAGCAGACTAAAACCATCGAGGATTAACGTGCAACAATCATCGCACTTGGTACGCTGCTCGAACTCGTTGACATGCTCGGTACCGACATCTTCATCGTCGCACAATATAAACAGACGAACCAGTGCTGTCAAAAGGTGGCCGATCCCGTGCAATGATGCTGTCCATGATGCGCCATCCCTAGCCTCTACTTGCTGTCGCAGTATAGCTGGAAATTCGAGCCATACGGCCTCGCCAAACGATTGCATAAGAGGCAAGGAAAACTCGTTTGATCCTAGAACTCGCATCGTACGCTTTTCCAGCATCGTGGACCCGAAAACTCGGGTCAAGATAGAAACAGTGCCAACACCAAGCAGAACACAGTCGTGTTTTGCATTTTTACGACCATGTCCGAGCTGCGTGGTGTTTTGTATACGGACAACCTCAAGATCGGTAAAATCACGGCAAGTTGTAAAATATGTGAGCGGCTGCTGACACTTCACTGCAAACGCTATGCGCTGGTCGTTGTCCAGTCGGGTGATCACGTACTCTCGAGCCTGATGAAGATACACCGCCTTGGGGTACACTTGAAAAAAAGCTTTGTCCCCTGGTATTTCATCCAGCACCTCCCCGTTTCCGTCATCGATGACAGCGTTGTTTGTCGTAACCACCACTTTGTATATCTCATCGCAGATACTGCGCAAACTCACTGCCCGGAACTTCTTTGGCAGGCACGAATGGACACGATAGTTCACGCACTTACCTGACTCGAAACACTCCATAAGTTTCTTGTCCTTTATAAGCGACTGTAGAACTTCAGACACCACTGCTTGTCCACAGTCGACACGACCGTCACACTTGAGGTCGTTCAACTTTCCGAAAATGAATGAATCAATGTAAGCCGCTCCAGATTGTGACGAATATAGGGCTGACTCACGGGCAGCACACAGCATGTGCTGTCCAAGAATGCGGGGATTCACCGGGTTCAAACTCACAGCTTCTGGCTCCAGCTGAAAAAGTTCCATAGAGTGCTGCGGCTGTGCAAAGTACTGATCCAACGGCGAATCGAAGCACACTATGACCGCAACAGATTGTTTCTGTGCGGTTTGCCGCTGTCGGCGACCTGCACGACCAGCTTGTTGCCATAAGGATGCTATGCTCGACGGCAGTCCGAGGTGTATCGTGCAGTCCAATTCGCCGACGTCAATACCTAGCTCCAACGCATTCGTTGCCACCGTTCCAAGCAAATCCCCACTAAACAGTCTCTGCTCAATCCGTCGTCGCGATTCCAGTGTGTACCCACCGCGGTAGGAACTGACTCGACGAACTAAATGTCGCGTCTTCGGATCGGTTTGTAGAATCGAGTGGACGTTCATGAGCACGAGCTCAGTTAGCTTTCGACTACGACAAAACATCAGCGTAGCGATTTCAGCTTCTACCAAACGAGCGAGGATCCGAGAGCCCTGAAAAATCGCACTTGAGCTTGCACGAGCTTCTGCTTCTTGGCCTTCATCACCTGTTTCTTTTTTGCTCGGTGTACTCGCTGTTCGTCTACGCTTTCGCGTTGCCGCCCTCATCCGCGGCAGCACATTTTGGGAAGTAGCACGTCGCAACAAATCGGGTTCATGGCACGCACTCTCGTCCTCCTGAGTGTCGTTTGAATACCTCCTACCTGGCACCTTAGGATTCCAGATGCAGAACAGTTTCTCTGCACTTGGAGCTCCGTCTTTTGTTATCACTCTCAGTAGTCGCTGACGAAAGAAGTGCAGGTTAGGTGGTCCAAGATCTTGTTTCAGCTGCTCTCGACTAGTGTCATCGGCTGACGCCAATACAGATTCATCAACTAGAGGCGGAAGCAGCGGCATTAATTGTCGGAAATGCATCTCTGGATTCTGGATAGTAGCCGAGCAGCAGACGACCTGCGGGTTTGAGCCGTGCAGCGCGCATAAGCGAAACAGTCGACGGAACACACACGCGACATGAGACCCAAACACACCGCGGTACATGTGCGCTTCGTCCACAACAAGTAGTCTGCATCACAACATTATCAGAATATTGTGATATTAGTAATCAATGCCATTGCCATAAGCCTCACTCATTTATCCTCACCTGAGATTGGAAAACACCTGCTTCCATTGTCGATGCTGAGGAAGAATTGTCACGTGGAGCATGTCCACGTTGGTCAAGAATATTCGCGTCTCCCGAATCACCATCGATCGACTTTTCATAGGCGTGTCGCCGTCCTACACGACAGCACCAACAATGAGATTTTCAGCTACGACCAAACTACTTCACGCTTAGTCAACCGATCGTATGACCGTACGAACGTCGCGCCAAGATGCAGTGGTAGTTCTGCAGCTTTTAATAATCGTTGCAACGACTTGAGTTGATCTTGTGCCAGTGCTTTCGTCGGAAACAGATACACGAACGTCGCGTTCGCATCCTCAAGCAACATTTCCAGCATCGAAACATTGTACGCAAGTGACTTTCCACTTGCTGTCCTTGTAGACAGTACGACGTTTTCCTTACGACCAATTGCTTCGATGGCTTCAAACTGGTGTGAGTACAACTGTGCAATGTCGTAGCACTTCTGAAGTGATGCACAAACTCGCGACGATAAATGCAATGGCCCTAAAGGGCGATACTGAGCTTCACACGCAGGACGTTTCTCGACATGAACAATTTGAGTTGTACACAAATCCATTTGCTGCAACATTTTCAGGACTGACGATCGCCACTCATTGTGCTTTTCATCATTTGTAACCTCTACCAACGTCGGTGTTGACTTTTTCAAGCCATTTTGGACCGGTTGTACTTGTGTACCCACTTGCTTGACTGTGACAAAACACTTGTCACCATGTTCGTCTCGTTTCTGTAACGCGGCGTCAAACAACTTTCTCCTTTTTGCACTTGCCCGTTGACTCGTCTGTGGCACTAACGGAAATGTCACAACTTCAAGGTCATCGTCATGACAGAAAGCCGGACCATACACATCGGCTGAAACACAACACCGAAAAAGTGACGAAAAAGAGTATTTGGTATCAAATGGAACACAAAAAGACGCGAAATTCATGGACTCTAGCTATGTACGCGCGTACCTACTGCGCGTGACTGAGCGAGAACACTCGACCCTAAAATAAGGAGGTCTGGGGCATAAGTTGCTAATTCCACGAGATGCTGTCGCGTGAGCTGCGTGCTGCCAAAGCTGTTGGCCACAAGCAATACACTACGCACAGTCGGAGACGCACATCGCTTTGCTACGAAGCAGAAGCTAGCATCGACGAGCGCAAAGTTGCGGCGCAGCAATGCTTCCATGCCCAAATTAGTATGTTTTACGTCGAAAATAAGGTAAGAAGTCGTTAATTACAAAATAGACACGACAGGGTACGGGGGTACGTAAAATAAAGTCACTGTCGTAATTTACGCTGCAAGACGCGATCAAAATGGAGCTAAACTGGGAGAACTCTTGTACGTCCGTGTCTTTATCTCTCTCTCTCTCTCCTCTCTGCGTCCGCGCTCGTTTCCATAGCCGCCACACCGTCTCTTCTTCTTCTTCTTCATGATTGACTTGCTATCTAAACAATTCGTTCCTCTCTGTGCTCTGTATCGCTCGCTGTCCGAATGACGCTTGGACGAACTCATTAGACTCGGAAGGGTACGGTTTGAACCACGGGTACGTCGTATCTGGGTACGCCGTAAGCTATGTACGACCGTGGCTAATTACAGCTTTACATTTGTAGCTATGGAGACGAAGCTACGGCTCTGACGGGCGAGAACAAGCCCCGTATCCTGCTCATGGGACTCCGCAGGTTGATGGAAGCTCCGGATTCTTCCTGATTCGACCTGTTTCACGTCACTAAAAAAGCGTTTCCTGTGTACTTAAATGCCGTGTATTGGCTCTGTTTTTAATGAGATGCAGAAGTGGCAAGTCGAGCATCCAGCGCGTGGTTTTCCACAAGATGTCGCCGCACGAGACTTTGTTTTTGGAAGGCACGAACAGTCTCGATATTAAGTACATTGCCAACAATTCGTTCGTGCAGTTCCAGATCTGGGACTTTCCAGGCGACTATGACTTCAAAGGTGCAGAACAAAAGAACGTTGGGCTCGTGGGTTTAGTTGGCAACGGACTGACGCCACTGCGTCTTTATTTGACTGTTTGACTGTTGCTGCTGCTACTGCTGCTGCTGCTGATTTTGTTTCCTGCATGACAGAGGACTTGGTCTACGGTGGACAACTCGTGAACGAAGAGATGATCTTCAGCAATTGCGGCTCCATTGTTTTCGTCATCGACGCTCAGGACGAACCGTACGCTGAGGCATTGGCGCGGCTGCACGATACGGTCACTCGCGTGCACCGATACAATCCGGACATTCTCTTCGAGGTGTTTATCCACAAGGTGGACGGTGACCTCTTTCTGTCGGATGACCACAAGATCGGTATGAAACGACCTACATTTGCGATGATTTTAGGGCAGTGGAATCCCGTTTTCTGATCTAGAGCACGTTTCTGGGCTCTGTCGACAGACTGCCAGCGCGAGATCCAGCAGCAGATCATGGATGAAATCAAAGATAAAGAGCTCGATGTCCACATGAGTTTCTTCCTGACCAGCATCTACGACCACTCAATTTTTGAGGCGTTTAGCAAGGTTGTGCAGAAGCTGATTCCTCAGCTACCGACGCTCGAGAATCTATTGAACATTCTCATTACGGTGAGTGGACTGACGAAGCGTTGTACTTTGCTTACATAGTACGGCAATTGAGATGACTGATGTGTTTGGAAAATTTGTCGGCGTTTCCGTGTTTCCGCGCATCAGAGTTGCAATATGGAGAAGTCGTTTTTGTTTGACGTCGTGAGCAAGGTTTATATTGCGACAGATAGTAACCCAGTTGACATGCAGTCGTATGAGCTCTGCAGCGACATGATCGATGTTGTCATCGATGTCTCGTGTATCTATGGGTACGTGATCGCGAACTATGGCTGATAGAGCGCTCCCCATGTTCACGTCATTTGTGGTGGTGGTTCTTGCACATTAGAATGAAAGATGAAGGAGAAGGTGATGGTCTCGCGTACGACTCCAAGTCGTCATCAGTGATTAAACTCAACAACGGAATGGTTCTCTACCTCCGTGAAGTAAACAAGTACGATGAGGTCTGCATGAACAGTTGGTGGTGGCTATCTAACGCTATTCTTCCTTCCGTTGTGTTGGCAGCTACCTTGCTCTAGTGTGCCTGCTGCGCGCCGAGAACTTCATGAAGCAGGGAATTATCGACTACAATATCGACTGCTTCAAATCGGCGATCGGCGACGTGTTCAAGGCCCCGAAGGCGATCGAATAGATTGGCAGTCTTCGGACTTGACGAACAAGGCTAAGCCATTGAAAACGATGCAAAGTGAGAATCAATATAGCTGTTATCTGTGCTACATGTGGTACTTCTTACAGCTTTTTGATGGTTACGACGCTATCTCCAGCACCGTGGCAATGATGACGACTGCCAGTCGGAAAATGGCTCCAACACAAAGAAGGCGGCAACACAGTCTTGTGACGTGCTTTCTGATACTTGATCGCATTGTAGACTTGTCCGTTGCCCTGCTCTTGATGATTGGCGGACGAACTGATTCAGTAGCCAGCTTTGTCATCACGTCGTCTTGCTGCTCTACCAGCAGTATCATGTGCAAATACGTTTGAAAAACTTCCGCCACACTTTGCATCAGCCAGTAGACAAATGCATCAGTGATCGACGCAGGACACCATCCTGCACCATCTCATTTACAAAAGTCATTCCTTACTCGACCAAGCGCATGACAACCTCAACATCTTGTGCATCTAGTTTCATTAATATCTGCACCTGAGCGTCCACTTTGCTCTCCACATCACTTTACACTTTTGCTCAAAACTCTCGTAACTCTGTGTGTACTCCTGCATTTCTTTGTCAAGATCGCACACCCAGCATCGCGAATCCTGCCAGTTTCATGACAAGAAGTCAATAGAAGAGTTGCAACAAGTCTTTATAAACGTACTCTATCTTCGGCATTGCATGCAACAAAATTTGCTTTTTTATTGAGCCCTGCAATTCACTGCGAGACTAGACTGTGGTTATGATGCAATTGTGAACTACGGCAGTGTCGATCATGTGGATATCGAAAGCGAAAGCGCACGTGTCTAATGGTGACAATGTGGCTTTAGATCTCCTTGACATCGTTTATTGGAACTTTCCACAAACTTTAAACAAATGATGATCAATTACTTACAAAGTAGGAAACTCTGCCACGACGCTCACGTCTATCATTCAGTTGCGTCAAGTCGAGTTGTGATTATTTGCAAGAACTGGGAAAGCATAAAGTAATCATATAAAACGTGATCTTTTTTACCTTGATAGCGACTTTGTTGACACGCAGTCTTGCGTTGAACTTCTGCCACGCGATCGACATGTGCCACGGTTTCTGTCTTCTCCAGTCTCGTGTTCGCAGATCATGTCGTATGATGAAATTTGATCAAATGGTTGAGGCGATGACAGTTGTCGTTATTGTATAGGTTATACATCGGCCAGCAAGCGACAAACTAAAAGTACGGTCCGGATGTCAGTAATGCGCCCATCCCATGGGTAACATGAGTAACGTGGTTACTCGTGGTTACTCGTTCTTACTCGTGGTTACTCATATGCGACTATCAAATGAGTTATGTTATCGTAACAGGGTAGCTCGTGACATGGTATTGACACCAAACGGTGTCAATAGGGAGATTGTCTAGCGTGACAATCCCGACCAATATTATCTGAGATGGTTAATATTGAAGGAAAATTATCCCCTTTGTATGATAATATTCACGCGCTACTCAAAGATTGGTTGATAAAGACACATCAACCATAGATTACCACCAATCCCTTCTAGACGTGCGTAATGAGTGGTTAGCAGGTTGTCGTCATACGACAATGTATATTAATGTAGCTAGATAAAGATTAAAGTTATCTTGATAGCTTGACTTTATTAAATACAGTTCTCCTATTTTCCTTTACTCGAACTAGTTGTTTAAGTAGATTAGATTCCTCTACACGTACTAGTGTACGTGAAGTTTCGCGGCACCCCAAACAAAGGGTGCCCCGTTACACCTGGTAGCACTTGGTAGTCCGTCCAACAACTACTTAGTGTCTGTCCAACATGAACATGTTGGACGTAGAAGACGACAGCTTTCACGTCACACGTGAAGGCTACTCCTATCTGAGTGACTCGGAATGGGAGGTAGTCGGCCGCATAAGTGTGCTCATGGGCGAACTTGCCATCAGTGGCATGTTGGAGTCTCTAAGCAGAGACCAGCAACATGCCGCTATCAACAAGTTCCTACAAGGGGAACTTGCCGTCGAAAGACAGAAGATAGCCTTGCTACAACAGCAAGGCTCTCATCAGTCGACGAGCGGGCTGACGCACACGAGTCGGCCAGAAATATTTAAGATAGACATCTCAAGGTGCAAGGGAATCGATGAAGATTTCCTTTTGTGATGGTTTGTCGAGTTGGACGACGCCATCAGGGCCCGTCACATCGAGGGTGACGAGATGCAAGTCACCTTCAACCTGTCAAATTTGACAGGACGAGCAAAGACTTGGGCCTTAGGGCTCAAGCTTCACGACCCAAACGTGTTTGGGTCGTTGGAGATCTTGAAGTACCGGCTAAAAGAGACGTTTGAGTCGCCAAGAGCTGAGTTCAGAGCACGCTCTGCACTCGTGATGCTCAAGCAAGGTAAGCGTGATGTGCACGCTAACGCACAACACTTACGCTACCTTGCGAGTAGCGTCACGGAAAACCCTGTTGATGAGCACACGCTCATAAACGTGTTCATCTAAGGCCTTGTAGATGGACTGATAAAGACCTACATGTTCCGAGAGGATCTCTTATATGCTGAAAAAGGTGATAGCATATGCGTAATAAGAAGACTTCAGCCTAAGACAGTCTCAGGCTAACTCGTCAAACTATCTTCCGACGAGACGGCATAAAAACAGGAGGTCCCGAACCTATGGACCTCTGTTACATCGAGAGCGAGAACTCTCGCTCTCTGAGTCACAAGCAAACGTCTGATGCCATCGCTGTCAGAAGATCGGGCACAACGCTCACGAGTGTAGTGTCCCAAGCCCCGCATCACGTCCAAAGACAGGACGTGATGATCGCCGTTGACCGAGAGGAATGGTCCATGGCGCAGGTCCGACCATGTCGCCAAGCCGCGACAGCAATTCGGACCGCCTCAAAATGGTCAGGGTCAGTAGGGGCGGAGCACCGTACTGATCCAGCAACGTCAAGAGAATTTGCAGGACTCTTGACGGAGATTGTTCCCAACACACAGTCGCTGTGTGTTTCTGCCCCTAGTGATGAGGTATCCCTCATCACTTTGAAGATCGAAGTGACAAGTGGAATGTTACTTTGCGCCCTAGTTGACTGTGGTGCGTCGACAGTTTTATTCGACGCCAGTCGCTAGAAGATAGTAGACTCAACTATGTAGAGCAAGAGTTCCCTCCAACGAGGATGACGGTGTGCCTTGCTACAGGCGCATCCATAACAGCGAACAAACGTGCAGAGGGACTCCACTACGCGCTAGAAGGAAGACAGTACGATGATGACTTTATCGTACTAAATTTGATTGACAAATTTGATGTCACCCTCGGTCTGCCATGGCTCAGAAAATACTAGCCATGGATAAGCTGGCAGCATCGATCCGTGAAGATGCCTGCCGTTTGTTCATCAGATGGCCATCTGATAAAAGTCTTGGAGCGTCCACAAGCGTATGGATGTGCTTCGAGTGAGTGCGGTGGCCTCGCTTGTGGTACGTTCGTCAGTACGATTGCACAAGATCACAGTGTAGAAGGTCACTACACTGTGGAACCAGCTTCCGGCACCTGTGTAGAGACACAGGCTGCGCCGAAGGTTCACCACTCAAAGAGATCGAGTGGACTGGAACACGGATTCACACCAAGAAGGGTGCATCGAAGGAGATAAATTAGTGTTGTTCAGGATGAACAACACGTTGAAACGAGATCGACTATCAGAGAGTCGATCGAAGAGGACGTGACTGTGGTAATGCACCCACAGTCAGTTTACGTATTGAAAGAAAGTTCCAGCGTTCATGAGAGTAATAACTATAGAGAGCGTTATGTTGAGGGTGTGTTTCCCCAACCACCTGCGGATGTAGTTTTTCAAGAAATCACCGAGACAGTAAATGTCTTGGTGAATGGTGGATCAAGTTTAGGCGCTTATACACTTGATCTGGATATACCGCCGAAGTCAGCTTCAGAGGTAAACAAGCTGCCAACGCTAGAATCTAAAGATTCTTACGAGATCTGCGTAGTGACAAGATCAAGCAGATCTGCGTATTCGTAACAGAGGACGAGTACGTCGCTGATAGTAGGTCAGCTGAAGTTATTATTGAGAACGAACAGGCTCTCAGTAGCTCATCGATGGACGAGGGTGTCATCGATGAGAAGACTCGGATTGAGCGATACACGTCTCAATCTTAGTAGTCTTTAAAAAAATCCGTTGCATAAGAATTTGCTGAATCCAGGAATGTTTTGCCTAAGGACAAAGACACTCGTCTTGAGATCGAACTGAAACTCGGTTCGAAATACTGTATCATGAAGCAGTGGCCACTGCCTCGTGAACAGGTCACAGCGATCGACAAATTCGTTACCGATCGCTTAGCGGCTGGTCATGTGAGGGAATCAACATCCCCACACAGCTCTCCGACCTTATGTGTGCGAAAGTCCACAGGAGGGTGGCGGATAGTGCACGCGTTCAACAAATTGAACGCTGCAACGGTAACGGCTCAAACGCCAATCCCAAGGAAGGACATCATCATAGATGCTATGGCAAAAATTCCATCTTTTGCCCATGGATCTGATGGGTAGACTCTATCAGATCCTCATGCGTGAACGGGACATCCCTTACACAGCAGTGAGCAGCCACAGTGGTATGCTCTGGGAGTGGCTAGTGATGCCACAGGAGCTTAGTAACGCCTCTGCAACGTTCAAGATATACGTTACGAATCTGTTGCGATCGTTGAACGATTTCGCACCGAGTTACTTCGACGATGTCTTCGTCCATAGCCGGGCTACAGATGGACGGACGTGGAGGTTCATAAAAATCCACGTTTAAAAGGTTCTTACACTAATGCGAGAGCAAAAGTTTTTCGCGAACCTCAAGAAGTGTATATTCACAGCAAACGAAGCACCACTTCTTGGCTGCATCGTGGGTGAAAACGGTGTACGCCCTGATCCAGAAAAGATCAAGGCGATTAGCGACTGGCCTGTACCAGTAGACGTCAAGGGACATCAAAGGTTCCTTGGCTTGGCGGCGTACTTGCACAAGTACTCGCACAATTACGCCGAGATTACCGTGCATCTATCGCGTCTGCTAAAGAAAACGAGAGGTGGCCATGGAGCGCTGAGTGTCAGCATTCCTTTACAGGTATCAAGAAAAGCTTGATACAATCGCCTGTGCTGGCGATTGAAGACCAGGACAGACCATTCCATGTGGTCTGTGACGCCAGCGTTTTTGCGGTCGGCTGCGCTTTAATGCAGTACGACTCAGACGGTGTTGAGCGCGTCGTCTTTTATTAATCGCGTCAGCTGCAAGCAGATGCGAGCAATTACCCGGTGCATGACAAGAAACTCCTTGCCATGAAATATGCACTGGCTAAGTTTCGGGTATATCTCTTAGGAGATAGGCCCTTCATCGTTTATACCGACCACGCTTCGTTGCGCACGGCCGTAAACAGTCCAAACCTCTTGCAACGAATGGCGAGGTGGCTGGCTTTCTTCGCGGAGTACAACTTCTCCGTTGAGTGTAAACCAGGACGACTTAATTTCGTCGCTGGTACTCTTTCGAGTCGGCCCGATTTCGAGTCGACTGCTCAACACAACAGTAGGGATGATCCCACTGTAGCGACACTAACAGTGAGTGTTCCGTTGTCGAATCTGCTCGATGACGTGCGAAAAGCGTACACAGAAGATGAGTCTCTTCTGCGATTGATGGATTTTGTATTCAATCCATGCCGTCAAGCTTCGAAAATCCTGTCGACTCAATACCGCTCTTTGACCGAACGGTGTTCGGTTCGTGATGGACTACTGTACTATACAGCAGTCAACGGCGACACACCTCGTGTCGTCTTTTCCGCTCATGACGATTTGCGATTGTGCGTTATGTATGAGTGTCATGATGCCCCAACAAGTAGAGAAAATACTTACCTCACGGTGTGTCGTGACTTCTACTGGCCCCACCAGTATGAGTTTGTGCGCAGATACATTTGTGCTAGCAAAGTTTGTCAAGGGGTGAAGCCTAGCCCTTCATCCCGCGCACCCTTGCAGCCTCTACCGATTCCGGCAGAGTGCTGGCAGTCCGAACTGATGGACTTCGTCTTTGGATTTTCCATTAACGCCACAAAAATACTGGTATTCTTGTGATTGTTGATCGGTTCAGCAGATGGTACATCTTGTTGCTGTACCGGAGTCAATCACAGTTTAGGGCAGTGAACGTGTCTTCATCGATACTATCTTCCGACTTCACGGGTTACCCCGCGAACTCGTGTCTGATAGTGAGTCTTGCTTCACTGCGATGTTCTGGCAATCCGTGTTCCGTTCACCTGGAACACGGTTGAAGATGTAGACTTCTGACCATCCTGAAACAGATGGTCAAACGGAACGCTTCAAACGTGTCCTCGAAGAGATACTTCGAAGGTACGTCCACTCGTTCACGAGTTAGAGTGAGTTCTTGCTTACGTCGAAATTCGCCATCAACAACTTGGTACCTGCGTCGACAACGCATGCATCGTTCTTCGTGAATGGCCTACGCCATCCACGTTTACCCGCCTTCTTAGAGTGTGACTCTAGTTTAAGGAGGGGTGGACTTGCTCGAACAAAAACCGATCTGGTTCTTGATCATCACACGTCGACAATTGTGTCGACATGATGGATGACGATGTCGGTCGATCGACACCGATGATGATGACGACGACGATGCTTGCATATTCAGCATCGCCAATGACTGCCACATTGAGGACGATGACGCACTCACTAGTGAAGACAACGTTCTTTCATCAGTGCACACGATGCGAACTGCTGGTAACAAGGATGAGTCAGCAGAGGAATTTCTGCTGACTCGCGAAGCAGTTGTCCGCTTCGTTCAAGACTCTGTTGCAGATGCAATAGACAGACAGAAAAGAGACGCAGACAAACATGGAAGAGCAAATGTTCTTTCATTTGATGTAGGGGACTTAGTTTGACTGTCTACAGTAAATCTACCGAAACACGCAGTGACAATCGTGGGCAGCAGTAAATTACTGCCCAAGTGTATCGTTCCATTTCGTGTGTCGCGCCGAATGAGCAACGCATACAGGATCGAAGTACCTCGTAAGATGCGTACGCATTCTTAGTTTTACGTTGGACGCCTCCGCCTGTACTATCAGTACGAGCCCGTTTCGAGAGGCGAAGAACACCTCCGCGGTCGAGATCCGAGACCATCTTCGAGTGGCCCCGTATCAACGAGCCAGTCTGGTCGACAAGCGAAGCGACCTGCTCACGCAGTTGAGCGATGTCTCGACGAGCTACAGACAGCTCGTCACGAAGAGAACAAGTCGAACGTTCGTTCTCAAGTTGTGCGAACGCAAACGCGGCAAGATCTACCGAACGATCGTGCGCTATGGAATTGTATTTATCCCTTTCAAGATCCTGAAGCTCATAACGCCGAGTCCGTTCATGAGCCAGGTCCTCTTGCAAATGTTCCGTTAGAAGGTTCAGCTCCTGAACATCAAGCTGATCCGACCCTCGAGCCGGATCAGGTGTTCCCGCCACCACCACATTCTTTGGTGGACTCAGGCGGTGGTCAACGCTTTCTAGTGGAGCGTATTTTGAACCACTGCGACGTGAAGGGCGTCCGGACGAGTTACCTCGTCCGCTGGTGTGGCTATCCGCCATCATGCAACAGCTGTAGGCCTCGTGTTCAGCTGATCGTTAATGTTCTGGGTTTCGTCGAGCAGTATGACGAGACCCACCCGTTCGAAGAAGGGCCGTCGAAAAACGACCTCTCCGAACGCAAGTACAGAGATTGCAAAGTGTCAATCCCTTCGTCCATCTCAGAAGAGATGCGCTACCTCCAGTAGGGATCATCAGGGAGGTTTTTAGGGAGGTATGCCTCCCTATGGACACGGTTCGAATTGCCCAGGCAAACCGGACAAGGGTCGCCCCACGAGAAACAATATATCCTGCCTCTCTTGACAGTCGATGCAACTTGTACCGTACACCGACTGAGATGTGCTTCTCAAACCTGATGAGAGCTGCATCAAGTTTATCAAGCCAGGCCTCACGGCCAATGCACTCGATGTTATGAATGAAAGCATTCCCTCCTTGTATCAAGGCCTTACCGTCTTGACCACGGTTGCCATTGTACTAGTTTGAAAAATACATCGGTAAATAACTCTTCCTTAGCACGGATAGTTTCCTAGATACAACTAGGAGGACAGATCATCCTACAGTCGAACAACGGAATTTGATCCCGTACTATGGTCATGCCAGCCACTCGATCCCACTCTTTAAATGATGGCATCCAAGGAGACTCCACTTGAGGAGCGTGGCGCAGGACGTTGCGGTCCCTGGCCTTTTGAGGGTGTCAGCACGAGCACTGACACCAGTGGCAACTCGGTCTTTTGAGTCGCTTCTCTCGTAGTGATGCATATGGGAATCACCACCATCACCACACGATCTATCGTCGGATAGACTTGCGTGAGACGAAGATCCTTCAGACAAATCCCTCGGTCCGAAGATATCGGATATGATGCCGTCACGTCCCCCAGAGCCGGTCAACCTGACTCTTGCAGTGTCCGCCCTGGATGATCCGGAGGCGTGAGGTGTCGCCGTCGTGTCGGATGCATCATCCGACTCGCCAGAATAGATGAGCTTTATATTAGACTCATTTACATTGCGATTCACAGGACCCGCTGCAGACGTAGCGGATGTACCTGTTGCACGTGGTGACTCTCCACGTGGACTGTTCATAACATTCACCGCCTGTTGCTGAATCGCAACAGCAGGTAAAGGATCACCTGCTGCGGAAGCAAGAGAAGAACTTAAGAAACAGTTGAGGCGATGACAGTTGTCGTTACTGTATAGGTTATATATCGGCCAGAAAGCGACAAACTAAAAGTACGGTCCGGATGTCAGTAATGCGCCCATCCCATGGGTAACATGAGTAACGTGGTTACTCGTGGTTACTCGTTCTTACTCGTGGTTACTCATATGCGACTATCGAATGAGTTATGTTATCGTAACAGGGTAGCTCGTGACATGGTATTGACACCAAACGGTGTCAATAGGGAGATTGTCTAGCGTGACAATCCCGACCAATATTATCTGAGATGGTTAATATTGAAGGAAAATTATCCCCTTTGTAGGATAATATTCACGCGCTACTCAAAGATTGGTTGATAAAGACACATCAACCAAAATTACCACCAATCGCTGCTAGACGCGCGCAATGAGTGGTGAGCAGTTGTCGTCATACGACAATGTAGTTTAATATAGTTAGATAAAGACTGAAGTTATATTGATGGCTCAGCTAAATTAAATGCAGTTCTATTTTTACCCTTTATTCAACCTAGCTGTTTAAGCAGATTAGCTTCCTCTGCACGTACAAGTGTACGTGAAGTTTCGCCGCACCCCAAACAAAAGGTGTCCTGTTACAAAGCCTAATTTATGTTCTGTTGTTGTTGTTTTTTAATCAGAACAACGAGACCTTTTAAATACCTCTTACGACAGACACCATCTAGCCGTAATCGATTAGGTATGGTATTATCGCCTAGCGCATTGGATGTAATAATGCGCTTTTCAGTTTCACTGATCTCTTAATGTATGGATCACACAACACCATACCGATTATGCCAACCATTTGTGTGACCCCATTACACAGTTGATGTGGAGTAGTTGGATTCGTCCATAAATTATTACCTTCTATATTGTAACGTAAGAATTTACGGCCGCTTTCCTCTGTCGATGGCAGAGGAGGCCCCCTATTCCTCGTTTTTCATCATTCTATACTAAATATTCGGCTGTACGATGTAGGTGGCGGCATTTACACGCATGATCATCTTTCATCCCTAATTGTGTAACTTTCGTTTCTTTTAAAACGCACAACGTCTCTCTCAACAAACAATCTATCACCACCTTCGTCAGTTAACACACATAACACAACCCATGCCGCCAACTACCCAACATGGGGACGTAAATTTTTAAAATTCGATACACCTTTTTGAACCGATCTACGCAAATGAAAGGACAAGCTCCAGAGCTCGCTCTTCATCTTATCTCTTCAGAAATAACGTCCATTACACTTGATCCATCTTATCTCTTGAGCACAACTTTTTACCGAGAAAACCTCTTCTTTTTAATACCCCATCATCTCAACTAATCATACCAGCACGTGGTGCCTTATTTCAGGGAGCTGTCCAGCACGTCCTTATTTACGGTGTCCACACAGCATCTCATCCATCTCATCGTCCTACCGTCTCCCGACTAACAGCCAATCAAATCGTCGAATGACCTCTCCACCTCCGTGCCAGTCATATCAAATCCGTTCCACGACCACGTCAAGAGCTCCATCATGGCTACACTTGATGCGCCCGCAGACGCTACGCACGACGAAGCTTCGAGCGGCTTCAGTGGCTCCAAGTCGTTTGCCGAGCTAGGCGTGGACCCGTCCATCTGCGACGCCATTGCAGCTGTCGGGTGGTCCACGCCCAGCAAGATCCAGCAACAAGCGATTCCGTACGGCCTCAAAGGCCACGACATTATTGGATTGGCCGAAACGGGTTCAGGCAAAACGGGCGCGTTCGTGATCCCGATCTTACAGAGTCTACTCCAACAGCCACAGCGTCTCTACGCGCTCGTACTGGCCCCCACGCGAGAATTGGCCTATCAGATCGGCGAGCAGTTTGAAGCCCTAGGCGCGTCCATTGGGTTAAAAAGCACCTGTGTTGTTGGTGGCATTGATATGATGCAGCAACAAGTGGCGCTCGCTCGGAAGCCCCACGTGGTGATTGCCACGCCTGGACGTCTGGTGGACCACTTGGAGAACACCAAAGGCTTTAGTCTGCGCACGATGAAGTTTCTTGTTCTGGACGAAGCAGACCGGATGTTGAGCATGGACTTTGAAGAAGAGATCAACCAGATTGTCCAGCTCATGCCGGCGGAACGGACGACGTACTTATTTAGTGCCACGATGACGTCGAAAGTACGGAAACTTCAGCGCGCGTCGCTGAGAGATCCAATCAAAGTGGAAGTGACACACAAGTTCGCAACGCCCGAGACGCTGAAACAGCACTATCTGTTTATACCAGCCAAGTTCAAGGACTGCTACTTGGCGTACGTATTGAATGAAGTGGCAGGTCAATCGGTGCTTATCTTTGCCAGCACGTGCAACGGTACGCAGAAAGTGACGCTGATGCTGCGGAATTTGGGCTTTCAAGCGATTTGTCTGCACGGCCAAATGCAGCAACCCAGTCGTCTTGGCGCTCTGAATCGATTTAAAGCTAAAGCAAGGAATGTGCTTGTGTGCACGGATGTGGCGTCTCGAGGACTGGATATCCCGAGTGTTGATGTGGTCATAAATTACGATATCCCAACACATGGCAAGGACTATATCCATCGAGTGGGGCGGACTGCCCGTGCTGGTCGCGCTGGTGTCGCGATTTCGTTCGTCACGCAGTATGACGTTGAATTGTACCAGCGGATTGAGCATTTGCTCGGCACGAAGCTGGACGCTTACCCTTGCGAAGAGGAGACCGTATTGGTCATGTTGGAGCGTGTGAATGAGGCGCAACGTATTGCTACGATTGAGATGAAAGATGCGGTTGCAAATGGCACCAGTACAAAGCGTGGGCGCTACACACGAGACCATGAAGACGGCGAGGAAGGAGAAGGAGGTGATAAACGATACAAATCGGCTAGTCGTGTGCAGAAAGGAGGCCGTGGCGGAGGTCGAGGTCGGGGCGGTAGTCGTGGCCATGGCGGACGTGGTGGTGGCCGAGGTGGTCATAATAAGCGGAGTTAAAGGTTGTAGCTAATATGTTCGATTTTGCCATCTCGTTCCAGCGGTGCAAGTGCTTCACGCGTGTTCAACCCCATTGGCTTTCTGTGGTTGTTGTTCTACACCGTGACTACGACCTGTTATCATTGGGAGATTGCTCTGCCAGCCCTTGGTGGCTGACAGTATCAGATCTTTGTTGAGACGACGAAGGTGCGCTTTTTGGCTCGGAAGGGTGTTCAAAAAGTGCAGCGATTGTTTCCAGCTCCTGCGACGGTTGCGTGACCTTTGGACGACATGGCAGGTGAAGCAGGCCAAAACGAATTTAGTCGGCGTAGCCAGCTTGGTGATTGTCGGGAGTTTCGACGCGATGACCTGACTCAGTGATGATCTCTCTGGGTGATTAATACAAGATAGCCGCTCGAGCCGCCGATTGCTCACTGAAGCAAGCTAAAGGAGTAGGTGCATTGCAGCGTGGGATTTAGACACCATGCAATGATTGTTGTACTGCATCTGATGTGGTGCGGCGCCGCCTTGTCAATATGTACGTTGCCGCCCCTCGTTCCAGCGATTGAACTTGTTTCTTCGAGAATGCGGTTGAATGTATTGATCACGATTATTGCCTGCGTCGAGATAGCAGCAAGCGTACTCACTAGCTTTAGTTGACGGAAGCGACGTGCCCAGGCAGGGGAGGGGTAAGAAGTCAAGATGACTTCCCGCTTGGCGATCTCTTGATAGAGGGTAGCACCTTGCCACAATTTGACTGTAGTTATTCGCGATCCAGACGACGTCTTCGCATAGTGGTGGTGGTGTGAAGGGCTCAATCGGTGCGGATCGCAAACACTCGTGTGCGTTCGACCGAACAAATTAGAATCAAAGTCCTACTTTAGTGGCACACCAAGTCGCCGTCGCTTTGCTGTTCTTGCCTCCTCTGATGTCCCACGATGCATCATAGCCCACAGCACGGCTAGACTACGTTGTGAAACATCCTCGGATTCGTAGTCTAACTCGTCGAACGTGAGGTTGTCTTCGGTCCACTTCTCTCTCACTTCATCAATGTCAAGGGTCCTATCATGTCCGAAGCTGTCAGTTGCGACTCGCACTCGTCTCGCAATATCGCTTATCAACTCTTGACTTCGTTTTGACGCGTCGTTTCGGTATCAACTATGAGAGCCTCTGACAACTCGGATTTCACAAAAAGTCCATTGAGACGGTGCCGTCGTCTTCATGTGCACAGCCTCGCTCACTGAAATGTCGAAAGTCCATCATCCAGTAGAGACGTGATGTCTGCAGGTCAATCCGTTCGTCAACCCGTCCCCACTCTGTCTCCTCTGCATAACCCGCCACGTCGCAGTCAAACTTCTAGTTTTTTGCACTGACAAATATTGATCGCTCTCTCTTATTTCGTCGTTTTTATTGGTGCGAGCCTTGGAAGTAAGGCTATGAGTGACTACTGTGCACAAGGTGAATGGCGAATCTGGCTGTTTATCAATCTCTGTGCGTGTGCGTCTGTGTTTGTCTGCGTACGTTGCACGTCGTGCCTAGTGCTGTGTGGGTAGATCATCGATAAATTTCTTAATTTATTTATAAAAAAAAACCATTTTTTTGATCTGCACTTTAGGTGCTCCTGAATGACGAGGCGACTACTTTTTGACCGCGAAGAAAGTGTAAATCGTGCACACTCTCTAAATCCACACGCGATTAGCTCAAGAGCGACCTTGTGAACAGAGGTCTATGCTCAATGCTTCAAGCGAGAATCTCGGACCTTGGCAAATAGAAAGTGTGAAGTGGATTTAACCGCCAACCTTGTAAACTGAAAAGTGATGATTTATGGTCACCCTCTTCTCTCGGTGGGAGCAGCAGCTTCCTTCAATAGAATTTCCCGTTCTCATCAATCACTAGTATGTCGTTAGTTGTATTTGTGGCCAATGGCGTTACCAAGCAGTATCAAAATCGGTCCCTATTGTCTTGTCAATTTACAAACACTATCAACATCAACGTGTAGCCTCAGCACACAATCCATCAGCACTTTCATAACTTAACAACACGATACAACCCGTGCCACCCGAAATGGGTACGTGAATTTAGAAATATGGTTCAGCTCTATCCGAATCATTTCTTTGATAAATGGGCGTTTGTCCCCTATCCCAGTAATTTCAAAAAAAAGACAACTCGCATGTCGGTTCCTCACGTCGACATCGCAGTCGTCAACTAAATGTATGTGGCGCACGTCGCTCACTCCCCAATGCCTCAAAACGACCTCGCAGCCAATGAAAACCAAGCAACGGCAGAGACACGACCCGTCTGCAGCAGCTCCTCTCTATAGCAATAACGCGCACCAGCACCGTACGTCCAGCGACCTGCTCGCCGATCCGCAATCAAATATCCCAAGTCCAAAAGCCCAAAAAAAAACACAACAACAACCACCTCAACGTCGACAACATCTCCCCTCTCACACTCCATACCCCTTCAAACCACGTCCCCTCCCCACATCTTAACCATCAAATCTCCCCTCCCACAAGCCATCCCTTCTCAAACCGCATAAACCCAGCCCCACCCCCTCCGACTCGCATTCCTGCCAGACAATCGCCCGTCATGCCCATCAGCAGTCTCCATTCCACCCGCTCGCAGCTAGTCCCTCCTCAGTCCGTCACTCCGCCACTCACCCGCCATGGTCCCCAGCGCGTCGTCCGACGTCCGCGCGCTCAAGCAGCGCGTCCGCCATCGCAGCGTGGGCGACGGCAAGTCCATGTACTTTGGCAAGTACGTGTCGCACGAAGGGTCCGAGAAGCTCCGGACGTACCAGTACCACGGCGCGGACAAGTCGCTCGTCTTCAAGCACGTGCTCACGCCCATGAACAACGCGCTGGTCGAGCGCCTGCCGCTCTGGCTCGCGCCCAACGTCATCACGCTCCTGGGCCTTGTGCTCGTGGGCAGCTCCCACGCGGTGCTCGCCTGGCTCTGTCCGCTGCTCGAGGGCGACGTGCCGGCGTGGGCGCTCACGGCCGCAGCCGCTGCGCTCTTTGCGTACCAGACGCTCGACAACTTGGACGGCAAACAGGCGCGTCGGACGCAGTCGTCGTCGCCCTTGGGGCTGCTCTTTGACCACGGCTGCGACGCCCTTAACGTCTCGGTCGGGACCATCACTATGGCCAGTGTATTGCAGCTGGGGGCGACGTGGAAGACTCTGGCGGTCGTTCTTAGTGGCCACTTTGCCTTTATCTTTGCCACGTGGGAAGAGTACGTGATGGCTGTGCAGCTGCTTGAACTGAGGACGAGCTCTTGGATCTCTTACGTGTTGCTTGTGTCGTTCGCGACTTGACTTGGCGGTGAGCAGGTACTACTCGGGCTCGCTCGAGCTGCCGGTGATTAATGGTCCGACGGAAGGCATTCTGCTGGGAATTGCTCTCAAGCTCTTTACGGCCTGTGTGGGTGTGGACTTTTGGACGCACGAGCTGATCGACGGCGTGCAGAACAACTCGCTGCTTGTTTGCGTGCTGATCGTCAGTTTGTGCGCGACGCTGCTGGTCAAGTACGTTGTCTTTTGTCTTTGTCTTTGTGTGTGAGGGGGGGACGCTTCTGCTGCAGTTGTTCTCGTACTCGACACTGACGTTGTTGTGTGTCGTTTTCTTGCCTTGGCATCGTCCGTTTTGCGTCACTAGTGTGCGGAATGTCCTCAAGGCGGTGCACCTGAATCAAGACTCGGTTCTTGTCGCCTTTACGCGACTTCTGCCGTTCATCATAATTAACGCTCTTGCTGGGCTGTGGGCTTTGTACTCTCCCTCGGATATTTTCTTGACACACCCGCGAATGTTCCTGTGGATGCTCGGGCTGCTGAACAGCAAGTTGGTGGTACGCGCACACGTGTTTGGTGGTGCAGCTGTGGTCCTTCTCATTCTTTGTCATGTTTTTTATGTGATGATCAGCTTCATCTCATGTTAGCTCACTTGTGCGGGGAAGAGTACCACCCCTTTCGCAAGACGTTGGTGCCCATCTTTTATGTTGCTGGACACTGCGCCTTTTGCATGATGGAAGGCATCTATGACGCCATCAACGAAGAGCTTATTGTGCGAGAGTTCTTTTTCCTCTCATTGGCTGCGTACGTGCACATCGTCATCACCGTCGTGTGGGAAGTGAAGAACGTTCTGAATGTTTCGGTGTTTACGATCCCGTACGACCCGCCGTCCAAGTCATGTAGCAAGCCGGCAGCAAAGTCATCGTAAGTGGGGACGGACGCACTTGCTTGTACAACTCGTCGAATGTTGACCTCGTCAATAGAATGGATTTTGAAGCGCAGGGATCAAATCAGCCACGGGCCACCGATATCTACCAGTTTGACCGGTGTTGAAGTTCACTTTTTCTGGTCAACCTTTTTTATGAGAAAGGTGCTTGAGCGCTGACAAGAACAATGGCCGAATTCCCCCCCCCTCGTAAAACCTAGTTCTTGTTCGCCACGCACGTTGAAATCTGGGAAGAGTGCCGTGTACGCCGCTGCTTCTCGTGACCTCTCTGCCTCGTCCAGTATGGGGTGGACCATGCCACCTCGATCGCCTTTCCCACGGAACACGGAATTTTCAAGCACATCTGCGTACAACGGGGCGGCATTCCAGTCACTGGGCTTGCCACAAGTGGAAGAAGCGACGGAGTTCCAGCCACTCTATTCGGCCCAAAATGGGTCGTTTTATGATGGCGGTGCACTGCCACCGCTACCTTCTCCTCAGTCACGTCGCAGCTCAGTGCCGACATTGCCAGCAAGTTATTCGTCGCTGGAGCAGCAGCAGCAGCAGCAGCACTTTTTGCCGACGTCTCTGTTGGAGCTACCGTCTTCCCAATCACGTCGCAGCTCAGTGACGTCATTGTCAGCAAGTTATTCGTCGCTGGAGCAGCAGCAGCAGCACTTTTTGCCACCGTCTCAATTGGAGCTACCTTCATCTCAGTCACGCCGCAGCTCAATGCCGGCATTGCCAGCAGGTTATTCGACGCTGGAGCAGCAGCAGCACTTTTTGCCGCCGTTTCTATTGGAATACCAGGATGGAGACTTTGACAATGAAATCGCACAAGAAATCTCGTCGAGTATGTTCCAATCGCCCGCGATGTCAACGGAACCATGGGAGCGAGAAAACTTGCGACAGCCACTGAACAGCTGTCCAGCTCGACCGAATCTAAGTGTCGGTGGCACACCTCCCAGTAGTTTGTCCACGGCTGCCCCACTCAGCAGACCTAAGCGAGGAGGTGCATTGAGAGAGCCTTTTACGGCAATGGCAGTTACCGACAAGCCCAAGTTTTCACCCGACAAACGCAAGTTGTGCTGCGTAGAAGGCTGTTTGAGCCAAGCCCGAGCCTTTAACCGATGTAAACGGCATGGTGGATCCAAACGATGCTCGAGTCCAGGGTGTACTAAGAGCGTTCAGAGTCGTGGGCTGTGTATCCGCCACGGTGGTGGGTCCCGGTGTCAGGAGAGTGGCTGCACCCGTGCGTCGCAGAGTCATGGTCGGTGCAAGCTGCACGGCGGCGGCCGTCCCTGCATTGTGGCAGGTTGTGACAAGAAGGCGCATCTCAAGCGCCTCTGCCGCAAACACGGCGGCGGCATCAAGTGCCGTGTAGTAAACTGTGAAAAGTGGTCTCAGCGTCAAGGCATGTGCATGACGCATTCCAAGGTGGCTGGAGGACCGCAACCGAGCGGAAGTTTCGTCGACTCTGATCAATTTGGTCAGAATTCGCTGTCTTTGCCAGCTTTTTCAGCCTCCTCTTCGCCGCTGTCGCTTTCTACGTTTTCGGATGCTGCATAAGCTTGGAAATAACCTGGTACAGCACCGTAAAAATGTCCACAAAGTCAAATGCAATTGAACAATCCTAGCTTTTCTAGAGTTTGACCAAGTTGTTTGTTTTGCAGTCCATATTTGTACATTGTAGCGATCGTACACAAGACAGAACAGAAGGACGACACTCTATCGATCACACCACGTACTTAGCTTGTAAGCACCTATCAGGAACTTATGCCAGCACTGGGGTTCACATTACACGAAAGGTGCGCCGATGCCGGAGGACAGCAAGCAGTGACGATTAGCCCATATAATAATCTCCGTTCGGGTGCGCTCGATGATAGAGATAATTATAATATCCCTTCTCAGTAGTGGTGCCCGTGTAATCATCGATGTCAAGATGCGACTTGCCGGCCTTAAACCACTTGCGATACTGCCTCAGTCTCTTGTTCTTGTAATAAAGCCTCGTCGCCAACGACTCAATGCCTGCCCATACCCACTTGCTGCCCGTTATCACTGTACTGATCGTGTCACTAAGCGTCGTCACTATGGAACCGGTGGGACCAAGTCTCTCCTCGGCGTCCTCCTTTTCCGCGTCTCCTTTTCTCAGTGACAACTTGGCGGGATCCCTCTTCTCTGCTGCGGTGGGTTCCTGAACCTGTTGTGGAGGGTTGGACTCCATAGCGTCAGACTGCTGAACGGTCTGCGTAGCAGAAGCGGTGACAGAAAGGAGGGGGACCGCAGCAGCCAGCAAGACAGTGAAACAAAGACGTCGCATGCTTGACCGCAGCTTTTTTCGATATTAAGAAGGAAAGTCCAGTCCGAATGCCCCACAAAGACTAGGACGAATCAATCAACAACGTGCACGTGATCATTCGGTAACACCTTAATCAGGCGTAAGCATCTCGCGCGACTTTCAACACGTCAGTAAACAGTTGTTCCGATTGTACTCAGCCAATAGCCAAACCACTTCCGAATTGAGCTCAAGAAAAGGAACGACGACGCGACGAAGACCTTTGAAGAGCCAGTGTATCGGCCCCTTTCTCTAAAGCAGGGTAACCACTATAATAATGAAGCCCAGGCTGAGAGGGGGAAACCATCTTTTAGCGTGCGAACTATCCGGGATACAACAGGCGAGACGTCCCGAGGTATCGGACACGTTACAAGAGTATCGACCGCCTGCACTTAGGCATAAACAGGGTTTTACTTTATTGCGTTCGTCTTTTGAAGTCGCTGACTCGTTCATTGAGCGTGAAACCAGACGCCGCGGATAGACCCTCCGAGCAAGATGCTGAATGGTCGATCCCGTTCCGGAGTACATCTGTGCATGCCAGGTACGAGTCAGGATGGTCCAAGGACTGTCAAAGCTGTACCTGAATCTCGAGCCAGCGAGGAGAAGGTCGATGTAGTCACGGCTAAGACTCAGGTTGGGTTCCATACAGACATCGTAGACGCATCAAAAGTTCGCAATCGTCACTCTGATCCGCTTCCACTTTTCAATGACAGGAGTAACATGACGAAAGCACTTGTATCGTTCATTATTGGTTGAGTGGGGAACTACAATGTATAGGCTCAAAATCGTTGACTCGTAGGTGGCGCAAAGCTCTTTTTCTAGCTCACGACATAGGATGCACCTAGGATTGCAAGGTAGTATGCCGCCAGTAAAATCACGGTCGCCTATCCTCACCACCTGTCTCCACTTTACATGACGTTGTCCTTTGACGCGAACACGGTAGCACATCAAAGTCCTTCACACGTCTGGACCTACGCGAATAGCCTCACTGAGTATCAAGTCTGGACTTGTTATCGGATAGCAACTAACCAGCTGAGCCTGTATCATGTTGGTCGGGCTGCCGACAATAGCCGCAGAAAACTCGTGCTCTGCAACGGATGCAAAGAGACCGTCCTGCACATTTTTCTGAGCGTGTCCCACTGCCCGCGCGTATTGGAGCCTATTACTTCAGTATTATATTGGAGAGAGGGCCGGGGGATCCTCGGTTATCAACAACTCTGAGCGCTGTGCCCATCGGCGTACTCCATCAATAACACATCATCTCCGCCAGCTTCTGATGCATCGCTTTCAGGATGATCACAGGGCAGCAGCTAGTGATTTTTAGACGCATCTGGTTCGTTTTAAGTTCCATTTGCCAAGTCCATCTTTAAGTGGAGCGCAATGCTGTAACTTTTCGGGACATCAGTCACGACAAGCCGCCGACCCCGACGCTTGTGTCCTGGCTTAGGACCTTTAGACATCTTACTCATGTTAACTTGAAAAAGTAGACAATCATGAAACTCCTCCTCCTCCTTTGACGCTAACACTCAAAGGCTATCCAAGATTTGAAGTACGTACTTTTCCCACCTACAATGTGCTTCTAATGGCTCTCGTGGCGCTATCCTTCATACCAAATGGACGCTTATGCGGTTTATAGCCGCACACGTATGCAATGCAGCCCTCTCACTTTTCGGCTTTACAATCGCTTCACCAGCAATGCGGTGGTCAGTTGCCAGAACTTGTATTCGCAGACGCATCGTTGCAACACCAAGCGTTTTGACGGTCTAAGGTTACGTACATGTTCCAATTTGAGACGGCGAGTCGAGTGATGTAGGCATCATGCAACAGGTCAGGTGGACATATGCGTCACGTCTGCCAACACGCTGAATTTTGCTGCAACTCGGACCGGGGAGAACTACCTGATCGTAGGCAGCTTGCTTGGAAAAAGTCGTTCATTCAGTACGCTGACTTGTATCGTTTGCTCACTCCATCGACGATGAACATGCGTAGATTCGATGATGCATTGCGTCCACGAACTTATCTCCACCAGGTCTCGCGTTCGTGTTTCGAAGGTGTGGCCGTCTGAAGATGTTTGAGAGTCAACCTGTCGTCTACAAGTGACTTCTCTGCTGTAGATGTGATGGTGCAATACCAAATCATACACATACCATTCTTTCAAAGAGACGACACGCCTATTGTTTGTCGCGGACATTGTGTAGTTGAGGTGCTGCCGACTGAATGTATCTTTTCTCGTATTCGAGGTACTTAAGCTGTACGTATGACAAACCATCTAGTTCAGCTAGATGATTCTAACATCCAACACTTCATGACAAGATTGCATCGCTCAATCTGTCAGTTGACAGTTACGATGTTCAAAAATCGACCTCTCTGCATTAAGATCTCTGGACAGCAATAATGTCAAGAACGAACCACACAAAGCGGAAAGTCAGTTTGTTTTCATTGCTAAAAAAAGCCTTAGATGCAACTTTGTAAAGTTGTATCTAAGTCGATGCAGTACTGATGCGTGCACAAATTAAGCTTCTTTCGAAAATCCTGAGCAGTATGTGCGCATTGACTCGGATGAGCCAGAGGTATGGCGTTGACCGTCATGTTCAGCGTGTGCTATGTGGCTAAAAATGGTCGTGAGCACCAATACTTCAAAAAAACCGTTTGAATGTATCCTGTGCGCTTAACAGGTCATCCAAATGTGCGCATGAGTTGAGCGGCGAATCAACGATTGCGCAAAGTATGCACGTCGACAGGCATCATTAGTGATGTTCTGCATCATCACAGAGGGCGGACTAATCTGAGCGGGATACGGTGTATTCCCAATTTTTACCACCTCTTCCTTTGGCGCCATCTCGGCAGTAAGATACTGTACGCGTACTGACGAAGACGAGTATGTCTTAATCAGCATGAGAAAATAATAAAGTGAAAATGTGTGAAAATAATTTAACATCACAAGATCGAAACAAAAGAGGGAAACCTCATCCTATGACCGATTAACTTTCAATTGTACGTACGAGTGTGCTCATATTTTGGATTCGATAAAGTATGTACTTTATCGATCATGCGCCTGCCAATGTCGTTGCGATTTAAATGAGCGTAAGCATTTCGCAATGGTAGGTTAATGCCATTGGTTCTATGTCCGTTTATCATTTGAATCTGCTCCATGAGGTTTGTCCACATACAAGTTAAAATACCACGGAATACAGATCTTCTACGACGTGATCGCCATGATAACGTGTTCACGCTGGTAGACCGCCTTCGTTTTGGTGAATGTAGAATATTTAACTTCAGTCAATAACAGGTACACTATTTAGCCGCTTTATTTGCTACCTTACTTCAGCAAGCAGCTTTATGTTAACGATCTTACCTTCACTCCCCTTGTGCTCATCTGGCATGCATGTCATTACGATCAAAAGTTAAAGCCAAGCCCCTCTTTTTACATACAGTACAAAACCTGAGGAGTCGCATTGGATGATGACACAGCTTAGTCTGCGCTGTCTGCTCATGATTGCCGAATCGCATAACGAAGTGATTGGCCACCAGCAAATGAGGACGGACACGGATATTAGGAACTTCAGCCTTACCCAACATCTGACGCCGAAATAGATGAAGTGCATACACCACACAAGACTGAGGCAAAGAGCGAGACTCATCTGGCGATACATTTTTCCAATGTTGTAAGCCCAAATCTACTAACGTCTCATTTGTTACATGGCAGCTACGTCGATGTCAAAAGATACAACAAGAGCGACAATCAGTTTTGTGTTGAAAAGTATCATCTGTCAGTGTACTCAATAAAAACGAAGTGATTTTAGCCCACACGAGGGATCATACCCGACAGCGCCTCGTTCGTCGCAATGAGTGTACAGTATTTCCAGCATTTAAATCACTGTATGCATGAAGTCGCGGTCTCACAAACATAAAGAGTAAAAGATTATGACATCTTTCTACTCATCGTCCTTGTCTACTGCAGTTACTTTCTCAGTATTAAATCAGTGCATACCCTGTTTAATTCCAAAACAAGTACATCGTGACTGTTGTGGAGAGCAGAGAAACGGTGGCTATGTGGTAGATTGCAGTCCACATGGAAGCAGTGGTATCACGGAAGCAGGGAGATGACATACTGTAAAACAAAATAAGACGGGGGTCCCTTACCACGAGGAGGCTTTAATATTGGTGGAATTATACGATGCTGATAAGCTGAACGGGGAGACGCATTTTCGACACTCCTGCAGCCGTTTGGACACTCTTTAAAAATACGTTACCCGCACAAATATATCCGGTCCGTACAAGATAAAATTGGACTGGTGACAGCAGAAGAAGCGCTAGTGATAACAGCACCAATTGATGGACGAATGCAGCTATGCGTACATTGAATTGAGATTAACGACTTTGTCGCTTATAACAAACGATCGTCTCACGCCAGAAGGAAAGGTACAAGGTAACACGAAACTACGTAGTATAGCAAACCCTTGTTAAGTTAGGTGTGCTGAATGAAGGATTATAAAGTCGCTGACACGACATGGGCAAAACGCGTGCACTCATCTAAGGATGATAAACGTATCCATCTTCCCCTTCGTAGGCACACAATCAAGTCAAATATAGCTGCGTCTTTTGCGGTGCAAACACCCCAGGCAATTTAGTCTCCTAACATTCTATGACTGGCTTGTGCTTACGCGGTCGCCTACGACAATCCTACGGGGTATTATGATGTGTTGATCTTTTATCTCGTGAGATCCGACTCAATTGCGTGTGTGTGACTGTGACAAAATGAAGAGATGTGTATCTTGTCCATGCGATTACAACCAACCTATTCCGTCGCTTAGATGATACTGAATGGCTACGCAGTGAAGCGTATTCAATCGACAGATATTCAGCGCTCGTGATTTCCATTTTTGATTGATGCATTGTTGTGCGACCGACAGAATCATTTTTATATTAGACGTAAGAAGTTATCACACATACAGTCGTCGTCACATAATTGACGTAATTATCGCTGCTGCGGATGTGTTCCGATACCATTTGTAGGTTTTCATTTTTAGTGTTGATGTGGGACCGAGTTGTGCTGCTAAACATTCGCATAAACCCATCTTCAAATTGATTTGTTTGCGAATATTACACCTGTAGGAATAGTAGAAATGACATGGGAGGACTTACCCCCAATATAAGTCCTTGTCGGTGAAAAGGATGTCTTACGTTTTACGTTCGCGCGTCTGTAAAAGCATGCGTACGTCAATCTTGTTCGATTTTGCAGCTTCAAAAAAGCACACGACAACTCCTCGTATGAACGATACACTTGCAAAGGTTTAAAAATCGATGCTTGACCGACAGAAATTACAGCCTTGCTGCACAAAAGAGGCTTGTGATGGAGAGTACCTTTGCTTCGTTCGATATGCTGTATATCATTGTAGAAAGCGGAAAACTAAAAAGCATGTGCGCGGTACCTGGTTACCAAGAGACGTATCGTGGGATGAAATTATGTTACGTGGGAGTGTATGCCAAAAAGGTAGCTGTACAATGGTGAGGTGTGTATTCACGAAGGGCGTGGTGTGAACGTAGATCATCCCCGGATCTCACCTCACATGCGATGAGTATGACTGCATATGATAAATTGGTTTCGAGTGGTTCCATCTCCATTGCGAGCATTAGACTGTTTTTAAGAGCGCTTATCGAAAAGGCGTCGACGCTTCAATAAGGCAATAGATGACATGGCAAATAAAAGGGGAGACGACAAGTGCTTCTCTTCGGATAACAAAGCATGGGACTTGTTTCACACGCACCGATAGAATGGGGTTAGCTTTTAAAATACTGCTCGCTTAGTGTTTCTGTTTGATCAGCCACTCACTTCCGACCTTGTTCGAGCGACCCCAGCTGCTGCATGTTTGTTAGCCACCATTAGGTTTTGCTCTAGCGTGTCGGAGGCAACTTCTAGTGGATATTAGTGAGAGAAATGAAGCAGGAATCTTATAGCGTTGCTGATAGTTTTAGTGCACGGTGAAAGACCTCGACTAATTACACGTTGATTATCTTGAAACAGAGGAAGGCACATTGTGCGCTGCTTGTGTTGCTTGTGCTTCTTCTTGCGCTGCTTCCGACAAACGGGATTTGATGTATGACTCTATCATACGCAGTTTTGATCGCCGTTAGGATTGAATGCACGGCTTTCATGCTCAAATAGATTAAAATCGTGCTTCGTTGAACTTGTAGGGCACCTGCGTATTCATGGCACTACAGAACGGCACAGGCAGCAGCACCTAAAGCTGCAATAGCATCAGTATAATTCAACATCCTTTGATGGTGCCCAAGAGCGATAGCTCATGACTCACTACGACCTACTAACTCAGCTTTACCCACTATCATCACATCCGACACATTAAGTTCCAGCCCTTAGCGATGAAGATCATACAAGACGTCAGTGCTGGTCAAATGTTCCTGAAGATGCGATCCAAAAAGATTAGTCCCGACAATTGTAACAATAGCATCGCTCAAAACGAACTCCAAATGTTACACAATGAATGGAGTGTTGACCCGTTTACAATATTTTGATTAGCAACTGATTAGCAGCCCCAGCATTCAACTCAAAAGTTAAAACAAACAAAAGGTCTCCGCTCATCTTTGCATCCACATCACAATCTCAAATGGCCGCTCGCCTCCTCCGTCGCTCAAAGTCGCGATTGTCTCAACGTCTCTCCGTCCCGCTATGTCGTGCTCAGTCGTTCACTTGCCCGTCCATTGCAACCACTCAAAGCTCTTTCCTCACCCCGCCCCATCGCCGTCATCTGTATACCACCAAGTGGCTCCAGACACACACAAAAAATGGCGATCCGCCGGCACCACCCAAGCCAACAACAAACTATAGTATCGAAAAACACACGTGGGCCGAGCGCTACAGTCCCACGTGGATGCTGCCGTACATCCAACTCGCCCGCCTCAATCGTCCAGCAGGGACGTTCATGCTCTTGTGGCCATGCTGCTGGAGCCTCGCACTCGCTGCTCCTGCTGGTCACCTTCCCGATCTCAAGCTCTTGACGCTCTTTGCAACAGGAGCTCTGGTCATGCGGAGTGCAGGCTGCACGATCAACGACATGTGGGACAAGGACTTTGACAAGCTGGTGGAGCGCACCAATCAGCGGCCACTTGCAGCGGGGAAGCTCACGGACGCACAGGCGTGGACGTTCCTTGCTGCCCAATTATCGGCGGGGTTGGCTGTTCTGCTGCAGCTTAATGGCTACAGTGTCGTTATGGGCGCTTCTTCCCTTGCACTGGTGGCTGCCTACCCGGTGATGAAGCGGTGGACCTATTGGCCACAAGCTTTCTTGGGCTTAACTTTTAATTACGGGGCTCTCTTGGGCTGGGCTGCAGTGCACGGGTCATGTGCATGGCCAGTCGTACTGCCACTCTATGCGGGCGGTGTGGCCTGGACGTTGGTATACGACACCCTCTACGCCCACCAGGACAAGAAAGACGATATCAAGATTGGGGTCCGCTCGACCGCGCTGCTCTTTGGTGATCACACGAAACCAGTGCTGAATGCGTTTTCTGCTGCTGCCATTGCTGGATTTGGCACTGCAGGGTACATGGCCGGCCTTGATTGGCCTTTCTACCTGGGGCTTACTGCCGGAGCAGCGCACTTGGTCTGGCAAGTGAACACAGCCGATCTCGACGACACACTGAGTTTGCAAGCGCGTTTTGCGTCAAACAAATGGTTTGGAGCGCTCGTATTTGCTTCCATTGTGACAGGCAAGGTCTTGTGATCTCCTTGGCGGAAATCTTGCATTCACGCTCGCAGGGATAGAAGTCATAGCTCATATTAAATACTCACTAGACCTTTTTCGTACAGTTTGAGAGGAAGTACTTTCATGTGACGATGCTTCTGTTTCTGCATTTGTTGAATGTTTACCATGCACACTACGAAGATTTAACTTGAATTGCAGGTTTAAAAAATGGTACTGGCAAAGTATCCGCTCGGCTGCCAGCACTTGTTTGATCTACCGATATTTGTTGTGCTGCGATAAGTCGCGCCAGCACTTGAAGAGCACAAAAGCTGTAAATTTTGCTTGTATTTCTTCGGCGAGCTGTGTAACGTGGTGACACGGCGGGTATTGAACCGGTGATGTTGTGTGTCCACACCAAGAAAAGATCGGTGGATGTGAGTGGTACAGTATTGGAACCATGTGCTTACGGTAATACCGCGCCTTATCGGGTGAGAACAAGGGATAAGACTTCTGTCATAAGATCGCATTGCAGAAGTCAGTCAGACAAGGTTTTGTGGTTTTATTGCCGAAGTTAGAGGATAAATAAAGCGCAGTTTCCCTTTTGGATCGTTGGACATAAGTGCCTTGTAAAGGCGCAGTGCGTTGCTAAGAGCTTCAGCCTCACAAGGGAGCTTACTCTTGTTTAAGTAGCAGTGACTAATCAATGTGTGATTCGGTGAATCGTAATCTCTTAGGAACCGGAATGGTTAAGCTTGTACGCTTGAACGAATGTACTTCGTTGTTAGTTTATCATAACTAAGAGACTCTTTGAGTCTAAGGCTTCCTCTGCTAAGGAGCGCTAAGTAGCTCCGCTGAACTTGGTTGCAATTGTAGTCAATCCACACCTGAGTCTTCATAGACCGAATCCTCTGTGAGTATGAAAACGGCATGAACCTCTCTGAGGCCTAGCAGACCACGCTTGAGAAGCTTAAGGCGTTTACCGGACAGGAGAAAGTGGCACTTATGGTAACACAAGGCCCGGACGCACTTCGTGCACGGCTCGAGGCCTTCTCGAACTCTCAGTCCACGTTAATTGGACAGCTCCATGACCATTTGGCATCTGCCATACCCACTCGGTATGGTCCAAAACCGGACACTGAGTCAAGGACTCGCCCTCTGGTCTAAAGTGTCAAGACTTTTAAACAAAAAATTGGGAGAAATCTCTTTTTGTGGGTTCGAGAGATGGAGGTTGCCATCAGCTCCGCCCTGCTGCGGTCAGAGCAGCAAAAGTGGACCTGGGCCTATCCAAATTAAGGGGGAAAGCCAGAGAGGGGGCCTTTACTTCTGGCACCTCGATAGACGAGGCTTTCCCACCAGGGATATGCTATAACAGTAACTATCTCGGGTGTTTGCCCCGCCTAAGCAGGCATATAGCGTGCGATCACGCATTCTGTCAACCCGCCAGGGTAAATGGACTTAGTCGATTATGTGTAGGAGTTGCGAACTCTCATTGCTGCTATGCAGCTTGAACCTTTACCTGGACGATTTTGGTAATCACTTTTATGGAGGGTCTTTGCACTGGTGTTGCTAAAACGGAAGTTTTTCGTGCCTACACCTCGACATTTGAGGGTGCAGGGGATATAGCGTTGAACGCAGAGCTCTACTTTAAAGCCGCCCGTCATGGGACTCACGGTTATAAATTGAACTTGTCGAGCAATGCTTATTTTTTGATTGGGAAGATACCATGGATTTTAGTCTCGCTGAGAGACAAAGAATCTGAACTTTACGCTGTTGAACAGCGCTCATACATCCGTAGCTGTTTTACGCACAGGAGCGTTAAACATCTTCGCCCCAATTGTTCTTTGAAAGAACCAGACAGACTTATTTGAGCCGACCTCCCGTCGCTAACAACGAGTTAGTAAGGCGCGGGAAAACTTCGAGTCCCAACAGGCGCGGGCGCCGTGCTGAGGAATATTTAAGCTCTGTCGTACCTCTTGGAGATGAAGGAGAACAGGGCCTCATCCCAAGTGGCTTCGTGGTCAATCACGATGCATGAGTACAAGCCAGGCTTGTAAATTGTGAAAGTAACGGTGAAGGGCTTTGACAAGCCATGGTCGATAATGATTGACTCTGAGGCGTCGGGTAATTATGTTCGACGTTGTTCCCTGGAGGGAGTCAGCAGTATGATGAGGCTCTGTAAGCGCGAAGAGTGAGATTATCATTTTTTCCTTGGCGACATGTGTATTAGTCACTGTGCCTAACGTTACTATAAATTTAGGCAAATAGTTTTTGGACTTTGACAGTATTGAACGATGTCTAGTCCTTGACTTGGATGGGAGGTATATTCTTATCCTAGGTAAGGCTTGGATAGTACGCCATGAGCCGTGGTTTGATTGGAGGTCAATGATATTAGACGCAACGCGCACTTTTCAGTTAATCTCTGGAGAGCCATTAGCCTACCTCTGCTAGGAAACAGAAACGCAATTGGCGCAAGCCACGGACAGAGACAGTCGGCGTGCTGGACATCTGTATGGCTGAACTCATTGAGTTGGATGATGATAAAAGCGTTAGTTGCGAGCCAAGCTCGTTGGCTGTTAGTGAAACAGCACGTGCTCCATCGACTGATTGTTGTTAAAAAATGAATCACTGAATGCATCGTTGGCCTAGAGCTGAGTCATCATGGGTCGAACCCATCTGATGAGCTTGGAGTAGCACGTAAGTAGCCACTGATTTATGTTGGCCGTGATTGCGACACACTGAATGTCAGTCAGGATATTGTTGGTGAAACACCAAGTAACTAAGGGCGAGGCTCATTTCATTAGCGTGGAGTGGCACGTAAGTACACACTGATGGGTCGTATCACTGGAAGTAAATCATCATCAGATGTCGGTTATGAAATCGGATATGATAAAGATCAAATTAAGGCTGACGCAGTTCGTCACCTTGGGGACATCATAGTACCAGATGTCGGTAATGACGTCGGACACATAAAGATAAAATTAAGGTTGACGCAGTCCGTCACCTTGGGAACAGTGTAGTTTCAGGTGTCGGTAATGACATCGGCTCTAGTAACGAGAAATTTATGCTGACGCAGTAAGTCACCTTGGAGGCGGTAAAGTCCCGGATGTTGGTAATAAAATCAGATCTGGTTATAAGCAACATAAAGTTGACGGTCGTTTTACTCTTGGGGACATTGATAAACTGGGTGTCGTTAGTGACACCGAATCATGAATAGAGCAAGCTAATTGATGATGATGCAATCAACCTTAGGTTGCAGAAAGCTCCCGTCTCGTTGAGACGTTCAGTATCGTCGCAGAAACGACAGCGATGCCAGATTGATTAATGCAATGCAACGCTTCTGTTACGTCACATAGTGATACTAGCGAGCAGAAATGCACACTCTTCAATGGAGTAATCGGCGACGTTGATAAATAAGTGAGTCTAACCACACTTCCCTCTTTGAATACTCTGGTAGAGCTAAACGAAATGTATGTATACGAGTTTGGTCTGACCTTAAAGTCAGGAGACTGTTCTGGAGTGGTGGTCATTGGATCCGATTTTTATTTGAACGCATCGTCCCTATTTGACGAGGATGTCTCGACGGGAATAAAGGCGGCACCGAGAGCTCGAAGCGGATCATTGGTTTTGATTTATTCTATGGGGTCATTAAATAGTTTGGTTAAGAAGTTTCAGAATGTGGTGTCATGATCTACCTTCCACATAGCCTCCTGATCGTGGTGTACGTCATGAGATTGACCTGGCCCCTGGAATCAATTTTTGTGTGACACGGCAATTTCCCCTTCCAAGAAGCAGTGTGACGTAATTGACGAATTCTTTTGTTCAAAGCAAGCGGCTGGCATGGTGCGTGAGAGAAAGGCTCTGCACTCGACACCGACATTTTGTGTCAGAAAGTCAAATGGCAAGTGGCGCATTTTGCATGCTTACAATAAGCTTAATGCAGCCACTATACCGGCAAAGACTCCTACTACTAAAAAGTATGTTCTTCAGAACTATATGGTAGGTTGTACCATGTTCAGTGCTTTCGAGTTTGACGATGAGCATTATCAATTGCTCATACGAGCGAGTGATATTTAGTTCACAGCGGTTAGTACTCCAAGCGGTAGGCTTTGGGAGCAGATCGTCATGCCTCAAGGGCTGTCTAATTCATCGTCTTCATTTAATTTTCTTGTGACGCAATTGTTCCAACCTCACCTAGGATAAGCACAAAGCTATTCAAAAGCCATACTTGTCCATACTCTTGCAGAACATAGTAGGTCAGATGTGGACAATTACATAAACCATTTACGAGCAGTGCTCGAGTGCGTGCGTCAAAACAAGCTGTATGCACAAATACCTCGTTGTATTTATGATGCAAAAAAATCTCCTCCTCGGGTGATTTATTGGAAAGCGTGGCCTTCGAGCAGATCCCGCTGAGGTAAAGTCAAATGTTGACTTAACTGGCTGATTCCGTCGAACCAAAAGGACTTGCGTAAATGGCTCGGCTTTTGCTGATTACTTGCGCAGGTACAGTGCAAACTACGCTGACATGGCAAGACCGTTAAACATCTTTTTCACGAATAATGCAGTTTGGTGTTGGGACGCAGTCGATGCTCAAGCTTTTAAAGCTATCAAGGTCAGTCTCGTCTTCAAGAAGGATTCTATTTGGTGTTGGGACGCAGTCCATACTCAAATCTCTGAAGCCAAAAAGGAAAGTCTCCTTCATGCTTTAATTTTGGCTTTTCCTGACCCTGAACAGCATTTCATAGTCGTCTGTGACGCGTCTAATTTGCTATTGGTTGTGCGTATGCAGGCAAATATCGATGGACCTTAAAGTGTCATTGCGTACGATTCTCTTTAGATCAAGGCTGCAGAATAGTACTACACAGTTCATAACAAAGAATTGCTCGCAATGAAATTTGCTCTTGTTTAGTTCAGAGTTCATCTTCTTGGCCGAAAGCCTTTTGTGGTCTTCACCTATCATGCGTCATCACGCACAGCGACACAGTCGACTCACCTCTCACGTCGTATGGACCGTTGGCTTTCATTCTTTGTTATATGCACCTTCGAGGTGGAGTGTAAGCCGGGAAAGAAAAATGCTTTGGATAATGCGTTGTTACGCGGACCTGATTATGATCCTGTTCATGTTGCGACTCTGTCGTCATCCATTTTGATTTGATTTCGTGCGGGATATGCACGTAATAAGCAATGTGTAGCATTGCAATATGCTTTGAGTACAGGAGTATAAAGACTCGGACATCAAATTGTCGGCACGTATACGTGCGAGCCTACATTGGTGTTTCATCGATCGTGAATTGTTGTGCTATTTCACGGGTGTTGAGGATGTCCCTCGCATCGTTGTTCTTCATGATGAAAACTTAGATTATTGTACCCTCTTTGAGGCCAATGACACTGCTTGGAGCGGTCAACTCGGTCGTAAGAAGACCTAAAGAGTAGTCAGCTGGACTTATTAGATGCTGAATCTTTACAAATGTGCGAGCACATCTGTGAGCACACATGTGCGTACATGTTAATCGTGTCAACAGGTCAAACTTTCAGCACATGCGGTTGAACCGTTAGCTAGTTTACCTGAAACTACTGGGTGTTGGGATTTTATCAGTATGGACTTTGTTGTTTGGCCTACTAACAAATTCAGAAGGCAACACTGGTATTGTGGTCTTTATTGACCGTTTGAGCAAGATGGCTCATTTAGCGGCTGATCCTGATTCCATCGATAGTGACAGTACAGCAAAGCTGATTATCGACCGTGTGTATCGCCAACACGTGTTGCATGTAACAAATTTCTCTGATTGTGATTTACATTTCACTGGTAAGTTTTAGACTTCCATCATCAAGGTGCTGAGCACCAGGCTTGACATGTATACAGCGGATCATCCGCAGACCGATGGTCAAACTGAGTGTGTCAATCGTATCATTAAGTACACTTTGCGCAATAATTGCGCTGATGCGCCTCGGCGTTGGAGCTTTATGCTCATAGTGGTCGAGTTTGCGTTAAACAGCGCTGTAAATGCATCTACTGGATATTATTCATTCTGTTCTCACCCTCCCACACGTTCCGTTAAAGCTACCAATCCGTGATTCTAGGCAGGAATAACCTATCAGCTTGCTGATGTCAGCCCAAATACTGTTCGGAAACAGGTGAGCGAGTTTCTCGCTGCGCGAGTGAATCTCTTCCGACATGTGCATGACGTAGTGGCTGATAGCCAGGACAAAAAAGAACAAACTGATGCCAAAGGCAATAGTGCATTGAGCGTTATCGAGTTGCAGACCTAGTCTTACTCAACGCTAAGAATCTACATTATTGGTGGTTTTAGCGGTCTGTAGGACCAATTTGTGTCCTCGCTTCATTGGGCCTTTTCTAATTGTGGCCAAGAAAGGCCTAGCGTACACGCATAACCCTCCCCCGCAAGATGCAAACACACCCAGTTTTTTACGTCGGCTTGTTTAAGCCTTATCTTGATCTGTAGCACGTGGATCACGAGGTGCTTGCGCCGACGGAGTTGTTGCTGCTGTGGTGAAGTCGATCTCACAAAATTGCTTGTATGAGTGTCACTCTTCCACTTGCCCAGACTTGCCGACTCACGGAGGGGGTACTCCGATCCGTGCCTTGTTGTATGACCTTGTGCTCACCTTGTGTACCCGTCGGTTGGGCTGGCTTGAGCTCTTCGTAACGGCCTTGGGAGATGTCGATCTCGCTGAGAGGTTGGGTTGAGGGTTCGCTTCCGGTGCGGAAATCTTCACACCACGAACGGGGGTTCTGTGATCCCGATCTTGGATCGCACCGATCTTGATTTGTCTTCGAGATCGGGGTCTTTGCTGTGCGGGAATCTTCACTCAGCAAATAAAAGTCCTGCGTCGATCTTGCCTTGGGATCGGTCCGATCTGGTCTTGGGATCGGCCGATCTTGCCGGAAGTGCGCAATTTGGGTAGATCGGTGTCTTGTCTCGCCAAAATGAAACGTGCCGATCTGTCCAGGAGATCGCTTCGATCCTGCTCGGTCTTGTCTTGAACGCCTTGTCCAGATCTTCTGACCACTTGAGCCGTCTCGCGATCCTGTGTCCAAAATCCTTTTCCTTTTCCGTTGTGTGCTGCTACCCTAGCAGTTGAGTTGAGTGTGAGTACTTGATCGATCTGGGCCAGATATCCCGGGATCGCTCTTCTCGATCTTGGCCAACAATCCAAGATCGGTCTTCTGTGTCCCTGTAACACGCGTGCCTTAACCCTCCGGGGAAGCCAAATCAATCTTGCCTGGAGAAGAGGGGAGGATAACGTGCGTCGTGAGCAGAAGAAGTAGAGTTCAAGTCTGTTTATTAACCAACCAGATTACTATCCAACCTACCCTTAAGCCTATTTTTAACTGTAGGTCACTCTTCAAACCGATATCGCCTTGAATCTGGATCGCCCCCTTGCCACGTGTCGAAATTTCGTGCCCTGTACTCCAATGATAGCGCCAATATTCCCGATACCGTACCTGAACGCCAAAAGAGGACCAAATCCCAAATGGGGTACCAAATACCCATTTTAGGTACCCAAAAGCCCAAAATAGTGCCCAAATGCCGAAGGCGTCTAAATCCATTTTGCGACGTCAATTCGGACAGCTTCCACTGGCTCTTTCGGCATGAAACTTCTTGACATCACTTAGTGACCTCTACCAAGTATATTCCACATGATCCAGTGTCTTCATCAACCATATATTCATGATCAGTGTGGAACATGACCGATCTGTCATCCAATATCGAGATGTTGGAGGTCGATCCGGTCTAAATCGGCAATTAACACTTTTTTATCTCCTCATACGTGCTTCAATATCATCCTCCAGTGTTATCCAATCGACCACTTCATTCATACGTCTCGACATCGGTTTCCTTGACTCCCCTGAGTATGCAAAACTTCCAGATCGGCGTATAATTAACCAAAATCAGTACTCCCAATTTAGGATCGGTAAAGAGTATCACCGATCCGTATGGTGTTGCACCTTCTTTGCCGATTCACCGACCTGTACCACCTGGTCCCAGATGCACTTTGGGGAGTCACCTTGTCCCAGATGTGTCAATTCTCCAACAAACCGTTGCCACAACATGCCGATCTGCGATCTGATCTTAGCCTGCTTCAATGTACGTATACTTCTTCTTGACCGGCATTCCAATGAGCTGTATGACTTCATCCCGACGTCTGGTTCCAAATCGCCCCATAACATTCTGCAAGGTGTTACACCTTCGTCGCAGAGTCATATCCCATCACCCGGTCCCAGATCCTTGTCCCAGATTGTTCCATGTAAATCGTTCCAGATCGCTCCGTCCCAGGTCGATTCACACCCATTAGTCTAACGACAGTTGGACCGGTTCGCCGATCCCGTTAATATCATCTTCCACCTCCGTATTGGATCGCCGAGTCTCATGGCCTCCTTTTCCACCAGTAAGCGGCGCTTTAAAGGTGTGGCCACCGATCCTCGTACAAAATTTGAGTAGTGACTTTGCCACAACCGCCCCCTGTACTGAAGTCTTTTGTACAGCAATTGACCTCAGTACAGTCACTCATCAACTTCGTTTCAAGCACTCAAGTCCGTCTCATGGCCTCTCCGACGCATCTACCCACCTCGCTGATCTCATCAGAAGGACCCACCATGTTTCTGTCTCCGGACCGCGACCTGTCGCCCGGATCGCCCGATCTCGGAGGACACACCCCAGCGGTCCCCGATCGGCCTGGGTCTCCGCGCCATCTAGGCCCAACCGGATCGCCCACAATCCCCATAGGATCGCCAGATCGACAGCCGACCAGACCCTCGTCTCCATCCCGAGACTCGCCATCTAGATCGCCAGATCGCGGGTGGTATGCTCCTATCGTCCCAGATCAACATGAGTCTCTCAGTAATCCCAGATCGGTCGGATCACTCTCGACCGCCGCGGAATTATCAGATCGTTCCTCCGCGCCATTCCCGCTTCCCACTCCTCCGGCGGCCCCAGATGCGTCCAGATCCGACATCCCGGCCGCTAATGAATCTCGTGAAAGGTCTGCTCCAGCTGTGGGCGTCACCGACTTCGTTCCCAGATTCTCTGCCGACGACGTTCGTCTCACGATGGCCACGATCTCGTATTTGTGGGATCGAGAGGCTACCTTCTGCAGCCAAGCCGACACCATTCATGCGCTCCAGCAATCCTACCAAGATGCCGTCGTCCGGGGGGATCGCTTACAAGACGAGCTTGATTCGCTATACAGATCAGCCGCTCCTTTTGTCTCCTTCGTCCAGCTTCGATATGACTGGATGCAGGGCCGCTACGTCGACGCAGTGCATTCTTTGAGTGATTGCCATCGAGCTCTGCGGACATATCGAGATCAATCGGAGGAGATTCGTCGGCTACGCACTTTGATATGTGCCAACGACGAGGCTCAGGGGAACTTGGAACGACAGGTGGATGCTTTGAGGGCTCAGCTTCATTCGCTCCAAGCCGAACTCAACTCTCTCCGACAGCAGCGTGATCAGCTGACCATGGACAAATCCTTCCTTCACATAGATTTTTTGCACTTGAAGGAGCAATTGGCTCAGTCTCAGGAGGAGATCGCAGATGGACTGTCTTCGATCAGCGATCTCATGCAACAAGTGGATGGTTTGACTCCCCTAGAGGGTCAGTTGGCACTTTCGCGGGCGGAGAACGCCAACCTACGTCGTCAGCTTGCGGAACACCTCGAGATATACGACCAGTTGCAGGTGGTGGAGCATGATCGGGATCAGGCTATAGCTGAACACCGAGCTCTCCTCGACACACTGAACAGTGCTATACTCGGATCCCGGTCGTCTGCGTTGATCGCTCGATCGACGCCTAAGAGTGCTACTCCGGTCGGATCGGCCCCTGCTCCCACTACCCCGGGATCGAGATCGCTTGCCCGTAGGTCCAGATCGAGATCGTCCGGCCCGCCTGCCAAGCGTCGGCGTATTCAACCAAGGTCACAATCCAGTGATTCTTCCACCGCCCGTGTGGCTTCCCGGCTATTGTCGTTAAACCCTTCAACACCTTTAAACAAACTTCCCGGATTGGCCCCACCCGAGCCTCCACCCAATTCTTCTTGTTCTCCGCTTTCGTCCGCGGCTTCTGGGACTGGATCGGGAAGTGAGGAGCTGACCGAGTCGGATTCTAGCTCGGATGATTTGACTCGTGCTGCATTATCCCAATCGAGATCGGCCTCTCGTCGTCAACCTAGATCGGATGCCCGATCTTCGACCCCGAACCCCTCTCCGGCCGCTCGGGTTGTTCCCGCTTCTCCCGCAGCTACTGCGTTGGCTCAAGCACTGTTGCGTTCGCCTTCTCCAGACGTTCCGGAGCCTCGTTATCTTTCGTACCCATCCACTCCGGTCGCGGCTGTCCCCGTAGTCGAAATTCAAGATGATGGCGGCGTAGAAGACGTGGAGGTATCGCCAACAGGGGAGACACACAGCGAGACTGGCTCTGTTAGTCCGCCTCCGGAGTCTACTACGCTTTCGGATCGCCATTCGTCCGATAGCGAAAACAGCATCACCCTTCCGGCACGCCAAGTGGCTAACAGAGTTTTCTCTTCCGCGGACTTCGACAATCTTCCGCCACTCCAGCAACCACGGGATCGGTGGATTCCCAACTATCTGGCGCCCTCCCGACGGGTAGCTTCCGAGATCGCTCCATGGTCCGTTTCGCGGATCGCGATGGTTTGCGTGAGGACCATGACCATTGAGCTGTTGTTTCACCACTACTCCAAACCCAGAATTTTCTGTTTCCCTTCTACAATCATGGACGAGCTCCGCCTACGGGGACTTGGGCTTCTGGGCTGATCTCGCGGCAACACATCGAGGCTCTTTATGCTTTAGCCCCTTGGGATAATATCATAGTCCCAGTGAACCCGATATCATTCACCATGACTGGATGGTATCGTGATATGGGTCATCGGTACCTGGAGCTTGAGTCTACTCATCGACAAGCTCTGTGGGAATCTACTCATGCTTTCCCGATTCCTCCGGCTCAAAGGCGATCTGAACGGTTCATGCAGACATTCTGGCGCCAACAAAAACATCGTCGTTCTCGCTTTGGAGCGCGTTGGAAGAACTTCTTGAAGATGATACTCAGTGGCATGATCGCTGGCCACTGTGATCTCGACATCTTGCTAGATCCCTTCTTCCTCCACTATCCGCGCTCACATGAAGACCGAGTTTGGTATCCAGGGTTAGGACACTCTAACGACCCAGCTGACTTGCTAGAGGCGTTGGACATGGCAGACCAAGAGGATACTTGGCGCAACCAATTCCGTAACGCCTATTGGGATCATCCCGGATCGCAGATCCCTCGTCTGCAGGACAAGTTCAAACCTGCTCCATCGTCTTAGTCCAAGATCAATATCCAAGCCCGATCGTCTTTCATAATCGTGTAAGTCATTCAATCATCTTCTTTTTTGGTACTTCCATTCTTTGCAACTTCCACGATCTCGATCCTCCTCGCTCCACATCATTCAGGAAGGTAATTCACTTGACTATCTCCATACTCACATACAAAAACCTCATCCACCAGCATGTGCTACCGTCTAGCACATCTTTCAACCCCTACATCCGCATATGCTACCTCCCGCATACTTGTTCGAACTGTTAAGGTTCGTCCGACTTGCCTTCATGAGACTGCATTACGTCGAAACGGTTTCGACTCACTCGGTTCCGCTCAAACTCTTGCAAGATCGCCCCACAACGTAGATCGGCCTCGTCCACCCAACTTAGATCGGGATAGCCCTTCAACTTCACCAGAAACTGCCGGTGTACTCGCCCATAACGGGTTTTTCTACCAGATCGCACGTCCAATATTACCTCCACTTCGTATTCCCCTTCTTCAAGATCGCCATCCCAACTGTCTTCCGGCAGCAGAGCTTCATCGAAATCCAAGCGATCTGATTCCTCTATCGTAAGCTGATCCTTCGGGCGTTCAGGGAACGTCTTTACCTTTTTTAGCTTCGATATGTGTACAATCGGAAATAACCGATATGGGGTTCCAGCGATCTCCAATTTTACAGCATGATCTCCACATACGTCCGCAACTCGGAATGGCCCATGCCACATGTGCGCTAGCTTCTTCGCATATCCCTCTTTAACTCGGTCCAGGTATAGCCAAACTTGCGCTCCTACTTCGATCTCGTGTGGTTCCAGATCTTCGTTGTGTCGATCCGCTCGCTCCTGGATCGCGGCTTGTAAACGATCGTTCACTGCAGATCGGGCTCGCAGGTATTGTCTTTGGATTTTGTATCTCCACCTCTTTGGATCGCGATCTCGTGTCCCCGTATTCCCCACTGGTAGCGTAGCCTCCAAAGTCGATCGCGGGTCCCACCCATGAATCAGATAAAATGGGGTGTCCCCCCGGATCCGATCTTGTGCAGTGTTAATGGCAAAGGTGAGCCGCTCAGCATACTCATCCCAGTCTCGCTGGTCAACTTCAGCCACGTACATCTTGAGCGAATGTGTCAGGGTTTGCACCATTCGTTCGGCTGTTCCATTTGCTTGTGGCCTGTAAGCCATAGTAGCACGCTGTTTTTGTCCTACGATCCGACTGAAGGCTCGAAAGAAGTCGGACATAAATCCCGGTTCTCGATCGTGCCTGATAGCCTCGCTAGCTCCGAAGCGTCGAAACACACATTCTTCGTAATTCTCCGCTATTGTTTGTGCCGTCCGAGAGGAGCTAGCCTTTGCAATTACATATCCCGAGAAAAGGTCGACCCAAATGAGCAGTTCGGTGTTCCCCTTGATGGACTTGGGCAACGACGGTATATGATCCATGGCGATGATCTGGAATGGATAGGTTGCGTGTAGATTGCCCGGGGATTTCCCATGAATCATCGGGTTTCCTTTCCCGGTCTCACAGTCGGTACATTCGCCCACATATCGTTGAACGCTCCGATACAGTCCTCTCCAATGAAATCGCGATCTGATCCTCTGATAGGTTCGGCCAATACCCTGATGGCCTCCTTCCAGACTCGTGTGATAGTGATGCAAAAAATCCTGCTGCAACGTCTCAGGGATCACCAACCGCATCAAACCATCGCGATCTTCCGACTCTCTTTTCGCCATGGGGCAAAAAAATAGCAGATTGTTCTCATCGATCTCGTATTCCGGCGCCAGTTTGGCGCACATCTTCACTTCTACCGCATCCAAGTTTGATACATCGCCACTTAGGTATGTCTTGAGATTGACAATCCAACGCTCTTCATCTTGAGCTTGGACAATATGTTGAATCCTGATCCTCTGTACTATCTCCTCCTGTATCATTTCAGGTTCATGACGTATCCTCCTGGCTGATCTCGCGATCGCAGTTACCCGAGCTAGCTGACCATCTTGCTTGGGCTTCAACAATTCATCGAGACGGTTCAGAGTCATCAGATCTTGCCGATCCTCTTCAGCTACAACCGTTCTTCCCTTTTCGCTCTGCAATGCTGTGCTGGCTAGTCGATCTGCGCTCTGATTCCATTCTCGCTTCATATGCAGAAACTCGTGACTAGGCCATGACTGCAGCTTCTCCAACGCTTTGTGTCTCAGAAGCTGAAGGCCCGGTGCCTTGCAGTCGATCTCACCGCGCATCTGTCGAATCACCAGACTGGAATCTCCACACAGTATTACTCGCCCCCTATCCAGATCGGCGAGTAACTCAAAGCACAGTAGCAAGCCATTATACTCAGCTTAATTCACAGTCAGATCGTGAACATATCTCGATTCGGCCGCCACGATCGTCCATTCGGGTAACTTCCATATCACGGCACTGAACGACCCTCCTTTCTTTTTTATCCTAGCCGATCCATCGAAACTGGCCACCAGCAACTCCTCATCTGTTTCCACCGTTGGAGGAGGCATCGATATTTTGAGTCGACAGTCTTTTCGTGGGGAGATCGCAATCAGCATTTCTTCCACTTCTCCTCTCGGAGTGATACTCGCTGCTAACATGCCCAGGATCTCTTCCTCTCCTCTTTCACATTTCTTCACCTCCATAGTCCAATTTGACAACAAAGCAGCCCACCGTCCTAATTTCCCGTTGAGCCCTCGAGACTGCATCAACCAGGCTAACGTAGAATGTCGGGTCAGTACAGTGATCTCCCGCGAGGCAAGCGTAGTATAGCATACATTTAACACACAAAGTAGCGCCAGCACTTCTTTTTCTACCGTTCCGTAGTTAAGCTCATTAGGCTTTAAAGTGCGGCTAGTAAACGTCACCGGATGGTACACGCCATCGTACTTCTGTATCAGGGCCGCTGAGACAGCCCACTTGCTAGCGTAGACCACGATTACGGGGGACCGATCTGGGTCGAAATGCTTGAGCATGGGAGCTGTAGCTATCTTAGCTTTTAGCATAGTGAAAGCAACCTTGGCTTCCGTCCATCGACCCTCGTTGGAGCATTCGTCTCCTGCTGCAAGCTGAGATCGGCCGATCTCGAAGAAATCCGATTCTCTTAAATCATACAACACCGCGGCATACACCGCGAAATCCTCAATGAAGCGACGGTAGTAGTTCAAGCTCCCGAGAAAGGATTGCATAGCTCGTAGCGTGCTAGGAAACGGGATGTTAACCAACGACTCTAGGTTCTTGGGCTGAGCCTCCAGACCATCCATCGACACTCGATGTCCCAAATAATCGACCTTATGGCACCCCCAAAAGCTCTTCGTGAGGCTGATAGACAGATTCCACTTATCACATGCCTCCAGCAACCATTCTACTTTTGTGTACAAAGATCCCCATGACGTGGCTGGTATGAGAATATCGTCAATGTAAGATCGGCGTCCCAGTATAGACGGTCGTCGATCTGTCTCAGGTTCTCCATCTTTGAACACGTCGATCGGGCCATCAGAAGCTGATCTCTGGCCGATCTTGAGATATCCATACAACGCATTGTCCACCAGACGTTGGTAGATCTGGGGCGCGTTCTTAAGCCCAAAAGGCATTCGCAGCCACTCGAACAAGCCAAACGGTGTGACAAACGCTGAGATCAGTTTTGTTCGTTCAGTCATTTCGACGACCCAAAATCCACTAGCCATGTCTAGCGAACAGTACCATAGAGCTTTATCCAGATCTTCCAACAGATCGCTGATCAACGGCATGGGATAAACCATCAGACGCGTCAGCTGGTTAACTCTTCGATAATCAATGCAAAGGCGAATATCCACTCCGTTCTTCTTGACGATCACCACTATCGGAGACACCCAAGGTGACGTGGATGGCTGAACGATTTTGGCTGCTAATAGTCCTTTGATGAGATCTGACAGCTTCTCCCGATATTTGGGTTGCGCTATCGGTGCTGCCCCACCGACATCAATATCACAGATCGCGCCTCGTGCTGCTGGTGGTAGAGCATTACCTTTACCCATGAGGAGGTGACGGCTCTTCCAGATCAGCGATCTGAGCCGTTGTTGATCTGTGGTGAGAGGCACATCGGGATCACCGATCTGAATGTCCTCAATCGTAACTTCTTCCGTAGTCGCCGACATCTCTGGTAGCACGGCCATATGCTGCTCGATATCTTCCGCAAACAAATCTCCGCTCTCGTGGTGGTGAACTGGTATTTCTGCAATCTCGACGTCTTCAGTATTTAGCATTATTTCTTCTTTAGGCTCCTTCGTCTCTTCCGGCTGGCCCAATTTCAACAGTCGGTCAGTCGGCTCAGCCTTCGGTAGAGACGATCTGTCACGTAGCCATTTTTGCCCGGTGTCGCGGTCTCCCTTCGTTGCATGTTGGGTACCGATCTCATGACCGTTCTCCATCCGCGATAGTTCGGCTCCCCTGACCGTTACTTCCCTCGCAACTAAAGCATCTGCCTTTTGCGAATCGTCATCGTTAGCTTGCGGCGTTACCGTGGAGATCGCCGGAGACAGGTTCTGTAACGCATCAGACGGACGTTTCAAGATGCGTTTGGGAGAGGCATACGTAGGACGATCTACCAATGGTCCGATCGGTTCTTTCGGGAGTTCGTTCACTCGATCCGTCGTAGCCTCATATGCCAGAGTTTGCCATTTTTTGTACTTCCCCGACCCGACTGTCACCAAACCTTGGGTTCGCGGTACCATATCGCCTTCGACCCACATGCCTAATATAGTGTGGGTGGGCAGTATGATCTCCCGGTCGCCAATGTTGGTCATCTGCAGGTATTTCGTCTTACCCCACCCCGAGATCACAGTGGGGACCCAATCTAGTCCTCTAGCGACCCACAACTTCATCTTAGCCCCTCCGATCCCGATCTCCACTTCCCTTGACTCTCCGACCGGGATCACCACGTGTTGGTCCTTCGCCGTTATATGTTGTATCTTTGATCCGTACGCGGGGCGACGTCCTGCGAGATGAATACGGATTTCTTCTGGTAGACATAGCGCGCCATCCGCTAGATCGAGCCGCACTCCAGCAGGCACCATAAAATCCATACCCAGAATCGCTTCTTGCCCTGCCAGATCGCCTACCCATACATTGAAATAGTATACCAGCGATCCCGCGAGGGTCACCTTGATCTTGGTACGTCCTACCGTCATGTACGGAGTTTCTCCAATCCCGATACATTCTTGTCGTTGACTTTCGTCAACATTGCAACCGACCTCACGAGCAAAGGGTGTGTCAATGATCGACACTTCAGCACCAGAATCAAATAACAGAGTAGCTTTTACGTTGTTGATCTTGCCAACGGCTTTCGCTTGTTTGAACCACTTCCCGGGTGAAAAATGTTTCCAGTATCCGCGAGATTCACCATAAGCGAGCTCGATCTCCATAGCTGGTTCAGATCGTGAGTACTCATCGATCCGCTTCAGATGGGACACGGAAGCGACACGTTTTAACTTCGAACGAGATATTTTTGTTTCCACGTCAATATCCTGCTTACTCTCGCGATCTGTCTTCTTTTTTTTCACGTATGCAATAATGCAGAGCCCAGAACGCTCGGCTCGTACCAGATTCAAACCTGGCGAGCGTCCTAGTTTAACATCTTCTCGGCCTTCTCTGGTAGCATCCCCGCATGCTTATTCGGGACGTACCACTGACGGATCATGTTGTAGAACTCCTCCATGGGACACTTCCTCGGGTCGTGCATCTCACCGCAAGCACGACACACGAAAAAACAATTGTCAGAGGGGTGTCCTTTACGCCCACACTTCTGGCAAGTGAGCCGCTTCCAACAACCGAGATCTCCATGCTTGGTCGATCCGCAATGAGTACACGGCTTCACTGGCACATTGCGGTCTTGATGGTCTTGACGAGTGTTCGGGTCGACCGATCTCGCGTTTGCTGCAACTTCATTGGGGAATGAACGGCGATCCGCAGTAGCAGCCACATGGATCGATCTCAATCGATCTTCCAAATCCGATCCGCAGGTGTCTGATCCTGACTCGCTGCAGACGTCCTCGGTACGGACCATCCTTACCGCTCGTGCAGGCTTAGACAGCGCTGGACCCTGAGTTCCCTTCTGTCTGAATTTGGACGATCCCATCATCACTTTCCCTTGACGCGATCTCCCTTGTTGATATCCGTGCAGTGTCTTTTGCATGGCCTCCGCGTCTTCTACATTCAGCAGTAGCAATTGATTGGACAGATCGGGGTCGTCCAAGGTGTCAATGAAATGATTGACATGTTCCTTGCGCGCAGCTGGCAATCCAGTCATCACCAGTATCTTCGCCTGCATTCCCATCACATTAAGCCGATACAGGTACTGCAAAGGATCTTCCTCCGATCGTTTCTTTGCATGGTAGTATTGCCTGCTCGCGGACATCCCCTCTCCCCCAACTCCACAAGAAAACTGTTCATCAATTCTTTCCAATTGAATCTCGTCGATCTACTCAGCTATCGGTACCAGTAGCGGGCTGGGCCCACCATGAGATCACCGAAGACCAGACATCTCTCCTCGTCCGGTGGTTGGTCCCGGATAAACGCTGATTTCACTTTGCCGATCCAGGTCCGTGCTTTGTCTTCTTCCCGATCCTTCCCTGAGAATTCTTTCAGCTCAGAAATCGCTGAGATTCTGATCCTCTGCGTGATGTTTCCCCCTCCGGTAGCCGCACCGGTCGCGGCTACTTGAGGGCGCCGTGGTTCGGGCATCCATAGATCATCCGGGTCGTATTCCGCCGCCTCATGGATATGTTGGTAAATGTCCGACCCCACCGACTCCATCTCCACATCCGGCATGTCAAGGCTTTCGTGTGAAGGTTGGAGCAAAGTACGTCGATCTGGGTAGCGGTTTGGCTGTCGATTCATTCGCTGAGCTGTACGTTGCTCCGCCTCGTACTTCTTCATGGCTGAATTGAAGTACCGACTTAGATCGCCCTCTTCTTGATCCTCCAGCCCAGTGCGGGTACTGGCCGATCTCTGCGGCATGTTGCTCTTGGCTTGTCCCTTATAGGCGTCGATCTTGGCTTGTCCGATCTTGTCCTTTAAGAACCTTCCACCCGATGGTCCTAGAGACATCTGACGAATGCTGATGGATCCATCTGACTCGCTCTCGGAGTCATCCGAGGCGTAGCGGGCGATCCCGCGGGGTGTTTACAGAGCGAGCCCGAGGGCGTCCCGATCTTGTCTTCAGGAGTATTCGCTTTGCCCACCAGCATTATCATGATCTCTACAAACTCGTTCGCCGCGTCCTTCAACTGTTCCAAGCTGCAACTCAGCAGTTCATCTCCATCAAAAGCGTCAGGGCAGATACCCATGTCGTCCAACATCTGCAAAATCACATTGATCTCGTCGACTTTGTTGGTCCCGTGAAGTGGGACCGAGATCGGCTTATCCAGAGGACCAATCACCTTGGGCCTTAACATCTTGAACACTGGGTCCGTCTTGAGCAGCGTCTTCAACTGGCCATAATAGTACTGCCATTTTGCACGCTTTCGCGCTTCACCCGTCGTCTCCTTCTCCATGGACGCGATCTTAATTGGGTTATATTCCGTCTTTGGCATCGCGATCTTATCTGGTGTTTCATCGTATTCCTCTTTGGCTCCGATCTTCGATTGCACGGTTCGGCCGATCTGGCGATCTTTGACATCTGATCCCATCGATCTCGTCGCGGATCGTTCTGATGTGGTCGATCTCGCGATTGTGCTCTTCGGCTTGAGGTCGGGCGATCTATCGACTAAGATATAGGGTTTGGCTTTCGCCGATTTGGTTTTCACCGTTGGATTTTCATCCAGCAGATCGCTCTTTGCAGAGCGATCTGCGGTGGCCCCCGAAGGGACCCTAGGAGGGAATTGAGGTTTATCTTCCAGATCGATCTCTCGATCTTCCTCTTTCATTTTCATTTCATCAGAGCCCCTCCCAAAACTCTGATGATCTGAGGATCTTGTGCTTCTGCGTGTCTGCGTCGATCCCTTTGTCGCTGACACTTCAATCCCAAGTTCTTGCTTAATCTTGACATCGTCGCCAGTGGACTCACGGTGAAATCCAGAGGCCTCAGAAGATCCGGGCACGCGCACCATTGTGGTGAAGTCGATGCTGAAAAGCTAGTGCCGCCAAGCTACCATCTGTAGGATTATGGCCTCACAAAATTGCTTGTATGAGTGTCGATCTTCCACTTGCCCAGAATTGCCGACTCACGGAGGGGGTACTCCGATCCGTGCCTTGTTGTATGACCTTGTGCTCACCTTGTGTACCCGTCGGTTGGGCTGGCTTGAGCTCTTCGTATCGGCCTTGGGAGATGTCGATCTCGCTGAGAGGTTGGGTTGAGGGTTCGCTTCCGCTGCGGAAATCTTCACACCACGAACGGGGGTTCTGCGATCCCGATCTTGGATCGCACCGATCTTGATTTGTCTTCGAGATCGGGGTCTTTGCTGTGCGGGAATCTTCACTCAGCAAATAAAAGTCCTGCGTCGATCTTGCCTTGGGATCGGTCCGATCTGGTCTTGGGATCGGCCGATCTTGCCGGAAGTGCGCAATTTGGGTAGATCGGTGTCTTGTCTCGCCAAAATGAAACGTGCCGATCTGTCCAGGAGATCGCTTCGATCCTGCTCGGTCTTGTCTTGAACGCCTTGTCCAGATCTTCTGACCACTTGAGCCGTCTCGCGATCCTGTGTCCAAAATCCTTTTCCTTTTCCGTTGTGTGCTGCTACCCTAGCAGTTGAGTTGAGTGTGAGTACTTGATCGATCTGGGCCAGATATCCCGGGATCGCTCTTCTCGATCTTGGCCAACAATCCAAGATCGGTCTTCTGTGTCCCTGTAACACGCGTGCCTTAACCCGCCGGGGAAGCCAAATCAATCTTGCCTGGAGAAGAGGGGAGGATAACGTGCGTCGTGAGCAGAAGAAGTAGAGTTCAAGTCTGTTTATTAACCAACCAGATTACTATCCAACCTACCCTTAAGCCTATTTTTAACTGTAGGTCACTCTTCAAACCGATATCGCCTTGAATCTGGATCGCCCCCTTGCCACGTGTCGAAATTTCGTGCCCTGTACTCCAATGATAGCGCCAATATTCCCGATACCGTACCTGAACGCCAAAAGAGGACCAAATCCCAAATGGGGTACCAAATACCCATTTTAGGTACCCAAAAGCCCAAAATAGTGCCCAAATGCCGAAGGCGTCTAAATCCATTTTGCGACGTCAATTCGGACAGCTTCCACTGGCTCTTTCGGCATGAAACTTCTTGACATCACTTAGTGACCTCTACCAAGTATATTCCACATGATCCAGTGTCTTCATCAACCATATATTCATGATCAGTGTGGAACATGACCGATCTGTCATCCAATATCGAGATGTTGGAGGTCGATCCGGTCTAAATCGGCAATTAACACTTTTTTATATCCTCATACGTGCTTCAATATCATCCTCCAGTGTTATCCAATCGACCACTTCATTCATACGTCTCGACATCGGTTTCCTTGACTCCCCTGAGTATGCAAAACTTCCAGATCGGCGTATAATTAACCAAAATCAGTACTCCCAATTTAGGATCGGTAAAGAGTATCACCGATCCGTATGGTGTTGCACCTTCTTTGCCGATTCACCGACCTGTACCACCTGGTCCCAGATGCACTTTGGGGAGTCACCTTGTCCCAGATGTGTCAATTCTCCAACAAACCGTTGCCACAACATGCCGATCTGCGATCTGATCTTAGCCTGCTTCAATGTACGTATACTTCTTCTTGACCGGCATTCCAATGAGCTGTATGACTTCATCCCGACGTCTTGTTCCAAATCGCCCCATAACATTCTGCAAGGTGTTACACCTTCGTCGCAGAGTCATATCCCATCACCCGGTCCCAGATCCTTGTCCCAGATTGTTCCATGTAAATCGTTCCAGATCGCTCCGTCCCAGGTCGATTCACACCCATTAGTCTAACGACAGTTGGACCGGTTCGCCGATCCCGTTAATATCATCTTCCACCTCCGTATTGGATCGCCGAGTCTCATGGCCTCCTTTTCCACCAGCAAGCGGCGCTTTAAAGGTGTGGCCACCGATCCTCGTACAAAATTTGAGTAGTGACTTTGCCACACTGCCACAATTTGAGGAAACCTAAAGAGAAGATCCAATTGTACTTTAAGACGTGCCACGCGGTCACGAAGACCATGCTCCTCGTGCACTAGATCGTTGACAGCGCGTCGAGATTCACCTTCCACCGCCCGGTCTCGTTTACGAGCAAGGGGATAAACAGTACCATGATGAAAGAATCCTGCAGCGACGTCATCGCGACGGTAAGCACCAGTACTTGGTACAGTGGCGGGAGTACCCTGATTCGGATACCTCATGGAAGTACGTAGAACCACTAAGGCAGGATAATTCGAATATCGTTGATGTTTTTAAACGTCGTCTTCAGATTTAATCGGCCCATACTACTTCCCCCTAGTCGATGCGGGAATGGAGAGAGTTGCAGCTGCAGCAGGTGCGCTAATGCGCGGGTCGGTAGCTGTCGCACCATAGTGGGTGTGATAAACCGATCGCAGTTGGCCTTTGGCCTCTTTTTTTTGCAAAGTCAAAGCGCGTCTTTCGTTCGAGCCCAACGTCAGCAAGTTAAGAGCTCTCTTGGAGATTCCACAGGCTTGGCAGACGGCGAGCACTGTGAGTTTAACGCGTAATGATGACATCATTGTCCACCTCTGTCTTACCGGGAAAGAAAACGACGGGTATTGTCCGCAAGGCGGACACTGACGCACCTCTTGCTTGCAGATTCAGTCTATCGAGATAATCTTAAACGGTCATGCTCTTTACCCACAGGTGTCTCTCTGTAAACCTCCCTCATTGCTAGTGTTGTGGCTGTGGCATCCTTAGCTCCCGTGATTAATGTTGCGAGTGACGGCTCGGCAGTCTGACGAATGCGTTCATCCGCACTCGGTAGTGTGAAGCGGTAACCACTGTGAGCATACGCTGTGGCTACACATTGTGCTTGACGACTGCGGTAATCTAAATACTGAATATGTTGAGTCTGATCCTCATCAAGAGTGTTTTGTACCACACCCGACGCAGGCTCGCTTACTGCAAGCTGTACAAGGTGTGAAGGTACCTCCTCGAGTTCCAAGAATAAATTAGGCACGACGCGGGTGGTGTCACAAAATCGTGGCGTAGATGGAGAGAAGTCATAGACACTTGACGCGACGGTGTCTCTCTTGTAGTCCACCACACCCGCTTCGATGAATTTCAAAAGGTGCAAGACGAAGGCATTGACTTAGTCATTTAAGCATGTGTTTTCAACACGATAGTAGAGACTAGAGCTTTGATGGACCTTAAATAGCAATACAAATTGTCAGCACGAGGTTTTGACAGTTTGGTGAAAGAGGGTTTGACGGGGTCACACGGCGGTTACTGAACCGGTTATACTGCGCGTTCACACTAAGTAAGATCGGTGGATCTGAGTGGTACAGTATTATAACCACGTACTTACGGTAATACCACGCCTTGTCGGGTAAGAACAAGGGATAAGACTTCTGTCGAAGTATCGCAATACAGAAGTCAGTCGAAAAGGTTTTGTGGTTTTGTTGCCGAAGTTAAAAGATAAATGAAGCTCAGTTTCCCTTTTGGATCGTTGGACACGTATACCTTGTAAAGGCGTAGTGTGTTGTTAAGAGCATTATTCTTGTAAAGGCGCTTAGTCTTCTTAAACTAGTAGCGACTTGTTAGTGTGATTATGTGAATCGTAATCCTCTTAAAACCAGCATTGTTAAGATTTTACGCTTGGATGACTGTACGTCATTTTATATTGTTAAAAGTAAAAGACTCTTTGAGTCTCAGAACTCTCTGTTCAGGAGCGCTAAGTAGCTCCGATACAAGCAGCACCCGATGGAAGCTTCTGTCAACTATCAGGATGAGCAGCCGCTATGTGCGGCATGCACGACGGATCAAGGTGGTGTCGATGACTGTTTTTATGTGCGTAAGAGAGTAGTCGACGGATGAA